CATACCTTGACACACCTTCATTATTGGATGCTGTTTTACTTACGTACCTTCACAAAAGGCAATCATCACCATCATCCATTTGTGTAGCAACCTGTCAAGGACGCGTTTGTGTAACCACCACGTGCGGTTTCATTCAGCTCTTCATCTTTCCGTTAATGCAGCCGACACCATCCACTAGGAAAAAGCAACTCCATCACGCTTACAGCATAGTGAAAACATAAACGTGCCTGTATCTCCAAACTTTACAATGAAACGTAGGGTTTTGAATAGAGCAATGTGCTCGGCTTGGCCAACAGCACCTTGTGTGAAAGTTTCACGTTCAATGTCGCAACTAGCCCAAAAATTATTTTTTGGTCGTCGTCGTCGTCGAAGAGGTCGACCCCTGGATCCAGTTTGGCTGGTGGCGACATTGCGAAATCTGGGATTGGCAAGCTTGATCGTGAAACTGGCACCCAAGGTGCAGTTGACCAAGCCGAGCACATTGCTGTAATAAAACCCCCGCGTTTCATTGTAAAGTTTAGAGATACAGTCACCTTTATGTTTGTAAGCGTGATGCTATATGAGAAGTGGTCTTTGTTCATTGCCAAGTAGCTAGACCCTGGAGAGCCAAAGATGCAGAAGGACCTCTTTGGGTAACTCAGCTATAAAGTCAGGACTTCAGGGACAATGCATGAAAGGTACGCAACCCTCACTTTTATGTCATACATTGGCAGCTAATAGCCACATTTGTGCATTCCCAACTTTTGTGCATTCTATTGTAGGTGGACAATGCTCCTGCTCTAGACATTCATTTCCATGATTAAAGTAGGTTGATCCGAGCTGATTTGGTTGAGTTACGCTCACACAAGATTACATCGGTTGAGCTACATCGAGCGTGCTTTATGTCCAGAGTGATGTAATCTCTCCTTGACCGCAGCTCAGTCAAATCAGCTCGGATCAACCTACTTTAATCATGGAAATGAATGTCTGGAGCAGGGGCATCGTTCCCATGCAGTGGATCTCGCAACAATGATGATTGGATAAAAGTGGCCGTTAGCTAGCAATACATGCCTGTTCGTAGATGATCCATAAAGTAATTATACATTGACCCTTTCATTCATGCAAACGTAGCTGTGTTACACAACACGTCCCTCTGCATCTTTTGCTCTGCCAGGGTCCAGCTACTTCACAATGAACAAAGACCACTCTTCGTATAGCATCACGCTTACAAACATAAAGGTGCCTGTATCTCCAAACCTTACAATGAAATGTGGGGTTTTTATTAGAGCAATGGGCTCGGCTTGGCCAACTGCACCTTGTGTGAAAGTTTCACGATCAATGTCGCAACCAGCCCAAAAAATATTTTTTTGGTCGTCGTCGTCGAAGAGGTCGACCCCCAGATCTAGTTTGGCTGGTGGCGACATTGGGTGAAATTGGTATCGGACACGATCGGCTTCATAGTTTGACACAAGATCGCTTTGACCCCGCCGAGCAACATGGTTCTATTAAAGACCCCACGTTTCATTGTAAAGTTTAGAGATCCAGGCACCTTTATGTTTTACATATGGTGTAAGCGTGATGCTATATGAAAAGAGTTCGTTGTTCATTGTAAAGTAGTATGACTATAATAGAGCCAAAGATGCAGAGGGACATGTTGTGTAACTTGAGTCATTCAGCACAGGCGATGCATGATACTTGTACGCTATTCAGGACTAGCTCCAAATGCCAGCTAATAACCCGTTCCTTCCATTCACCTTTGTTGCCCAATACAATGCATATGAATGATTGTCCTGCTCCATCCCAGCATGCCCATCATTTAACTTTCTTGATTCGTGAGGATTTGACCAAGTTACGCTCAAACAAAGAAGTAGCATTCAACTTCAGTTCAACTCACTTGAATTCACAGCTCTTCCCACTCTCAACTTCTTCCCTCTTGCTCCCATTCTCAACTGTTGGTGCATTCAAGTACAACTCCCCCCCCCCTGCAAACGATTGTCCTGCTTCAACCCATCATGTCAACCCTACGATTGTCTTGATCCGATTGCTTTTGAGTGAATGGCAACTTCATGGCGTGTACACAGCACTACAACAACACCCGCTTTCTTTGACACTTCACCTTCTCTTGTACAATCCTCAACCACATCCAAACGTAACAGCATCCATTGCAGCAATTGCTATTAGCGAGATCTTTTCTCCATTGTGTCAAACAACGTTCGCAATGTTGTCACTCTACTACTACAACACACGCTCTTGCATACTCCTCTTCCACGACCCAGCGTAGCAGTTGTTGCTATTAGGAAGGTCTTTGCTTCATTGTCTCAAGTTACTTGCAGCAACATGTCTTGCAGCCTTGTCTACGTGATCGGCAGATAGTCAATGTATAGAAGCAACTTTATTTACGTGTAGCAACGTGTTTCAATACATGCGACTTCTTATGGATCTGGATATTGTTTTGGTACATGGATTGAAGGAATTGGGGTATATACAACGTGTGGAAAAAGACTGTATACATTGTCAACTGGACCATTGTGGTTGATGCTATTATCCTGAACGATTGATGAATCCAATTATCGTACTTTTACACGCTCTTCCATGGCAACTACTATAATCATCTTTTGCGCAACCTGCCAACCACCATCACCATCACCATGTTTTGTGCAAAAACCGGCACCACGCATCAATTGCCACCTCACGTTCACTCGATCATCTTTGCAAAAAAAAGGATAGAACTTTCTAAATCTATCTACCACCCCATTGAAGCAATTCATTGTACCTGTCAATCTATCTCTTGTGAATATGATATTGAATTAAAGAGTTACGTTAACGAATACAAGATTGTGTTGGATAGTAATTTCAAAGCTTCTATAGTGTAAGAAACCTTCTTGTTTAGATCTCGTCGTGTGTGGGTACTTGATGAATTGTATCCTAGAAAGATTTATGCAGGATTGTAGAAGTATACCCACTTGTAAATGATGTGATAAAGGAAGAGAAAGAGTCTGATTGGTTCATCGTGCCTTGATCAAAGGCTGATTGATTCATTGTGTGTGTGTAAAGAACAAAAGCTGTACTCGATACAAGTATAACTCACCTCCCTTTTTGAGATTGGATTGTTTTGACAAGCCGTAACAGTGTTCCTTTTTTATGACTCATGTCTCATAAGGTGATATACGTTGGTATGTACGGTATGGGTATTCTTATCATAATGCTTACATGAACAACAATCACAACATGTATATGAACATGTTCACAGGCGCTGCTGAAAATCGAGTTAATGTGCTGTGAGTGAGTGAGTGAGTGAGTAAGTACGAGAGACTCGGTAGGTGTTTTGAATGTTTATGTAAGAAGAATCATAAATCTAATATTGAGCTACACCCTTACACCTGTACCAAGCACAGTCGGAGATGTAGTGCCTGAACCACCACAGGAGGGGGGAATCAAATTTAGCTCCTCCGCCCAAATGAATGCTTAAATTACCCTTCACTTGAAATTACCACACGTTGACCTCCCATAAACCTTTTTGATTTATTGACAATGAATCTATGTATTCTCAGCTACATTATACAAAAAACTGCGTACGATTATAGCCACCTTCCATATATGGAAGTTGACAGGGCTATCTGGCATCTCGCAAATCAAAAAAACAAGCAAGAAACATGATTCCATGGTGTAGTTGGTTATCACACCTGTCTAACACACAGGAGGTCTCCGGATCGAGCCCGGATGGAATCAATGAAAACAGCCGTTCAATTGGTTGTTAAACCTTTTGTTTTTCTTCTAGAGATCGATCACGTGATATGTATTCATGGCATTTTGCTGTTTTCTCGTTTTCGTCATGTTTGACATTACTTTTGTCGCCTAATCCAATCCCTTCAACAACAAGGGAGCTATAATACATCAGCAGCGAAGAGCTACACAGGAAAATATAGAAAGAGTTAACAAAACAATGATACTTTTATTATTGAGATGATGGTCCATTTACTTCATGTTGTTAGGATGATACCAAGTAAGAAAAACGTGCCAGCTTCAGGATTCGCTTCCTCTATTCTCTTTCGGTACTCGGCATGGCCAATTAGGGCAAGGTGCACATATCCATCGGTAGATAATTAATCACATACCGTTATAAAAACAAGAATCACCACTATCAAGCTACCTTTTGTACAAGTGTGTGTATGCTACCAATGAGTAATGTACGCGCAATTGTCGAATTGCATGATATCAGCACAATTGAAATCCATCTGGCAGCAGCATTTGACAGCATGGTACAAAAGGACATAGTAGCTATATGGTGTGCGGAGATCGAGGTGCCCAACAAGTCGAGGATGGGTGATTTACAACCATTTATTGATGATGAACAATCAGAAGAATATAGATCATGGAACCCAAGTAGCCATAAAACTCGTATAATGATGATGCCTTCCTTAGCATGATGAACATCAACATAGCCCAATCAACGAAGGAGAGACGACAAAGAAAAGCTTCCCAAAGTTGATTGATTTACAACATGAACCCCATTGTATGCCGTGGCTCCGAAACTGTAATGGGATACCAGTCGCATTCATGATTGCCGGCTTTAAAAAGAAAAGAGCGGACAAAGAGATTGAATGATCCCAATATGGCAGAATTCAGTATGATTGTAATAATGTCGCTGTCGCAATCCTGGAGCAGCAGCATACATCCGACCCATCGTTGACATAAAGCCGTAGCTTATATAGGTATTCTATGTATGATGTACAGATGGTGCCTTTATTGTCTGTGAGATGCGTTTCATCAGCAAAGCAGGATGTTGTATGCATATTACACACACATCCAGAAATCGGGATTAGGTGCAATAAGGGTCATCATGTTGAGACGCATCAGCAAGTCGATCATTTTTGGGCTAGTGCTGATGTTAATAAATACAAGAATAGCGCGCGCTCGAGATAGAAAAATGACTATACGAGTAGATTCCTTCCCTACTAGTAGCATTCCCAGAATAGGGGAGCAGAGTGAATCGAGGCAGAGATTATAGTACCAAGAAGGAGCGTATATAGGATTTACAAATACGGGTAGAAGAATTATTTGAGTAGGATATTGGTGGGAGAATGCATGTGTAAATATGATACTCGCGTGGATGCAGAATGGGTGGGTATGTTTCTCCTCCGATATGCACAAGGTGGGTTACACAGCAAACAAAAGGAAACACGAGGTTAATTCAATTGCTCTTCTCATCTATTTACTCTTTCCATCTTCTATACACTCTCTCTCTCCCAAGACGTTTCTTTCTTTTTCTTGGAACAGCCAGCCACACTCCTTTCATTCAATCTTTTCCCCTCTCGCTCTTATCACTCCTTGTCCTTTTCCCTCCACACCACATACACACCACTCTTTGTATGTTTATGCCTTGTGCCTGATTAGGCCAATCCAACCCGACGATTATCATACCTTTTTCTTTCCTCAAACGTCCTGTAATACTATACCCTGATGTCAAGAGGTATGTGAATGAAACAAGCTTTATTGTGTTTGTGTGCACATGTCACTAACAAGGGGCACTAGTCGATGCACGGTACATTTGTCAAAGCGCTGCCAATGCCATCATCTCCGAGATTGGTCCTTATCGAGTATCGAATGACGCATTGCAAGCTATCAATCACTTCCTCGATGAGTATCTTGTATTGCTATTGACGTCGTCGTTGTCGCTTGATTTGTCACGTATCAAGGCTGTGGTGTTCACATTGTTGCCGTCGACGCTGGGAAAGAATGCGATTGTTGAAGCCGAGCTTGAAGTCAAAACTTTTACCGAGACCGAAGCGATCGATTATGAATCATACGAGCGAATGCGTATGTTGGGTACCGATGGGCAGCCAGAGTTCCCGGTAAACGATGCATTACCCCTACTGCGAGAAAAGTGCCTTGAATTTTGTACACTTGCCGACAGAGAGGAGCAACGAGCGTACATGGATCCAGCTATTACCCCCACTGCACGACAAAATATCGCTATCGTTCCTATTGTTGCTATCTATGTCACCACCGTTCTCGAGCACATTGCAGAATACGTCTTGACAGCCATTGCCATGACAGCCGAACATGAAGATACCGAATACATTCGTATCAAACAAGTGTTTTTGGCGCTTGTGGATGATATCCAAGTGGGTGGCGTATTTCATCGTATGGAATTGCGTGACAAGCTCGAGGTAGGAAAGGAGTTTTTTGAGCGAGGGGGTTATGTAGTGCAAGTAAATTGCTCACATGCGTGGCACATACATCATGCATAGAAACGGGCATTTGCCATGGGTTACAAACCGCGAACACCTGTGCCATCTTTCCATGCAGCAGCAGCAGCACCACCACCACCAAATCACATGCGTTCCTCAAGTAAGCATACACAAACATATCGCATGTTCATTTCTTTGCATTTATGATATACTAATATGCACATGTGGTATCGTTTGTTAGCATCAGGGAGCAATAACAATGGTGGCGATGGATTCTTGGATATTTGCTTTGATGATTTGGATATCGGATACGATGATGATGTCATGAACCCGAATGATCGACTTTCAGTATCACAGTATTCGATGAGATCCGGTGTTAGTCAACGTCCAACATCGATGATGAGTGGTAGTACGAGTAACGGCACTCTCAGCACATTTGACAACAGCTCAGCCAACAGCAGCAAAAAAGCATACAAGGTGTTTCGAAAAGATGATGGTGGGGCTGATCGATCACCCTTATCGGTATCAGTTTATGATCCAGATGCACCAGCAATGAACTTTGAAGATCTTATTCGATCCGGCAACACAATGAAAGTATCATTGACACCCAACCGACTAAAGTCAATTGAAGTCAAGAATCAAATGGTGGATGATACGCCTAAATCGGCTAGTTGGGAACGACGTTCAACTGCAAGTAGTGCATCACGTGCTACTCGATCATTGAATGGTACGGCTACAGCTTCTTCATCATCAGCACCACGACGCAACGTATCATCCATGTCCGCTGTTCCTAATTCATCCAAACCTAAGCATGGAGTATCAGCAGCACCACCACCAGCAGCAGCTACCCATCATCATACAGTGAAACCAAAATCATCTTTTGGAAGTGATCGCTCTATTAAGAAACCATCATCCGCAACAGCTCCAATGCCACCATTGCCAGAGCAAAAGAAACCTGCAGGTCCTCTTGATACACGTTTTGAGAATCCTAGAGAGGCTCCAAAACCTCCAACAATCACCACCACAACCAATAACTCAGCTTCTCCTCCTTCTTCAGCATCTCCTGTTGTGGTTCAATCACCTGCACCTATCACATATACACCCAAACCAGTACCAGAAAAGCCTACAAATGATACATCTTCAGTGAAAAAGGAGCAGCAGCCACAACGGCCACGATTATTGCGACGTAGCAGCAGCAGTAGCAAAAAGAGTCGTGAGAACTTGAGACGACAACGAGAAAAGGAGGAGCAAGAGGAACAAAGGAAAAAAGCTGAAGCTGCATTAAGAGGATTGCCTAAGCCTATGACACCTGAGGATGTTGACCATGAATCCCAAGAACAGCAAAAAGAAAAGGCATCCTTATCAAGCAAGAGCAGCAACGAGAGCGTTAGCCGCAGTATCACATCTAGCAACAACAATGATGCAGCACCACCATCTCCACCTGCAAGTGAAGGATCAAACAAGGATCAAGAAAAAGGTGTTCATTTTGATAACGAGCGATCTTCATCATCCATTGTGGATGAACCTGAACGACCTTCGAGTATGACAGCCAAACGTGCATCCTTGGTAGGCTCATCACGTCGTCAATCACTTCATGAAAGCTATGCCATGAATGATATTATGCGTCATCGATTATCGGCAGCAGGCTCTGTCGAAATGACAGTCAAGGCTTTTGATAGCATGTCTAAAAGCAATATCCAAGATGTCTCCAATACTACAACGCCAACATCAACAACGCCTACCACTACCACTACCACTACTACAGGACGTCGTTCACCCGTAACAATGGCTCGTCGTTCGGCAACCGTTGAACAAGGGAACAGTTCCCATGGCAACGGTAACCATGGTGATGAGGAAGTGTCATCAACAACAACACCCACACCACCTGCTATGCGTGCACCACGACCTAGCAGTGTTCTTGATAAAGTGATGCAATTTGAACGAGCCAATTCGCTGGACGATTCTGCACAACAACATCATCGACAACAACGCACCGCATCTTATATGCCACGTCGAGAACGTTTCTTGTACTTGCAACGTGAACCGGGTCTTCTTGAACGACGTAGCACAACATACACCACCACAGCAAATCCATCGCCACGACCTGTCACTGTCGATGCCGGCGTGCAAACGGATCCTGTTCTTGTCACCAACCATGATGAGGATAATGATGGTCCACCAGCCCTTGTGATTACAGATGAAACGGGCGTATCGATATCCAAATCCATCCATGTTTCTGATTCTGAGAATCTTAGTGATAAGAGCTCTGAACATGGATTGGTGGAAGGTGATGAAGAATGGTTCCTACAAGACGATGAATGGGATGATGTCCAAGATCAAGAAAATGCAGTTGTAGAATGGCTTCTTGGAGAAGCATAAATGTATTCCTTTTAAATACTTTATATATAAAACCATGTTGTTGTTTCTTTATACTATGTGTGTGTGATAGATCGAAACCTCCTGAATACGGGATCCCCTTTAATGCCACTGCCGCTATTCATTTTCTTTTTTACCCCTGATCCTTCTTCTTCTTTCCATATTGCTTTATTATCATGAGCTTTTTGATCCTGCCTACAGCTTATTTAGGTGGTTGTGTTGCCACCATGAGCGTGTTTTCATACATTTATCGGCGTGCAACAAGTACGTTTCTTTATTTTCTCTTTGACTCGCTCTCATTCTAATATGCTTTCTAGATGTCAAGGTGATTGAGCCATGGTTCCCAGAGAATGACGCCAAGGAAAAGTACATTGCATTGCTCAACACGGAGCCACCTGTCGCTGAACACCATTTGCAGTCGGCCTTGCTACAACGTGCCATGGAAGGTGTACGGCGTGTACTTGCAGTACAACAAGAGAAGCCTGCCCTATTGCAGTTGTTGAAAACAGGTCATTTGGGGGATGATGTATGGCAAGAGTTCCAAGCTGCTGAACAAGAGACTATGAGGGAGTTACAAGACATTGCATTGGAAGCCAATACTTTTAAGGACAACTGGTCAAAGACGATCTTCACCACGGCAAGTCAAATGTTGGAGTCTGATAAGCAAAAACAGGATCAAAAAGCATGCGATGCTATGCGTGAAGAAGTCAAGGATAATGATAGAAAAGGGAAATGTAGTTGCGAGGATGATCATTGTGAATAAAAAGTGAGCCTGCCTACGGTTGCCATGGCGGTATCTGTATACCTCTTTCTCTCTCTCTTCTATTTCCTTGTTGACCCCAATGGACGATCTTGACCATTGCCAATACACTGACGACGACATTGACGACCGATCGCACGCTATTGTTGGAGTTACAAAGACCGTCAGTAGGCTACCCCCTTCACGCACAGGACCTGGTGTCTATATCTCTTATGCGACGCGCGGTTGGGTATCGAAAAGAAAAACCAAGGTGACTTTTATTGGATGGATCAAGGATGTACGATGCAAGATACTAACAACGATACCTACATAGCCTGAACCTGTATCATCATGTACATTACAGCAGGCACCACCTGTATCACGATCACGGATATGCATTGTTGGCTTTGGAGTCATCCTGTCATTGCTGCTATTATTGTGGAGTGCATGCTTTGTATACCGACAACATGCCTGGTTCCAAGGAAATGAATGGCAGCCATGGATCAAGGGTTGGATAGCAACACTACAACGGCAATCAGATTCTGTTTTGGCAAGATGGAATGTGCAACTCGACAGGATACAACACGTGATCAAAGCGTACATTGAGGATGACCAATTGCTGTATGATCGAATCATTTCCAGACTATCAGCCGACTTTGAATACTACCAGCCTAGGCAATGGATGGATAGCTTGGTAACAAAAGCAAATCACGTATGGCCACAAGTGTCGTTATGGTTACGGAAATCAGGGCAAGCAATACAAGGGCAAGTAGCAGCATGGCTCCATGATCATCAGAGTGATAGTGTGGAGATTGTTGAAATCGATTTGAATGATGAGATAATAATGTAGATATTACGCAGTAGTATTTGTATTCAGTAACGATGTAAATATAAAGTAATAAAAGGATTCTAGTACAAGAAATGAGCCTATCCACAGGTACATGCAAATTTGCCCATGTAGTAGCAGAAGACCATTGCCAGGAAAATAACAGCCAATTGCTGCCCATTGAATGTGAGCTCATCTGAGATAATGACGATGTTGTTGTTCTACCAAAAGTATTAATGAGAAATGTTCATTGATGATTAGTTGACAACTTACTTGATAGGTTTGGGGGACCAGCATGTAGCCTTTCGGTACTTGGGCCTGGCTTGATTCGGTTGAAATGTGTGAGGTAGGTGAGAGAGGTGTTGTGGCGGAATCAATTGGATGGGATGGATTCAAAGGATGTGTTGAAAGGTTGGTGGTAGTAGGAGAGCTTGGTTGTTCATGTTGTTGTTGTTGGGGTTGTGTAATTTGTTCATCCTTTGTCTCGATGACGGGTGATGGTAATGGATTATTGTTGGGTTCCTCTTCAATGATTGTTTTGGCTGTGGCGTGTTCTTCTTGTTTCTGAGGGGTAGTGATCTCTTGCGTGCTGGATGTTTTCTCATGCTTGGCACGATGTTCAGTTGTCAATTGAACAACAACACGTTTTCCTTCCATTTCTGAACTGGTTGTGAATATGCGGATACTTCGATTATCAGAAGACATTTCAACACGAGTGCCATTTGAGGGAGAGACTTTGACATCCAAGCCTTGAGGATACACGGATCGGTGAAATCGAATGTCTGTGCACCATCCACTTCGTCGTGCTCGATATGAATGCGATGGCTCGTGTTTGGCAATGTAGGTCACTTGGTATGTCCCTGTTTTGCTCTCGAATTCCTCTTCAGCTACCTTGCCAGCCACGCGTCGAATGTACGGAGGACATCCATATTCTTCCACGTAATCACGCACATTGGCAACACATGCAAACATCTCATCTTGAATCACTTTGGCAGTGTTGGCAGGAATGTTGTCGCACTTGTAATCCATGTTACACACCATGGTAACTTTGACAGATTTGGTACGACCTCGTTCATCAAGCAGAGGCGTAAACACCCATCCATTCAAATCAGTGTGGCCTCGAACGCATGGCTTTGTCTCATCCACAGGAATGTTGGCATCGATAACACTTGTACTTGCCGTGTAAATGGTGCCAGTGGTTGCATCCGTGTCAATGCTGGTGATGGCTGAGATATCGGTCGAATTCACAGGGAACATGTTACGTAGCCACCATTGAACGAGATATTCCTTTTGGCTAAATCGATCATGAATCTTGCCATCCTCAAAGCGCTCGTCCCCTTAATTATAACAATGTCAATATAAAAATTCCATTCGATAACCATTTCCATTACTTACAAATCTTTCGTGCTCCAAAACAGTGTATCACCGAGCATAATTGTTCAGCTGTCCATCCGCCTTCAATGATGCAATCTCCACGCAAAAAGAGTGCCTTGCCATTTTCAGATCGCGTATACAAATCCACGCCATCACGCTCTCCTTTCTTGGTCCAATCATCCAACGTTGCTGAAAGTCGCTTCAATGTTTCAAGACTTTCCACCTTCTTTTTGGGATGTCGTTGTGATGGGTAAAGGTGTCGTCCGGGGATTGTTGTTGTTGTTGGAGGCGCTAATGACAGCGTGTTTGATTTTGATGATGATCCTGGATTGTTTTCATTGTCGGATGTAGGCGCCTTATCTTGATCTGCAAAAGTGATACGCTTTTTGGTGGTAGGGTTGGTGGTGTTGTTGTTGTCGGTCAAAATGGATCGTTGAGAATTGGTAGGTGATGGTGTTGGTGATACTGAGGATTCAAAGCTTTGTAGACTCGTTGTTGGTGATGGATGCTGGGTATTTAATCTACATACATATATTGTTGAGTGTCACAGTGCCATAACGATGACTTGTCTCTTTACCTGTGAGGGCGAGGTTCAAGAGTGGGACCAAACACGGAGGGTCGATGATGGGAAGATTTGCTTTGGGCACGCATGCGGTCTGTTTTCCTCTGAAGATATTCATTGACTGCAGCAATAGCAAGTGGTCGTCTGGCAAGTGATTTTTTGGTGAATCCAGGCATCCATCCTTTGATTGTTTCTTGCACCACAAAAGTGACACGTGTTGCAGGTGTAGGTCCACGAGTTGGCTCAAGAATCCATCCTTGTAACTAAATTGCCAAGTGAGTGAGTGCGAGAGAGACCTATATAATCCATCCTATCGCGTACCTTGACTTGTGCACGCACACGACCAGGCACCTTAGGTAACCTTGGTGACTCAACGCTTGTACATGCAAAGGTGATAGTTCCATCTTGGCTGCATTCAATCTTTTCTACCAGAGATAGATCTCGGGATCTAAATTAATAGAATAAGTAAACGAACGAATACTAAGAATGTTGTATATCATACTTTGATGTAGCAGTGGCCTTGCTGACTTCGTAAGTGAGAGAGGTCGTATCATTAAGGTTTTCCACTAGATTCCCATCTTCGTAACTGTAAAATGCACATTTATTAGTCTCCACACCATGTGCTCGTGCATCATCATTTGCCACCATCACTGCACCCCTGCCCTGAATTCCAGGAATCCCTCTTCTCGGCCCGATTTATTTACCTTTCATCCCATAGTCGACGCATGCCAATGACATAGAATATAGATTGAGGCGAGAATCCATGGATAATGGCTTGACCTTTAAAGATGGGTGTCTTGTCGCCTTTGTGGATGCCTTGTTTCATATGGACCACGACACCACTCTTGTGCTTGAGTGCCTTTTTCCAACCATCATCACGCACCACTTGTTTCAGCGTCGATAAAGCATTGTCGGCTTGATGAATGTGATAGGCAGGCGAGATAAGGACAGGATCCATAAATCCCATGGATTGTTGCTGATGTGAAGATGAACGCATCGATGATGGTAAAAGTGATGAAAACATGTTGCCGGCAGCTGCCAATGATGATCCACTTGCTGATGGTCCACTATCATCTTCATCCTCGCTAAAGACTGTATGATAACGTGGCATAGCTGATGATGACGATGACGACGATGCTATTGCAGTATTGGAATATTGTTTTGCATGGATGGCGTTAAGTTGTTGTGGTGGAGGTGGAGAGGTAGCTGAAGAAGAGTACGCGCTATCATTGGATGTTGGGCGTAAGGCTGGTGAGTGCTGATCGTCCCAATCGCTATAGTCATCGAGACCCAATGCAATCAATGAAGGTGGAGCAGGTACGCGTGTCGCAATCTTTTGTTTCATGAGTGGATTGAAGAAGAAAAGAGAAAGGAATGTCCAAGGTTACAACGCACACTCGTGTTGCATTCGCGGAGAGAGAGAGGAAGATGAGTAAAAGTGTGTGTGTCGTGCAGGTGATACGGATAAAGTAAATTGATAGGGAAAAAGAACGTGGATATGAACAACAAAAGAGAGGAACAGTGAGTGAGTAAGAGAAAGAGAGTTGTGGTGGCAAGAAAACAATTGTCCATGCAATGTTACACGGCGCATCATTCGTGTCACTACTTGAGACAACCTTGCAAGTGCCTCTCTTTTGATGGTGCACGCACTGTCTTTTTTGTCCCACTCTAGTGCTAATAATATCATTCGTGCGGTGATTCATCCTCGGCTTTAACGGATCTTTTGCAAGATGGCTAATATCATACATCGCGTCGCTCTCATGCTTGTTGCTGCTGCTGCAAGCAGCTGCAGTGTAAAACGCCATCTCAGACACCCAAGGAGATCGGATCCATTTATTAGCTGTGTTTTAGTTTCGTGCATTGCCGATCAATCACTTGCATTTCCCGCTCAAATTACCAATGATAAAATAGTCAATACGCTAGCGATGCTCATATCAAAGTATACTGCTACTCTATAATGGAATCCAACTTTTCGGTATCTTACGTTGCCAAGGTGATATCGGGTTTAATGGAAGGGGTCAATCTTTTTTAGTTCTTATCACCCCCCGCGGTGTTTACTCCTGAAAACTCAAAAGCTTCCCATTGTCTCATCTTGAAAGCAGGAGAATGAGCGTTATGCAAACACATATTTTTCCATGCATACTCCAAAGCCAGATATACTTGATCGTTTCAGACTGAGCTACAATTACGAACGTAGTTGCACTGTGCTGAGAACGTGATGTTCCTTGTTGCAGTGAAAGTGGATCTCTTGGGGGGTGTTCCTTATCATTGAGCTACAATCTAACAATTGCGATGATCAATGATAAAGGATATGGTGCTTGCAAAGTAATTAAGGGTGTTCAGAGGAATGTTGCTCGTTTCATGCAACGTAAAATAAGGCCATCGCATTTGTTGTAAAGATTCCACTGCCCACGAGGATAACAGTGCGCAATTGGGGAGTACGAGTGCCGACGCCAATCCATTTATAGATCAAGCAACCATCTTGGATTCCTGTTTAGCCTTGTGCTCCAACACACCAATCAATCAATCAATCATTATTTATTGCTTGGGGACCTCGGCACATTATGTGATTATCTCCTCATTCCTGCTTGCTTATAGTGTCGTAAAAGGTGGTGCATTGTCCTCCAAGACAACAATGAACAAAGACGAAAAAGTCTTAAAATGAAACATGTGGCACCATAAAAACAAATTTACTACGTTTAATAAGACAACGGGACTATATGCAATGTGCGTGTGTGGGGATCCCACTCCTATGTTCTTAATGCAAAGCTTTGATCAGACTACTTTGTGACACCTGTGTTGAATGGATACTATCATCATCATCACGAGAGCAGTTTGTCTTGTTAGGATTGGACACATTAGTATGCATGGCAATGTTTTGGTGATGGCAATCCATCGCATATGTATCTTCACCATGTGGTGATGATGCTGGCGTAGAGTGAGAATTACTTCTGGCATGAGCAGACATGGTACGTAAAGAGACTTTGATTCGATGCGTGGTGACCTACAACATTCATTATTCAGCAAGAGAGAAAAACTTGCCATGGCTTATTTGCATCGTCATTACCCAGTGAATGGTAAGCACATTGATGGTGACATCCACCGTGCACATCGTGAGACATACTACGCCACGCTCGTATCCTCTTCCAATGGCCAAGATAAGGACATTGATCATTGAAACAATAAGGCACACGGCCGCTGCTACCACTGTACGCCGTGTTAATTTGTATAGCCGCGTTTCTTTTCGAGCATCATCATCTCCAGAGGAATCACGATTGGCACTGACAAGGGGTCGTACGAAAAGGATCGTAAGGTAAAGATTTAGGATCTATGCAAAAAGCATCATTAGCGAATGCGAAAGAATGACACCAGCAAAATTCATGTCTTTACAAAATCATAGCACTGTTGTATGCAAGTACTTTGTTAGCAATAGTCAATGTGGCTCATTCACGCAGGTTTTACCAGAAGAGGAATACTGGCAATATACTGCAAGCCGATGATGCAGGTACCGTCTTCGAGAAGGTGATCATTACGAAAAATTACCTACCGCCATGGTAAGCATAGGTAAAAAGCTAAGATGAATGCCGCATGTGCCTTACCATGAGGACAAAGATCCCAATATAGGGAGATAATAAGGCAATGTTAAAGCGATAGAGTGGTGAATGCCGTCTAGTTGTTCGCTTAGCAGTTGCAAGATGGGCCCTTTCAATAAGCCTTATAAGGTATATCATGTTTAGCCCTGTACAGCCTGCTACAACGTGTAAATAACATGGCTTACCATGCATAAATGGTAATCTTAGTGGAAGCATAAAAGACGTCGCATGTAAGGATTCCCATGGTGCATGATACCGCATTTCCTACATAGTAGCACAATACAAGTCGACTCCCATTTCATGTTTCACGATATGGGGACGTCAATCGCTTTTGTTGCATACCATCATTTGTTGAAATGACCACCATGGATGTGACGCAAAAAGCCCAAGACAACATGTAGAGCAGCAATACGAGAAACTGCCCATACGTCAATCTACTCAAGCGTTGATTATTGGTCTTGAAGCCAAAGGCCGTGGCAAGGATCGAAATACAAGTCAATGAGAGTGTCTCCGACATGATTTCGAGCGAGTCAGGTCCTGGTAACGAGTCATAGCCGATCGTTGGTGCAAGGATATTGTCAACCATCGCATTACTAGTAATCCCAGCAGAGTCACTCGAAAAGCAAGAGGATGAAAGGAAAAAGGAAAGAGGGCAAGAAAGAGAATGATGGTAAATACATGCATCGACCAATATGTGTAAACTGGAATTGTGGCACCAGCTTAAAATACACACGCAGCCGCTTTTTAGAATCCAAAACGAGCCATGATGAAGGTTGATCAACAAACGACGATAAGATAACGTTACACATCACTATGTCGGATCCTACCATGTATGTTTCCACTGAGAAAGGATGACCTTTTTCTTTCCTGTGCATGCTTCACCCCCCATTTAATGGCAAGTTTTGGCAACTATCGTATTGGCAACTGTCAACAACATAAAGGTTGTGGCACAAAACAAGGTCGATCATCCAAATGTTTGGTTCATCACCATTACATTGATGACGAGGCTGCATCTTAATGGGCTGGGAGACGTGTACCATGCCTTTGAGACATGTGCCATTGCTATATCAAGCACAATGGCAGATCATCATATACACAGCAAACGACGTTCTAAGAACGTGCATAATGTAACGATGGTAAGCATCATCATTGATTGCGTGATGCACCAGTCATTTCACGATGATTCATATATGTTGGAAAACTTCAATGCTAAATCAAGTCCAGATTTGAGTATGGCTTAAACAATGAATGCAGTGATGGGATTGCCCTTAATGTGTGCTGCTGTCTAGGTACGCTTAAACACGTGCAATCCTATTTGGCCTTTCGGGATGGTGTTTGCATCCACTGCACTTGCCAGGTACAGGCCTTATTAATGTACTTGTATCGTCAACGTATGTTTGAGGAGGGGAAGGTCTTGTTGTGATAGTAGATCAAGGTATGGGTGTTGTTAGCTGGAGTAGTGGTAGAAAAAAGTGTCTTCATGGGTGCATCACGTCAGCAGCAGCTATGCTCAAGTTATTATCACCGCCATTTGGTGCACAAAATTTTGAACAGCCAAATGCCGCATCAGCTTGGAAGGCTCAACACGCAACGATAAAGGGCTCATCAAGCATAAAAGGAAACCTTCTTTGAGATGGATGGAGTTTTTCTTGTTTTGGGTATGCATGTCGGTGTTTGGTTGCATTGTTGGTCTGTGCCTCAAAACAGATGTTGGGGATAGCGGATGAGCAACCCAATCTATTCCCGCTTTCATTATTACACTTGCATCACACCAAGAATGACTTTTGACGTTCAAGACAACGTGTCAATATTGGACCTATTGACCACCTTGTATTGGTTTGGCGGTAAACGTGGATCTAAATGCTGTGTGTATGTATGTGGGCGAGTGGTAGAAGATGATCACCGAAACAATGTGGGAATAGGTTACACCAAAATGGGATCGTTACTTGATAAGAACCTCGTCTCTCGTACATCAAACCCGCTATTTCCAAAAATCGAGAGGACAAGCTGTGGGACGATGGGGTAAAATGGGAACATTCTCTCTCTCTTTTGCGTTCTTGTGCGCTAATTGTGGTGAGTGTGTGAGTGTGTGAGAGAGCTGAATGCAATGATGGGGATTGCTTAAATACAGGTCACTGCCAATTTTTTCCCACTCGATTGCAATCTTCTCTTTTCTTCTTTTCCTCCCCTCCCCAACAAAACATACTTCATGCCACAGCGAGACGTCTATAACCCATTGCTATTTGAGATTGCATGGGAGGTTGCAAACAAAGGTACGTTTTTTCTTTGTTACCATCATCGCATTATATAAGGAGGAGGCTGACATGACAATGAATCATAGTGGGCGGCATTTATACCGTTATCAAAACCAAGGTTCCTGTGACGGTACATGAGTTTGGTGACCGATATTGCTTGATCGGCCCACTATCAGCAGGCGCACCTATGGAGGTTGAGTCTCTTGAACCACCAGCAGGCCATATCAGGGACACATTGGAAATGATGGCGGGTCAAGGGGTGCGTTATCTTTTTGGACGATGGCTTGTGGAAGGTGCTCCCTATGTTTTGCTTTTTGATACAGCCAGCGTATCTCATAAGCTTGATGAGTGGAAAGGTGATCTTTGGCGTGCAGCTGGTATTCCTAGCCCTGAACACGATTTTGAGATGAACAACTCGATCCTTTTTGGATACCTTGTTGCATGGTTCCTAGGTGATTTGGCACCCAAAGTAAGTAATCCAGTTGCTGGAAAGCGAGGAATAACCATGACGGCATGTTGATAAAATACCATTTTCATAGTTCAGTGCTGACCCAGAAGCATCATCATCTGCCATGGTGAGGAGTCCAACAGTGATTGCTCATTTCCATGAATGGCAAGCCGGTGTTGCAATTCCATTATGCAAGAGCCGTCGCATTGACGTAACCACCATCTTTACTACTCATGCCACCTTGTTGGGTCGTTACTTGTGTGCAGGATCAGTTGACTTTTACAACAACTTGCGTAACTTTAATGTGGACAAGGAAGCAGGCGATCGTGGTATTTATCATCGCTACTGTGTTGAGCGTGCATCAGCACATTGTGCCGATGTTTTCACCACCGTGAGCCATATCACTGCCTATGAAAGTGAACATTTGCTCAAGAGGAAACCAGGTATGCATGCTTACCTTAAATGTTTGAAGACATGGTGGCTAATAGATTCTCATCGACATAGACGGTGTATTGCCGAATGGATTGAACGTCGTCAAATTTTCGGCCGTCCATGAGTTTCAAAACAAGCATGCCCTTAACAAGGAAAAGATCCATGACTTTGTGCGAGGTCACTTTTATGGTCATTACGATTTTGATTTGGAAAACACGGTCTACTTTTTCACGGCAGGGCGATATGAGTTTAGAAACAAGGGCGTTGACATGTTGTTGGAATCACTTGCTCGTAAGTAGAATTGGATCATGAAACTGGATAGCGGGTTGCAAGCATGTTTATGCATGAAATTTTCTACTCTCAGGTCTCAATCACCGACTCAAGGCAGCTCGATCCAACGTCACAGTGGTGACCTTCCTTGTCATGCCTGCACCAACTCATTCCTTTAATGTCGAAGCACTCAAAGGCCAGGCGGTCACTAAGCAGCTGCGTGAAACTGTTAACGATGTACAAGATCGTATTGGTCGCGAGATTTATGAACGAGCTTTGCGGTAAGGGCAATCTTTGCTATGCTATATATAGCCCCATCATGCTCACGTGTGGTATTGATATAGTGGAGAGGAACTTGATCCCAAAGATTGGTTGTCAGATGAAGACAAGGTCCTTTTGAAACGGCGCATGTTTGCACTCAAGCGATCTGCATTACCTCCCATTGTGACCCACAACATGGTAGATGACAACCAGGACTCAGTCATTGATAATTTGAGGAGATTGCAACTTTACAACAAGCCTGAAGATCGTGTCAAGATCATTTTTCATCCCGAATTCTTAAATGCCAATAACCCATTACTTGGCTTGGATTACGAAGATTTTGTACGTGGATGCCATCTTGGTGTTTTCCCATCATATTACGAACCTTGGGGATATACACCAGCCGAGTGTACGGTCATGGGTGTGCCATCCGTTACCACAAAGTGAGTATTCAAAGTATCCCGTCATGAATGGCATCTCACACATACGCATGTAGTCTTTCAGGTTTTGGATGCTTTATGGATGAAAATATAGAGAATTGTGAGGATTATGGTATTTACATTGTTGATCGTCGTCTCAAGTCAATCGAGGAATCGATCCAACAATTATGCGATTTCATGTTTCGATTCTGCCAAAAGACACGACGTCAACGTATCAATCAGCGAAATCGTACCGAGCGACTATCCGATCTCCTTGATTGGAAGAGAATGGGTCTTGAATATATGAAAGCGCGTCAACTGGCTTTGCGTCGTGTATACCCCGACTCATTCCTTGATGATGATGAGGATGAAGAGGATATTATGCCGATCCCTATGAAAATTCCCAAGCCGCTCTCCGCTCCTGCAAGCCCACGTTTACGTCGTCAGCTAAATGGCTACTTTGACCAAAATGAAGAGGATGAAGAAGATGAAGACCGTGCACCTATTCGACTCAAGGAGTTTCCAGCATTGAGACGTAACGCTGATGCATCCAGAGAAGAAGAACTCTTGCGAGAAGGCGACATTGCCACCCTTAACAACTTGACCCTGGAAGACAAAAAACAGCGACAGCATTGAAGCCCAACATTTTATTTGTATCTTTTTCTTTGTTCGAAAAAAAAGTTCCCTTTATCTATTATCTATCACATGTCGTTTCAGCATGTTGTGTGTGTATGTATGTGTGTGTGTGTGTGTGTGCGCATGGATTGGTTCATAAAGCTTTGGGGATCGATAGGCGTCGGGGTATGTTCGAGACCGCAAAGATACTCTTAACTCGATATGGATATAGGTTGAATAGCTGATATGGCGTGTGGCGTGCAGTGTGTATGTATCGATCATATGATAATGTGTGTAAGCTCATTGGTGGTCGGTGTCAATAAAGTGCGTCTATGCATGATTGACGAACTATGGTTGGATTTGTGCATTTGCATTTCACGGGCACCAACAGCAGTAACGAGGACCTTCGCTTGTAAACCACGCGAGAATAAGTCATCATGCTTATGATGTAGTTATGATACCGTGCGGACCAATAGATGATTAACACCCCCCAACTCTCTCTCGGTAAAGCATTCAATTCACTCCTTGCTCGTCTGCATAAGATTGGTTGAGCTTTATCTTCTCCTTTCTCCTCATCCTCTCTCTCTTTTCTCTCTTTTATACATAACCACGCACACACACAACTACACATCATGCACCTGTTATCAATATTCGTTCTTGCTTTTCTCTATCCCGCATTTGCATACAAAACCATCATTGACGTCCTCTCTGAAGATGCTCGCTTCGGAAGGTTAATCGAATCACTACAACGCAATCGATTGGTACCCGATGTCAACAACCTAGAGGCAGGCACTCTATTCGCACCCGACAATGACGCATTCCAACAATACGAAGGCGAAGTTACTCGCGAAATGTTGCTATATCATTTACTACCCGTTGGTATGGTGGGCCAAGACTTTTCTCATGGTCAGATACTCGAGTCCCTCTATGTTCGAGATGGCATGCTTGGCAAGGATCACTCTGGGCAACGTATCAAAGTGACAAAGGATGGCAACCTTGGGAAGGGGCGTGGCAAAGCATACATCAATGGTGCCGAGATTATCGACAAGGACCTCTACGTCAATAACCAGACCTACATTCAAGTGATCAACAAGGTCTTGGTGCCGCCACAGACATTAGGTAAGTTTATTAGTTATGTGAGAGGGAAGCATTATTAACATGTAATCTATAGGCGATGCATTGTTGAACAATGAAGAACTCCATGGATTGCTGGACAAGACTGGTGTTACCAAAGTGCTTAACGAGGCTCGCCCATTCACCATGTTTGTTTCTCGACAAAGTGTCCTCAACCCATTCAACCCTGTGGAGAAGGCCTACATGACATCTGATTATGGCAAGAAGGATTTGGCGACTTTTCTCAAGTACATGATATTGGAGGAAGCAAACTATGCAAGCGATTTCCCTAGTGGCAAGACAACGTGTGAGTACATTCACTTGAAGAGGTATAAAGCTATTCACTGACTCATTGAGAACATGCAGTTAAGACGCTTAATGGAGAGACAATTGCTATCTCTGTTGATAAGAACAATGCAATCACTGTCAATGGAGTACCGGTGACAAGCACGGATATCTTGGCAGCCAATGGTATGTGATAGGGGGTGTAGCGTGGAAACTAAAATGCCAAGGGATACGGGTCACTGATAATTTTCTTGGCTCTACCACAGGTGTTATTCATGAATTGGATGATGCATTTGCCCCAGGATCACTCGTATTTACATCACGCAAATATTTATACGGGGTCAATGCAACCAAGTTTGTCTCGCTGCTGGATGATTATGGCCTCGATCATTACATGGATGACAATGACAACAACCAAAAGTACACCTTCTTGGCACCTGGCAACGAAGACATCAATGAGGATATGATACCCAACATTTACAAACGCAATTGGCTCAGCTATCATATATTAACCGGATCCATGCCTCCCGATCAACTTGTCGATGGATCCTTATTGCGCACCGAATTCCTATCGAATGATCTTGCGGGTGCACCACAACGAGTACCGGTGTTGGTGGAGGCAGAAGGAGTACATACAATGGGTCGATCAATACGCTTTTCCCATTCACGTGTTTTGCAAGATCCTGGTACGTGATTTATGATGAGTGAAGAATGAAAAAGATTACTCATTTGCATATAGTGTCTGTGCAAGGCAACACAATTTATGAGATATCGGAGCCACTTTCATTGCCGGGCAGCTTCCTATCCAAGCTAGTTGTGGATCTTGAAATGTCGACATTTATCGCAACGTTGTATGTCTCTGGTGTTGCTGAAGAAGTCAAGCATAGCAGTGGGATTACCATGTTTGCACCAAGCAATGATGCTTTTCACAATCTTGGATTGGTGGCTCAATTTTTAATGCATTCATCCGGCAAACATCAGCTGCAAAATGTGCTTCGATACCACGTGATCCGAGGATTACTATACGCTGAGGATATCCGAGAATATGCACATGAAGTACCTACATTGGCAGATGCTACCATACGTGTTGGACCTGGAAGCAAGGATAATGAGCTTGTGGTGAGCCGGCCCTTCCCTTCTGCTGAGGAAGCTGTTATTAGCGAAACAGATTTGCTTGTTAGCAATGGCGTGGTCCACAAACTTAACAAGGTGCAAGTGCCGGATTATGTACGCATCACAGCACGCGATCTCATGGTTGGTGTTGAGGCGAAGACGATGATGGAGGTGCTTGAGCAAACAAAATTAATGAGCACGCTCAACAAGACGGATTATGTGGTGCTCGTACCCACCGATGCTGCCTTTGCACGTATTGATCTCGATGCGCTGTTACAAGACAAAGATGCATTAGAGCGGCTTGCCAAATTACATCTGGTACCCATGGCATGGAAGAATGAATGGACAATGTCAAGCAACAAGGACTCTGAATACCCAAGCTTGCTTTCGGATGTTGATAAGGTCATCTTTAGAGAAGAAGGTGATGGCGATATGATTATTCGTGTCAAAGATCAATCAGGTGGTGTGCCAGCTCGTGTACGAGGAATGGGTAGAACCTACGACTCAACCAATGGCGGTGTGCTGCTTATCGACGCCGTATTGATTCCTGTACATCGTGGCTTTTTCGGGTTGCCATTTGGATGGTCTATCTTTTTGGTGGTTGTGCTTTCACTTATCATTGGATCAATCGCTGGTGGATGCGGTTTTATCGGCTACAAGATTTACACACGTAGACGATTGGGCTATACTAGTATTTCAACGTGATTCAACAGCAACGACGTTCTTGTATAAAGACCATGAGAAAAAAAAGAAGTATTATTATGCTGTTGTGTTTGGGAATTGGATTGTGGTGATGAATAAGGTTAGACGAATGTGGAGATATAGGCAATGGAGACCTAACGGATGATGTTGTTGTGTGTGGAGTTTGAGATGGGATGGGGGAATAAAATAAGGGGATGGGTGGTTGTTTAAGCATCAGCTTGATCTTGATCTTGAGTGGGTCTTTGCTTGAGAACAAGGTCAGAGCCAGTCATACGACGGTAGATGTTTTTGACATCATCGCAAACAGATTCAAAGTGGGAGGTAGCATCGTATGAGCGAGAGATGAAGACTTGGTCCGAAGTGCCATCAGCCAGGGGCTCTTCCAAATCCAACACCGAAACAAATCTGCAATGTAACACATGAGTATCTTAATAAAGGAGAGGAGACCAAATAATGATACTTACTTGTCATGAATGGGTCCCATCAAATCCAAACCAGCCTTGATTTCATTTTCAGGATCCTCAGTCTCAACAACAGTGGAAGCAATAGCAAGGTACATATCCTTGGGGCACACATTGTGGTTGCTGGAGACACAGGCGACGTAAACATCATGCTTACGGTTGAGCTGGTTTTGAGGAATGACGATTTGAACAGAGTCGGCGTCACCAGTGTTGGGGATAGGGTGCTTCAACAAGCAAATAGCACGAACAACTTTACCAGTGGCCTTGACCAAGCTCTTTGCATAGGATGGGTCACAGATGATTTGCTTTGCACGAGCAACCTCGTTACCAGATCGGACGCCAACAGCAACACCATTCTCGTAAACGATTTCATCAGCAGCACGATCGAGCATGTAGGTACCACCATAGATAGCACTCAAACTAAAAGTGACATTGAATAAGCATACACATCCAACAACAAGAAAGCAAGAGACAGGGGTGAAGTGTAAATGAGGAGAGGATGGGAGCGGAGAAGGATAAATGATACGAATGTGTGTGTACGTGCGTGTGTGTGTGTGGGGCGCAAAGTAGGGGTGTCACGAGAACAACAACTTACCGAGCAAAGGATTGGGGCAATTCACCCAAACCATGGAGAGGATAGATGTAAGGGCTCTTGCCGTAGCGAGCAATGGAAGCAACGTAAAGAATGATCTTGTCAATAGTCTCGCGAGCAGGCTTTTCAAGATAACCATCATCCAAGTGAAGTGCCATGGCGTGACCTAAAAATCATGCATTTGTGAGACACACACACACTCCTCGGGATGTCACTTTTTGTCTCCTATAATAGCTACTTACCAATAAAGTCCTGGGTACCAGGTTCAAGTCCAAACTTCTCATAAACCTTGATCATGGTATCCTTATCCAAATCAAAGCCTTCGTGTGTAGATACATCCTCCTCCTTCCAATTCTGAATGAATTCCAAGAACTTTTGCAAGCGTCTCTTTTCAACCATGCCCAAAAGAGGAGAAGAGATAGCTTCGGTTTCACTGGCAGGGACCTTTGAGATTTTGCCATCGCGATATACAAAGGAGCCAGCAATTTGCTTGAATTCGAGATAGCGAGTGACATCCGTATGGGTCAAGAAACGCACGATTTCTCCGTTGGCCATCATGAACTTGGGAATCAAATCGATGTTGTAGTCGCGGTCGCGACCCAAATCAGTAGGCACCTCGGCGTCAGGGCGGAACTTGGCATACAACTATGCATCGAGTCAGCCATTGATATGCATATTGAAATGGGGCCAGCAAAATGACACTATACCTGCTTAAGATTAAGCGAAGCAGATTCACCACCATAATAGTCGTTACGGTCCATATGCAAGACCTTTTTGCCCTCAACAGAAAAGATACCCGAGAGAATGCATTCGGTCAAGCCGGTGCCAAGAACAATGATGTCGTATTGCTCATCCTGAACGTGTTCGATTGCGTGAGTGAACGAGTGAATGAGATGGGGGGAGATGAGGGTTGAGAATGAGACTTACCATAGTGTGAAGAAGTATTTGGTTGTGAAAAGTGAGAAAAGAAAGAAAGCAAAGGGGCCATGGAAACGTGTGAAGGATGAGCTTATAAAGGGTGTGGGTTGCTTGTGCTGTCAACCATGGTGCTGGGTTGAGTAGGTTTAGAAAACGTGATACACACCGTAATGCACGTTTTCTCAGCCCCCGGGATAATGCCTTTTACGGATGCATTGAACGTGGAGAGGAGCACCAGGGATCTTTGATACTGTAAATGGTAACGTACTCTTGAGCCTTGTTGTCCAAAAACACCCCACAGCATCGTGTATCATCTTTTGAGTCCGCAGTAATGCACATAGTCTTTTCCAAGTAGATCGCCATGTGCCTGAAAAAGTAGTAGTTGATTGTCGCGTAGATGATGTATTATTATGAATGAGGCCCTGATGTCAATGTATATCCCAAACAAACAACACCACGTAAATCCATGTATAAAAAGTCATCCGACCAGGACAAGAGCAAGATCTTGTCTTGTTCTTCCTTTTCCACTAGAACAACTTGTTGTCAACAGGGTCCAGCATTGATATTGTCGTCATGAGCACCAAATTTCCAAAAAGCAAGAGGCAACGTCTTCATCATCAACGACAATTTCGGTTGTATATTGGCAACGGCAATTGGGTCACTCTACCCAACACCGTAACAAATGATTTGCTTGATATTTACGAACGAGGTGTTGCTGCTCGATACCATGTTGCCCCAGGTCTTGCTTTCGATATCATTCCCAACGACATGGATTGTAATAGTAGAAATGCCAGCTTGCCAAAATTGATGCGCGTAGATCTTTGTTATGAAGGTGCTGATGACATTAATACGGTACAAGAACGTCTTTCTTTATGGGTGAAGCATGTATTGGAAGCACAAGGCACAGTGGATGCATTTCCTCCACCAACAATAAACCCCTCCTCTTCGGACCGAAAAGAAGATAATGGGCCGCCTACACTGCCACGTGTCATGTCCTTGGATCCTCATCGTCATTTACACCTCGTGCCTTCATTGCCTCTTTCTGTTGCTGGTCGACGTAAGACACCCATAGCACAAACACCCACCACCACGTGTGATAGTACATCACCATCCCAATCTCACCCCATCCAATCATTGACAACAACCAGTGATCATAACCCTGTTTCTTCTCGACATCATATCACAACAACCACACAATCAAGCAAGCGAATCCGCATTCGACAACGTCAACAATCACCCTCTTGTTCTTTATCCACAAGTTCATTCTATTGGACCAACACGAATTGTAATGATTCTGCATTGCTTGCATCCTACCGAGAACGACAACAATTGGGATCATATGATGCTTTTTTGCAGATGCCGCATGGACCACCATCATCTTGGCACCCACTAGGTGACACAATGTCATTCTCTTCTTCCCACGACCGTCATCTTGCTGAGGCATATCGAGGTGGTGGTAATAGTAGTAGCGATATCAATCTCTGTGATGCTGTTCTTTCTTTTCCAAATTGGCCCTTGCTTGGTACCGACAACATGAATCAACAGCAGCATCAACAAGAGGCAATTGTAAATCAGCGGAGCCGACTTCATCACAACCCATTGTTGGCCCATACACCACAAGAACCAGCAGCACAGCTCACCACAATGTCATCCTTGTCTCAATCTCCTCCTCCTCCTGCAGTTTTCCTTTCCAATGATAACGGTGTTGTCGAGCAATCTCTTCCCCAAAGCCCTGAGTTGCCCCAATGTAGCATGAAAGCAAAAGAAGCTGAACCCTGTACACGACTCTCGGATACAGCTTGAACTCATCGTTGATCAAAAAGCTATTTTTAGCCTCCAGCTCATTCACACTTGACAACAATAAAAGAAAATCGTCCTTTGTAAATTCATCCGCAAATTGGCTTGTTGAAAGAAAATGTACAAGGCTACTAGCAAGGGTGGTGGATTCGAAGGTGATCATTGTCTAACAAGAGGACTCTTTTCTGCTTCATCCCAATTTTTCTTCAGTTGACGCAAATGAGTTGCTGCTTCGATCAACGATTCCTCGTATCTTTTTGAAAGAGGACGATCTGATGCTGATGGAGGAAGGTTGCGAGCTGTGAATGCCGATGAAGCTTGAAAAGGGGATGGTATTGATAATGCGGTGCCGACATCCAAATAGGCAGTGACGAGTGTGTCCAGCAGCTCACTTTGTTGTGGTCCTAAACACGTACGAGCAGGCGAAGATGACAAGCTGAATTCGATCCATCGATGTCTCATGCGTATGAAAGTCTTATCCTTCTCCATGCGATCCACTCCCACAACCAATTGTGCCTTGTGTGCAATGTCTATCGCGTCCTGCAATCCTTGCCCTCGATATATAGGCTCCGATACCATGTTGAATGCAATATCATCCATGATCTATAATACACAATGAGTATAAAGCCCAAGCACAATAATCAATTCGTCCTTACCTTCAAGCAAGCCTTGCCATATTTACTCACAACAACATTGAAGCCGAGAAATTGTAACATGGGGAAGGTGTCGCCAACATCAGCCGATTCACCATCCTGCAGCTGTGCTTTCCAGTTCTCTTCCTTTTGTTTCACTTGTATCAGCCTGTTAAGAGCGTCGCCATAGCTTCTTTTCACAAAACAAGTGAGAGCTTCTGTCATGGCTTGGGCGAGACCTGCAAAGATATCATATTGTCTCCACAATGCTGATAGATTGGGATCGTATCTAGATTCTTGTTCATGCACCACTGATATCCCCTGATAATAAAGTATACATTAGATAATGTTCCCCAAAACAAAAGCAGACTATTACTTACATTGTGGTCACTTGTGTAATGCGAGAGAAAGATTTCCAATGCTTCGGATGATTGAAGGATTGCAAGAAAGTATTCAAATCTACCATAATCGAAATAAGCAACCAGTGGATTGCATCCACAATGCCATCTTACCCTTTGCATATCTTGGGATCATACGCCAAAAATTCGGTACCAGCAGTCATCAAGATGCTAATAGTGGTCCTCAACTTTTCCATTGCAGCAGGGTTGTTGCGAATACCAGGTCGAGGTGAGGGAGGTTCGGATGACATGGATAATATGCTGGATGCGTCGGTATCTTCGTCTGGGAATCCACTTGAAGAATCATTGTGGTGATTGGTATCTTGATTGTTCATGGCTGCATAAGCTCGAACTTCTTCCTCAAAGTCATCGTTGTCCATGCGAATGAAGTCCTAAGGCCATGCTACATGTTAGCATTCAACTTCCATAAAAACCCATCCTATTTACCTTTAGACTTTCGGGTATACATCCTCTTGCTTCCGATTGTGACAATTTTGGTACTGAGCAATCCATATAGGTGACAGCGAATGGAAGTCTTTCTTCTGCAAGCACCTCGGCCTCCGTCACTTTAGAAACGTCGCCCTCGCTGAATCGATACCATTGACCTCCTTTGTCCTTATCCTTGCGCACCCATATATGACACCAATATCGCTCATGATCATCACCTCTCTCACGATACACCACAGACTGTAAGCCGTAGGGTTTCATCTTAAAGTTGTCGTCCTTGAGTATACTGGCAATCTTGTGGCGAAGCATCGATATTTTTTGGTTAACATCTAGATACGCGGAAACCAATCAGCCTTAAATGATGTGTGCGGCCAATGTTAACTTTCTTACCAGTGGTTTGCTTGCCGATATGGGATTGGATAGCATCATGCATAGTCATAAGTGATCCGATTGCAGCGTGATCCGGTCGCTTCTCCTTTACATAGGATAGTGCCATGCTAAGAATGTCGCAGCGATCATAGACTTGTGCTTCCATGCTTCTATACTACCAATATTAGTAACCAATCCCCTTCATGAAGCTTTGATTGAATTCGTAATACGCACCTGTCATTCACCGAAATATTCTTTATACTGTCAATTGCTTTCTCAACCTCCTGTATTTCTCGTCGCCATTGTCGGGCTTGTGCACAACGCTTCATTAGCTCGTTCTTGTTCTCTGTCAGATATCGATCCAAGTAGATGGTCTTGTCAAGGCAATAGCGAGACGAAGAAGATGTACTTGCTTTATGGTGTATGGTAGCAATCAGGATACGGGGAAGCTTGTCAAACGTCAAGAACGGATCGTGTTGTGCATCATCAAGCTCTTGTGCATCAGCCTCCATATAATCCAAAAGTCCTTGACGACATCCAAGACACGCAAATCCCGTATGAAAAGTGCTCATATTCCCATCCACTTCCAGCGTAAGATGATATGTTCCATTGTTCTTCATCACGTCGCCCAGCACATCAAGCATTGTGCTTTGGAATAGGCTATGATCATGCCGTAAGAAGGGTTGCCGATATTGTATTATCATGCGCTTAGATCCTTGCTTTACCTTGTCAAGGTCATTGATGGCTTGGAAGTATTGGCTCGGTGATCCTCCATTTTTACAAGATATAGAAGCAACTTTTCCAGAAAATCTTGAGAAAGAACACGTTGTTAGATGTTAAGTGAAAGAATAATTGTATATAGATGCATTACCATCGACGTCGTTATCCATGGTTGGGGTCAAGCATGCAATCGATTCTCGTTCCAAAGCTTGCATGAGTTGTTTGACGCTGCCATATCCTCGATTTGAAAATGAGAGAAATCCGAATAGCTTTTGTAATTCACAAAGCGCTAAGATGGGGTCGTTAGTATAAGCTGTTTGTTTACTTGATGGTGTATCTTTACCCAAACTACTTTTTGGCAAGCTGTTGTTGTGGTGGTGCATGTCGTTGGCTGTTGTCAGATCCGATGCATCATCGTCGCCAAGGTCGATAAGCGGTGATGGGGGTGGTGTTGCTGACGACGATTGTGATGTAATGGGTGGGTATGTTGGTATCTGGTCACTTTCGCCACACCAATAGTATCTTGGAGATCCCCAGTCATACGTTGTGGGTTGAAATGATAAAATAGCTTGATGGATCACAGGGATGTGGAAGAGCACTTGTACAAATGCCGGTAGATAAGGTAAACCATAATACACAGGAGCAAGGCCAATACATCTGTTACAGGAATTGGTGAATGAGGAAACATAAAAGGTGTCGATCCAAGTACTTACGAATCATCGATAGCCATACGTTTAGAGGGGTCGAATGGATCCGTCCAAGGTGTCGTGCTTGATGAATCCGGTGGCGGTGTCTTGTCATGCGAAATCAATCAGTGTCATTCATCAAGCCAACACTAAGACCACCATACTACCATCTCCTTGTTTCCATTATCATTCCATGTCGCTGGTTGAGGTTCAGGGATAGTCTGCCATGACGCTTCCGAAGCTGGGTCTTGTGAAAAATTGACTACATGAAGTTGATCAGCATACTCAGCTTGACACCATTGTTACTATAATCACCTTGCTCTTTGTGTACATCCATGTCCTCAACACAAGTCGTATTCTTGACCTCCACATTCACCTCTCCAGAGAAGTATGCATCTGCAGCACGAGCAACATTGAAATTGTGTCGCTAAAGTTGAGTGAAAAAGGGGGTCAGTAATGCGTGTCAATGAGCGTGTTCCTTCCCATTCGACCTACTGCTAGTGAAGTGACAGCTTGCTCCCAGGTAAGCCCCTTGGAGATTGTGATTGCAGGTTGTGAGTGAGTGAAGTATGCCATGTTTGACGCATAATCACCATTTCCACAAGAAGTTGAATGGCTTGTTGTTCATCCTGGCTGGGCGGCGACATTCTGTCAAACTCGAGAAAGAGACGCGGGTAGCCAAAATCGCACTACTGCTTTATGCAGCCGCATTCATTATCCTAGCTCAGATCCAATGGCACTGATGTATCATGCTTAGGTTTAGATACCCTTTTGATGGCCCAATAGCTCGATAATCTATCATTCACCCCCTCATCAATATATGCTACGTTTCGTAAATAGTATTAAGTGCCTAATTTACCTGATGTCATATTGCTTGGGGCTATGGGATGATGGTAACTTGCTGCTCACCTATCAATAACCAATCGTCCAAGGATATCGGTTAATCATTGCTTATCCATCAAGGGGCCATTCAAACGTCAAATACCTACTCTCACCTTAGTCTCCCAAAGCAGCAAGCGAAACTTTCTTTTATGCATCATCAATGAGAAGTGCTATTGAGTGCTACCCCTATGTCTGGTTGATGCATCGGTTGAGCTTTTTACACGCGTCAAAGCTCGTAAGAGGGTTGACATGAGAACAACACTTATCAATGTGTGAGGTCTTCTTATCTCACGGAATAAAGGGAATTATTGGCGTGTATTGCATATACCTGAACACAGATGACGAACAAAGTTTAGAGATGTACGGAAGCACCTTTCATATTCCCACCAGAGTTTAATCACAATGTGCATGACCTTCGTACCTTTAATTTGCACATTCCATATATGTGAGGATGATATGGATCGCTATTGTTATATCATCTCGCTTTTGAAATCTATGGTGCTAGCTACCTTGCTGCATGTACTCATCCCCGGATCAGATCTTTTCACAGGTAGCGTGATGAAGATCATTGTTGTTAATCTAAAGGAACAAACGGTGTATGACATTTTTCAGGAAAGCCTTGTGCAACCAGAGAGGGAATTCCATATATGATGATATGTAGATTCACACACGGCCAACGAACATCAGGAACCCATCTTTGGATTACGAGATACACAAACCATGCGAGTCAAGAAGAATCCTCTTTTCCGACAACCACACTCATCCATATCAACAACAGTATAAAAAAGGCACGAACTCCCCAAATCGATCCTCAACACGAAAAAATAAATCCTCGGCACGATAAGGATGATTACAGCTACCGAGAAGCATGACATCGCAGAGGTTTGATCTTGATACTGTATCCATCCTTTTGTGTTTATTGCTTACATAACGTTGCATACGTAGGTTGAAAAGGTTGAACACATCATCGGTGTTGATTCCACCACAAATGCACCACCCGAAAAAGACGAGGACGCACAACGTCTTGAGGACCTTGGATACAAGCAAGAATTCAAACGTGAGATCAGCCTGCTAGTGCAAGCTGGTTTTGCGTTCTCTACAATGGCTGTTTTACCGAATTGGTATGCCAACGGTCGTTAGATAATCCGGGTTGCATACTCAAAGCGAAAACTTAGGCTTGTCGGTTTCGGAGGTACCATTAGTTCGGGCGGCCCAATGTCTCTCTTTTGGGGATTTGTAAGCTCTTCTTGCTGATCCACCTTTTACATGTCAATCATCATGGTTGTACCCCTTCAACACTAATCCCAACCACGTGATTAGATTGTTGTCTCGCCTTTTGTCATGTGTATCGCGCTTTCAATGTCTGAGGTGTTTTCAGGTTTGTGGGCTTTGTATTCTACAAGGCGATTTTTGATATATTAATATCATGCAACTCAAACAGCTTATCCTGTCAATGGCGGCATTTACTCTTGGTGCTACCTTCTTAGTACACCTGAGTGGGGACCATGTATGGAGCTATGGATGAAAGAGTAGAAAGCATACATGCTTAACTCTCCTTTACATAGTGATGTCGTGGATTTGTGGATACATGTTTGTGGCGGCACTATTAACATCAACGATGACAGTCGTATACACCATGACCGAGTACATTATTGGTAAGAAGATAAAGCACTATTGCCATGACCTATGAGATGGCCATTGATTTGTCTCCCATCATCAGCCGCATACAACATCCTTAACGAGAAGCAGATCAATGATATCGGTGCGAACATTGGACTATTCATTGCCTTGATGGTGATCGGCGTTGGCTATAGCTACCTCGGTCTAAAGTTTAATGGGTATCTTAATAAGTTTATGGGTAAGAAAAAAGCCGCATCGAAGGTCGTCCTACTGCATAATGATGTATGCTGATCACGATATGCAGTGTTATGGGTCTTCGCAAGTACAATGATTGTTGTAATCGCAATGCCTGTTATGGCAGAGACGCATCCTTCAGCTCGATGGGTGTTTACAGAATTCCAAAACACAACAGGATGGCAAAATTCAGGGCTTACATTTTTGCTTGGCATGCTTCAAGCTGGATGGTCATTAGTTTGTATCACTCGTTATCGCACCTAATTGACTACTAGTATTCATGCTGGAATGTACTATAGATCGGATATGAAAATGGTGCCCATATTGCAGAAGGAACACTGAATGCTTCCAAGACTGGACCCAAAGGTGTCCTTTGCAGCGTGATCCTTGCCATTATTCAAGCCATCGTGATTTGTATTGCAACGTTGTTTTCGATTCAGGATATTGAGGAGCTCCAGTCATCTTCTTTTCCCGTTGCTACGCTCTTTCTTCGTGCCACCAATCCGAATGTGGCTGCTTTTTTGCTATCTATCATTGCCATTTCTCAGTTTGGGTGCTTGTGTAATGTCATTGTTGCAACAGGCCAGCTAATGTGGGCAATGGCTCGTGATGGATGCATTCCCAATCACCAATTTTGGTATAAGCTCCATGGCAAACGTCAAATCCCTCTCCGGATTTTCATTTTGGTGGCGGTCATTTCTATCATTCTCGTGATACCGGTAGGCCCCTCTTATTACATTCGGCATGAAACATCTAAATAACTAAGTGCATACGATGTTACTTAGATCCTAGCTAGTAGCGTGTATTGGTCGGCCCTCATGAGCACTTCGGTGATTTGTGCTAATGTTGCATATGGCTTACCTTGTCTTTGTCGGTTGATTTGGGCACGTGACATCCCAAAAGGTCCTTTCAATCTTGGAAGGTACAGTATGCTGACCAACATGATTGCTGTCGCATGGATCGGTTTCTTCAGCGTGGTTCTTTGTATCCCCACAGTAAATCCTGTATCACCAGAGACAATGAATTGGTCATGTCTTATGATTGGCGTTGTATTACTCTTTGCCTTGGCATTCTGGTACATTAGCGGAAGAAAACATTACAAGGGACCTATGCAAACCGTTCATGACAAGGAAGCGATCAAAGAAACGCAAAAATGATGGCCATTGCCTTTAGCCTTATCCTATATGGCCTTTTGTTGACATCCAACAAGCAGAGCATGTAGCATTATTACTTCTTTTGTAGACAAAATATTTTTATGTCGTATGTAGTAATTGAATGATCTAGAAGATAGCATAATAGAAAGTTCTAAAACTACTCACACAGGCTTATTTACAAGCATGATACGGGTATATTTATATTATGGAAATGAAAGTGACCAGATCACCAATCGAGTTATGCTTGATTGATTCAGCACGAACTGTTTTTAGTGCCTCAACCACATCAATGCTGCCGACTCTCCATGGATTCGTCGTAATTGCTGGCCACGGTTCAAGGTTCTCAAATGTGTAAACGAATCGACGCGTGGAATGGTGCTCGTCGCTGTGAAAAGAAGTTTCATCCATGTTGAGTTCATCATTGTTGTCGAAAAGCGTGTCAGAGTTATTGATCTGTTGCGGAATGGGCGACATGGCACATTCAAAAGGCTGAACTCCCTCTGACACCTACAAAAGAAAATGGGTCAATAAGATACAAGCAAGCATGCCCATACGAATATTACATTTTGATCCAAAGAACATTGTGAAGAACTTGCCATTGCAGTTGTATCGTTGTTGCGTTGAGCTGTTCGAAACAAGTGGTTAGACACGAGAAATGGATACGATCAAGACAATAATAGATATTACCTTTTTGTTCAATGTTTGCCAATGCAGCATTTGTAGCTCTAGGAGCTGTATTGCCACTGCCGCTGAGGTTCTTTTTTTCGCATGGCCAGGTATGCAACCAGATCCTTCTTGAACTGTTTGTTGCTCTTCATGAACTTGGAACAATTCTGGGCGTGCTTTTTGACTTGTAGGGGGGGATTTCATCGTCAGCTGCCATCGAATCGAAGTTTTCGGTCAACTTCGGGCATGTATTATTTATGTCACCTACAAAGAAGTCCCAACTTCCTATCAGGCTAACCATCCTTATATATAAATGATAGTTGTACCTACCACAAGAGATCCATCAAGAACCGTAGCCAAAGGTTATTAGGCAGCAATGAGCACACAAAGCGGTAAAGGAATGATGTGAGCTACATAGATGAATGCATGAATACCTTCATTTTCGGAATCACATAAAGACTCTCCTTGAGACTTACCAAAGGCCATTGATGATGATATGCATACAAGTAGAGAGAAAGGGCTTATGATAGTGTTGGTGCAACGAGCCTTGTTTATATACAAGTGGGCGTGGGAGATGTTGTCATGATGGATCGAACTGATAAAGTGGTCAACCATCTTGGAGTGCCGAGTCGAAGTGATGAAACTGATAAATCCACCTGCGGCTTTAAAGGCGATCTTTTTGTAGGTGCCATAAGTATGTCCACATCAGGGATAACTGTGTCATTGTTTCTTGGTTGCTGCCGTCATAAACGTCGCTCACCCATGGTTGCAAAATAGCTGCTGCATGCATCGACTCGAGTATTCCAAAATCATCCAACATTGCTGCTGATCCTTCTCCAGTGGTCTATCTCTTCCTTGTTCATTTCCCACCGCAGCTTAACCAGGCGAAGGTTGCTTGTATTGCGGGGTAGTTGATGGCTGATAAGGCGTCATCCAAAGTAGACATCACGTTGTCAAGGGAACCAAACCGGTCAACACACCCATTTCTTGCATCCCATGTACCAAAGCAAAGCCGTATTCAGGTCCACATCCGTAAAAAGTTGTATGTATTGAAACACGTTGCTACACGTAAATAATGTTGCTTCTATACATTGACTATCTGCCGTTCACGTAGACAAGGCTGCAAGACATGTTGCAGCAAGTAACTTGAGACAATGAAGCAAAGACCTTCCTAATAGCAACAGCTGCTTCGTTGGGTCGTGGAAGAGGAGTATGCAAGAGCGTGTGTTGTAGTAGTAGAGCGACAACATTGCGAACGTTGTTTGACACAATGGAGAAAAGACCTCGCTAATAGCAATTGCTGCAATGAATGCTGTTACGTTTGGATGTGGTTGAGGATTGTACAAGAGAAGGTGAAGTGTCAAAGAAAGCAGGTGTTGTTGTAGTGCTGTGTACACGCCATGAAGTTGCCATTCGGTAAAAAGCAATCGGATTGAGGCAGTTGTAGGCTTGTCATTGATGGGCTGAAGCAGGACAATCGTTCGCAGGGGGTAGTTGTACTTGAATGCACCAACAGTTGAGAATGGGAGCAAGAGGGAAGAAGTTGAGAGTGGGAAGAGCTGTGAATTTAAGTGAGTTGAACTGAAGTTGAATGCTACTTCTTTGTTTGAGCGTAACTTGGTCAAATCCTCTCGGATCAAGAAAGTTGAATGATGGGCATGCTGGGCTAGAGCAGAACAATCGTTCATATGCATTGGATTGGGAAACAAAGGCGAATGGAAGGAACGGGCTATTAGCTGGCAGTTTACAAATAACTTTGCAAAATGATTTTTGTGAAATTGGATGATGTTTTGTGTTTGAGCGTAACTCAACCAAATCCACTCGGATCAAGAAAGTTCAATGATGCGAATGATGAGCTGGAGCAGGACAATCGTTCATATGCATTGGATTGGGAAACAAAGATGATTGGGAGGAATGGGCTATCGAGTGGCACTTTACAAATAACTTACCAATTTGATTCTTCTGATATTGGATGATGTTTCTGTATTTGAGCGTTTTTCAGTCAAATCTCATCGGATCAAGAAAGTTGAATGATGGGCATGCTGGGCTGGAGCAGGGCAATCGTTCGTATGCATTGCATTGGGCAACAATGGAGAATGGGAGGACTAGGTTATTAGCTGGCATTTTAAACTATCCCTAAATAGTGTACAAGTATCATGCATCGTCTGTGCTGACTGACTCAAGTTGCACAACATGTCCCTCTGCATCTTTGGCTCTATTATAGTCATACTACTTTACAATGAACAACGAACTCTTTTCATATAGCATCACGCTTACACAATATGTAAAACATAAAGGTGCCTGGATCTCTAAACTTTACAATGAAACGTGGGGTCTTTAATAGAACCATGTTGCTCGGCGGGGTCAAAGCGATCTTGTGTCAAACTATGAAGTCGATCGTGGCCGATCCCAATTTCACCCAATGTCGCTACCAGCCAAACTGGATCTGGGGTTCGACCTCTTCGACGACGACGACCAAAAAAATATTTTTTGGGCTAGTTGCGACATTGAACGTGAAACTTTCACACAAGGTGCTGTTGACCAAGCCGAGCCCATTGCTCTATTAAAAACCTCACGTTTCATTGTAAAGTTTGGAGATACTGGCACGTTTATGTTTTACCTATGCTGTAAGCGTGATGGAGTTGCTTTTTCCTAGTGGATGGTGTCGGCTGCATTAACGGAAAGATGAAGAGCTGAGTGAAACGGCACGTGGTGGTTACACAGACACGTCCTTGACAGGTTGCTACACAAATGGATGACGATGATGATTGCCTTTTGTACGTAAGTAAACAGCATCCAAACATGAAGGCGTGTGAAGGTATGTATCACATTTACATGTAGAAGAAAGTCGAGCTGCATAAACCAATTTGTATATGTAAAAAGATACATATACATATTGAATGAGTCACTCATCCTGAAACTCAATGGAGGGATCTCTTCACTCTTTCTCTTCTCAAGCTCCTTATTGTATCACAAAAGCCATGTACTTCTTGCATGACCGATAACTGGACCATCTTTATTATTCCATCTTCGAAGCAATAGTATGTAATCCACAAGCTAGCAACTTCCAACAAGCGTGTAATAAATAAGCAATGCTTTATTTCATCTAGCTATCTTGCTATGTACTGTACATTGCCACCACCATCCTCGTAGTCCTCCATCATCATTCCTACTCGTACTCGTCACCAGTCGTCAATCTCATCCGTCACACCAACATCCAAAAATACACAAGTTGAAAAGAATGGGATCTTGCAGGCTTCCTTTGAATCTCGTTGTCGTCATCATTGTCATTGTTGTGGATGGGGTGGTCATCGTAATCGTCATTGTGGTAAATGTGGTAATCATCGTAATCGTCGTCTCTACAAATAAGAAAGCAAGCAAGTTAAACCATCTGGTACAGGGAATGATGACGATTTGGTATACAGTTAGGCGATCCTCTCTAAGGAAGAAAGCAAATCAGAAGGAATTCACAAACCAAATCACCACCATACGAGCAGCGTCGGGCGATCCCTTGTTCTTGAGAAAGCACTGCACGAATCACGCAAGGCCAGTTCGATCCATGGCAAGGAAGGACATCACTTACGTAGAGTCCAGGCTCATAGTTGTGCTCATTCATTCTCTCCAAAGAAAGAATGATCCCCAATCCTTCCAATCATTTTCCCACCTCATGAAAAGAAATCCTCAAGGGAAAGAACGAGCCTATCACGAGAAGAGCGTGTTGGTTAAACACATTCACAAGCTGTTGCAAATGCCCTTTTACCTCAACATGGTGACCATGCTCTTCCAAAAACCCATCGTCATCGACCATCAACTCAAACGCAGGCCTATAGAACCCTGGACGCGTTCTAATAAGCTTTTCCAGCACACTTGGCTAGTGCAGAGCGACGCAGCGACCACTTGATACAGGCTGGGACTTGAACCCAAAGAGATGATGATGCCCCAACAAGTTACATTGCCTGACCAAAGAAACCTATTCAATTCATTATTAGCACACACACAATAAACACCCTTTTCATTGTTTGTTTCAGTGTACTTGCCTTTTCCATATACACAAAAAACCCCTTTGTTGTTGGTTACTGGAAGCCGAAAACATGGTGTAGTATAGTTGAGCCGAAACAAAACGCCAAACCAGCCAACGTCTTGAAACCAAACTTGCTCTCTATAGAAGCTGACGCGTCAATGGAACCAATTCGACTGCAACACTGGACTCTGATTGTACCTGTTGACACCAAGCGTAGAGCGGGAATAGCAACGATCGAAAGGAAGCAACAATATCGCCATGGCAACCACCAACCACCAACCACCAACCACGCTCATTCCTCATCACTTTGGACACACTTACTCCCTGACAATGCATGTTCAGAACCATGTTAATGCCTCACAAACAACAAGAGCGCTCCTTTATAGTACATTACCTTGATCGAGATGTCGTGAATGGAATAAGGAAAGGTGGGAGAAAAAGAAGAGAAGCGTTGTCTCAAGTCGTGGAGCTACCGACCCCCAAGTTTAAATCCCCTACTGCTATTACACTGAGGCCACTCAATTACCCTATACACACCATCCACCCAAACACACAACTCACCCATCATCTTCATCACCCTCAAGATAGACAATAGGTATATGTAAATAAAAGATATGAAGGTTTGAAGGTTAGGTAAATACCCATTGTGAGTATACATATCATCTCTTGCAACATTGTAAATAAGCACTGATCTTTAATCTCATTCTTCATAGTGTAATTCATTGTTATCCTGCTCTCATTGTCGTCGTGCCCGCTTGATATTGGATCCTTGCAAAAAGTTACTCATGCTGTTTGAAGCGCTTGCTTATTAGATTTCTAGATACTTTTAGGGTAACGATTGTAGTGATGAAGATAGGTACAAAGGGTTGATAGCCAATCTAGACTATCCGGAATTGAAGTGCTGCAAACATGATAATCTCAAATGGAAAGAGCAACAAGCACCAATCATTAGGAGAAAATCCACTTGTTGTTGGATCCACTGCCTATACAGGCACTTCTCACGCTTCCAGGTAAATATTTTTGCCGTGGAATCGGGAAGATGAAATCATATATGGTTGACAAGCTGGTGTTCCTATTGTTTATTAGGAAGGGTCAAACACAGGTCTCAGATCATTGCTTTTTCAATATGGCATCTACATTGTAGCCGTAAGCGATTGCGAGGTGACATCAACGACGATAGTATGCTCCAAGAATGTGATAGATTGTTGCTCACTGCATGGCGTAGATGTGATGGAAGATGAAAACAACAAGCGTTACGCTTAAAATGACCATAGCAACCCGATACAGACATCAACGCTTATACATCCATGTCGCTGAGCTGATTTGTTTGTACCCTCGTTAAGAGTGATATACTCACCAAGCATGCAAAAAATGCCTCGTCCCATACCATCAGACAGCGTTGCGTAACCCATCCTTTTATATACCATCCATATACGATCCAATTACTGTTGCTTTTATATAATAGTTCATGTTTGATGTGTCCTGCATTATCTCAAATGAAACTGGTATGGGGATATGTATGTATGTTTTGACTCTTCTCGCTGCTGCTGCTGCTACTTGCGAATATTCTTGGCTTCCTTTTCCATGTTTTCTTTGAATGCCTTGACGAACTCGTTGCTAACTTGAGAGCCTGGTAATGGAGAAAGCCAATGTTGTTAAATCGAGAGAAGCTGATTGGTTTGTTTTGCAGGATTCATACCTTTGTTGGTCACATTGGAAACATGCTTGTGGGTGGTGGCAGCCATACGATGGAATGCGGGACTGGAAAGGAGCTTCTCAGTAATGAATGTGGATACCCAATAGTTGACAATGCGTTGGAAGACCATGGTGAGCTTTTTTTTTTTTGGGTGTATGGAAGTTGAAGGAGTACTATGGAACCCTCCTCCCCCACTAAATTTATTGTTTAGCTGAGAGATCATCTGGTGACACAGCATTGGACGCCTCATTTGACAATGTAAATCTCTTTTTTTTATATGTAGAATGTAGGAAATATGAATAAAGGATGAACTAGTTGCTCTCCAAAGCTCTGTGCTCTTCTCGTTCCTTGATTGCTTGAGTACGCAACATTGGACCATTGTAAATAAGACTGAGCACAACACTGACGCCAGCCATGGCTGCTTGGAACACAAGGCCACGGAACATGTTGTTGGGTGGATCACCATTGGGATCACGGAACACATCAAGAACCAGCACCAAAATGAAGCCAACGAGTTGTGCCATCTGCCAAAGAATCGATGTTGAAATCGACTCGGGTATGGGATGTGACACTGCCATGCATGAGTCACGTGATGTTTAATTTTTCGACCAAGTTGACAGCTATTCTTACCTTCGACACCCAATTCAACCACCGTTGGAACCATAAAGGACAAGAAAAAGTTGTTGAGCGCATTGACGTACATGATGGCTGCAAACGAATCTTGTTTAACTGTGGAACGAGATTTGTCGTTAATGATATTCTTCCTGGGAAGCTATCCACTGTCCACCTGCCAACGACTCAACTGATAAAAATCAAAGCAACGTATGTGCTGCACATGAAGGGTGCCATGAGTTTGAGGAAGAGCTTGTGCTTTTTGGTGCTATCGAGCATTGGTCCAGCCGTCACTACAAATGGGACATTTAACTTTTGTGAGCCCAACATCAATCATCATGGTAGCATAGCAACAATAATATTACATGCTCCAACAGCTCCAGCTGCCATGGCAACGGCAACCATGTTGCCTGCTTGAGAGTCGCTGTAGCCGTATGGCGTGATAGCCTGGTTCAGTAGAGCACCCCATGCGATACTTAAACCGACATTGATGCCATGGATACCGCACAAGATCCAAAAATGGACACTTTTCATGAGAGCTATAGTGCTTTGGAGAAACAAAGCTTTGGATGGTGGTGAAGTGGTACCCGTCTTCTGTTGTGGCTCATATGAAACGGGTACAGGAGGTTTTGCAGGTAGCAAAAACTGAGGAATAGTTGCACCGGTACAAATGCCAGCAACCATAATGATCTATATACACGCAAATAAGTATTGTCAAATCATGCATGCGAGTAAAGGGGATGATTGGGGGGAGGGAAGATAAAAAAGAATCAAGGGGAAGGGGGTGGAATCGAATCACAACGGCAATAGGTTTGGGGGAAGGAAACAACTGTTTTTGGCTTACTGTCATTTCAATTTTGTCTTTGCCCGTTGCAACTGCTGGCATAAGAAACATTGCAATCATGCCACCATAGTTTGACGCTATAAGGAGATATATGAGTAAAAAGCATATCGCATCGCATAATTTAAAGATTACTTACCGACAAACATGCCCGCTGTAGCTCGTCGATTTTCCGGAAACCACACCGCTGCAAACTGTCAAAATCATCATGAGAATGAGCACATGTACATACAATCAGAATGCAGGGTATTATGTTTTTGTTTCTGTAACATCCAATGTGTGATATCAGACGAGGAGGCATGCGTACCTTGGTCATAATGTTAAGTGTTAGAGGGCTGCCGACCGATGCAATAACTTGACCTAGCATCATCACCGGGAATGAAGGTGGATGGATGAGCACAGCAACCCAACGAACCCAGCAACCAGCTGCAGTGATTAACCCGGCAAGGATGAGCTATGGTGGTTGTTAATAACATTTGCGAAGCCGAGATGGTGAAAATGGAAATCTATACAACTACTACTTGCCGAGCGTTTGGTGCCGAGTCGTTCAAAGAGCCAACCAGTGATAAAGCTTAATGCAATGTATACAACCGCTTGGATGTTAAATAACCAGTTGACCTCAGTGAGAGTTACACCAAGGTAATCTGCAACCACCGTAGGGATAGGACTAAATGTATTTTGGAAAATGGAAACAGCTGAACGAAGCACAACAAGGAAAAAGAGTGCGATCCATGCCATCGGGTGTGTCCGAATCCGCCCATTGTCATGATCCGTGGCCTTTGTTGCTGCAGGGGCCCAATGTTTCTCGTCATCGTCCGTTTGCTCAGAAGACACAATGATTGTATGGCTCGTTTCACGACCATCAGATATCGTAGTCGAGGACGATTGCCGAGACATGGATACATCTGGATGATGGTGATGATGCAATGTAGGCGCCGTATCATTGCTTAAAGATCTTTCTTTCCTCAATGATGGAGGATGTGTAGTAGTAGGAGTCCTTGAATAGGAGGTGCTGGAGTCATTACTGTCGCTGTGTTGGTAGATGTGCTTCAAGTCATCATGGTGTACAACTTCAGTTTTATCCATTATGATTGAAAGCTGAAAGAAAGAAAAAGGGTTGGATCAATCTAGAGTGAAGTTTTAAAGATAAAAAATATAACAACAAGGGGCAAAAGTAATCTAATGGTGGTCGCTTGGTGACGGAAAAACTTGGTGCTCCATGACGATAGCCGTTTCCATGTAGCGCGGTTAGATTTGCATAGATGATGGAACTGGGCAGCAGACCCTGCCGAGCTCGTAAACAAATCCTATCAGCAAAGCAAATGGGGAACAATAACACATGTTGCTGCTGAACCTTGAAATTGCTGTAATTCGCATCCTTGTCAACCAATCATCAATGCATGTATGCCAGCTGCGGCTTTGGATAATCCATTATCTATGTCTTTGTGGTTGGGTGATAGGTATGCGATATATGCAACAAAGCATAACACCCCTAGCGTCGTGCAAAGCACAATTTGCAAAAAATGAAGACATGATGCACCAATAGCGTATGTCGTTAATGCTGCACTATTTCTCGCTCCACACATGGATGTACCGATGATCAAGCAGCGAGATTCCGCAAAGTTTCTTCTATCTCCTTATCGAGTTTAATGTCATATCGAGACGTTAATGCATTACATCAAGGCATACAATTATACGATCGAGTAAGCTATGTCAATTGGGACGAGCAGCAGCCTAGTACATAATAATAATAGCAATCATTATGCAAACCAGTGAGCTTAGATCGGCTGGTTTCCCAAAAGAATAACGTTTTCCTTGGGGATGACACATTGAATTTCCAAAGCAAGTGTGGTCTACCGCACATTATCATTTTGCAACAAGGCATTACCCGGCAATCTTCTATTACCGTCGTCGTTCTTTGAGATACCTTTCAAATGTGCATGTCAAATCCCCTCCCATACATTTCTGTTCCCATTAAAATGGTAGGTGACAGTCGTAAATCTAACTTGACGCAAACAAAGAGACACCCATCATCATTGCCACAGCCCGTTAAATGAAATATTGATTGTCGGGGCAGAACAAAATTTCTTTGTACAAGGATCTCATAAAGGGCTTGTCTATGCTACATGTTCCTTACATACTATCCAAGATGGTTTACGGCTAAATGGGTTACATCTACCGACACATCACCACTGCTACTATTCTCTCCTGCTAATGTAACCATGACCCTAAAAAAACCATATCGGGTTGGTACCTTGTGATGATGGTGAACATTGATGATGACAAGAAGGGAAAGAAAAACGGTTCATGCGCTTGTATATTGTAGCAAAGCCATCCTGGGAATGACCAATCCTCCCTTGTGATGTCAACGTTGTTGTGCTTGGTAAGTGTGATCTCAAAAAACGCAGGAGTAGATATCGCAACTACCAGTTGCATGCATGAATGTGTGTGACACGTTTAGCTTTAATATCAAATACTGTTACTGTATGAGCGTGGTATTGCACATTGGGGCTTGGCATGCATTGCTTGATAACGTGTGCTGGATACCTGTGAGTGTATGGCGTGGACGTCACTATTATTGGGTGTTCTTGAAAGGGGAAAGAGCCGAATCATGCAAGAAAACATTCAACAACACAACATAATTCAACGTATCCAAGTAATCCTTTAAGTATGGATTCTTTAATAGCCATGTTGAAAGGAACAAGAAAGATAATGGCAACGTCTTCTAATATAGGTATGTGTGTGTGCGTGTGTGCATGATTAATATGGGTGGTAGTATACAATGAAGGCAATTCATTTGGAATCCCGCACTACCAACACGGAACTCTTTGTTGCTGGAGTGACCGCAAAGACTACTTGTATTACTCTTTATCTCCATACAACTTTTTCTCCACGGGAACTTTTGGCAAAAGGGGGGAAAAGGACCACTATCTTGTCTGCTTTCAACGTCCACACTTTCAAATGCCCAATCGTCGCATTCCTCCTCCTCCTCCAACAGCAGCATCCTCGAGTAATCCATTCAGCGACCCTCCTGACAGTACACAGCTTCCACCACCACAAGTGGCATCTCTTGTTCCATTTACGTCTTCTCAAGTATCCTCATCTTCAACATTGGTCGACAATCACTCTTCTAGTTCCCATACTCGTCAACACACGCCTGTGTCGCCTGTAAATATACCAACGAGCAATGTCTCTCGATTCCACAGCACCCGCAACCGTAGCACAGGTTCCAGCACAGACTTTCAAGCTTCACCACGATCCTTTGTATTGGAAGGTTCTTCACCACACCACGTTGAACGTAGCAACAGCCCCTTTGGTATGACATCCTCGCCGTCAAAAGAGCATGTTCGTCACCGACGTGGAAAGAGCTCAACCGATCAGACTCAAGATCCTGCTGTGAGTAGCAGAATTGTCAGCTCGTGTGGTCCAACCGCTCTCAGTTCAGATTATGCATTGGGTGTTGTCTTTGCTCAATTCGAAAATGTGGCCGACAAAAAGATGGAATTGATTCTCAATATGGGCGTGGTAAGTGTGTGAGAGAGGGAGAGAAGCATGCATTCAACTTGGGATTATGGTTCTTATCGAATATAAAAAAGGATGCAGAGGTCGATTTTCGAAAACTACTTGCAGTTGGTGCTGATCCTGCTTTCGACAAGCTCATTCGATCATTATCCTCTCTTGCTATATGCCAACAAAAACAAGTCATTGATGCTGTCATGCGATGGAGAAGGGCCAAAATTGAACCATTGGATCCCGCTTTATTAAGGCGTGTCAGGTACGATATTAAAGGGGGTGATTCAATGTTATCCTAATGGTCCTTTTTTCTACCCTATAGTGAATCGGCACCGTTGTCCAGAGCAAAAGATGTCGCATCCATTCTCAAAGAACGGCAATCCGTATGTTGATGTATACGCATGATATGGAATCAATTGACTAATTTACAATGTGCATATATGTATATAGCTTGCCTCTGTGTATATCCTATGTCGAGCATTGATCGAGATTGTCAAGTCATTCACGCCCCATACACTGCCAGAGGACTTGGGTGAAAACCTTGAGGAGATCGTATTCAACCAATTGAAGAAAGCGGATCCGTATGTGGGAAAATGAGCAATTTTTATTTGGTTTGATCTGATAGTTGATCTTAGAGAAGCCATCAAGCGATCCAAAAACAGGACTGCAAGTATGGACCTCTTTGCCGAGCTTATTGGAGAACTATCCAACGTCCGATTTGCGTCTGTTAGCGATCGCTTCATTGCTGAACTTGAAAAGTACAACAGCCAAACCATCATGAAAGAGCGACAAAGTCATATGGAAATGCTTATTCGTGGTATGCGCTTTCTGAAGATCAAGGTAAGGGTGATTGGGAAGGAAAAAGGAGACAATGGCTGATCAAGTTATCACGATAAGATTTACCCCCTGGATGCTTTGGAGGAAACAGCTGATTTTCTTTCAAGCTGTGCCAGTTTCTTCAAGAATGCGCATGGTGCCAAAGTCAAGCTTACTTATGCCAATCTATTCGTGCTATTACTATCACCGATTGCTGGGGTAAAGTTCTATCGTTGTATACGTTGGGTATTAGTTGTGTTGACACATATGATTCTAGGTTGCTGTAGCTGAAGTTAATTTCCCCGCATGGAGTCGAGCAGTGGATCTTGTATATCCAAGAGCTTTGAAAATGACCCTGAAACCTCGTTACATGTTGGTAAGTGAGTATATCAAAGGAAGGAAACATGCTCTAATCACCGCAATTGGTAGGCTGGATATTCTCTTGTAACGATATTGCTATGTGTCAGCCGAAAAGAGTTCTTCAGCAACAACTGGATACCCATCGTGGAGAGCTGCTATCAAAAGTTTAGCAAGGTATACATCAATGAAAGGTTGAGGATATCACTCGCTCATCGAGAACCCTTGTTCAATAGGATAAATACACTCGGCAATTGACATTGGGATGCATATCTCGACTTATCTGGACCTACCTATTTCGTTGTACCGAGAGCACTGCCATTGCCTTCAAGAAACTTGACACCATCATCAAAACACTATTTCCTCCATTTCGACGAGCCATCAATCCATCAGAGACATCACTCGACCATTTCATCCTGATCACCTATTTTGCCTTAATGAGGGATGTTGATACCGCTACCAAAAGTATCATATTTTATCTGCTAAACGCCGACAATGCTGCAGCCACTTTTCATCTGGAATACATCAACCCTGAACGAATGATTATTGCCTTACGGGCTTTTCGATTGATGCTTTATGATCTCGAGCGAGGTGTGACACGACCCCCATTTCCAGCTGACCCTGATATGCTCGCCACTGGTATCTCCATGCAATGCAGTGCCGATCTATTCTCAGCCCCGATTCGTTCAGTGAAACCCGATGTGACCGATCGAGTGGAAGAGGTTATTCACAAGACGTTGTTGAGTTTGGATCAAGCGTTTGGAAAGTTGCTGGTATTGGATGAAAAGACGACTATCATGAGGACTGCCAGCAATATTTCTTCGACTGTGGGAGGTGGTACTCTTGGTGGTGGTAATTATTCGGTACCCATGTTCGTCAACAGCGTTGGTATATCAGGAACATCGGATGGTGGCCCACAAATGCAACATCAATATGCAACTTTTATTGTATCCTATTCCAAAGACAAGCAAGCGTATCTCGATGTGTTGAAAGCTATACTTGATTCAATGCCACGATTGATGCCTGCTGGTGTCCCATTACCCAAGTTGGTGGAAATGTTATCGCGCTACACCGTTCATGCAGATCCCGAGGTGATACAAGCGGCGTCACAAGCATTGGTGCGAATTGCACAGCAACTTGATAGCCAAACGGTGGTCACAGGCTATTCACGCTTTGTGTATCGAATTGAGGACAAGTTTTCAGATATTGTGATCGGTCTTGGAAATGGCCCATTGACAGGAGGCAATCACAATGGCAACGGGGGCGTCATGAAGCTTTACACCGATCTGCTAGCCATTTGGGTATCTCAAATCGACCTTTCTCAAGTCAGCACGGTGGCACCATCTTCGGGAGAACCATCCGATTTGTCACGATTATGTCGCATGGTCGAAGAGACTGAAGCCAATGGTCTTTTATTCCTTTGTCATTATTCATCTTCAGTACGACGCTATGCTGTGAAGGTTATCAACCTGGCAGCTGAATTGGAGGAGCAGCTATTCACAATGGCAAAAGAAAAGAAGCCGATCCTTTTGGAAGAGTTGAAAAAGCATTTCCCCAAAAAGCGCACGTATCCACGTTTACACAATTACTTGGCATCAGCAGGGCAGGACATGATCAAATTCAACAAAGAGACCAATTCATTGTTCGGGCACAGCTTGAGTATTGAAACACGTATGCGTATTCAACAACACCAGCGACGAGCGATACCACATGTGCTGATCCAAGTGGCTGAAAGCGACCATGCAGCTGATATCAGCATCTGGAACATGTGCTACTCAGAGATCTTTAAGCAATGCTTCGACTATTTCCCAGACACAGTTGCTCTTTGTCGACAAAACATTTGCACGCGCCTGGTACAGCTTTTACCATCGATCCAAGTGTCACTCGAAACAGCCAAAGTGGGCACCACCGGCACCTTGAGCATGAGCAAGAGCAGCACAAGTCAAAAGGCAGCTAGTGCTGAAATGATTGAGCAATGGAAGATTTATATCATTTTCGCCTGTGCAACAGCTACGTTACCAAACAACGTGTCTCCCATTGCAACGTGGGCCAACAGCGGTCGTAAAGGATCAACAGTAGTACAAAAGATCACCACAGCACATGATTTGTTCCGTATGATGATGCAATTCTTGACATGCGAACATCGCCCGATACGAGAAGCAGTGATCCAAGGTTTCGGCAATGTGAATCATGATGCGTACAAGATGCTTATATCCGATATCCAAAGCCATGTGCGTGTTGTGCTTGATGATGGAAAACAACGCAACAATCAAAAGCCATATCAAAACAAGCGCAGCAAAAAGAATGACCGATTGAGGATTTCGTTGATGCATGTTTTTGAGCTTACGGCCGACTGTTTGGAGGAAAAGCGATTTCTTGAAGATAAGGAGCTCATGAATGTCATTATGAGTTACATCAAGGAGACCAAGTCGTTTCTTGCTGATAGCGAGGTGCAACTCGAATGGGAATATCACAAGCTACGTGTCTATTTGTGTGGATTGGTGGAGAAGTTGTATGAAAACATTATGCGGCTCGACGACCCGACAAGTATCATGTCATTCGAGACGAGACTTAGCCTATACAAGATGTTTGAAGAATGGTGTGGCTATGGCATGTACGCATCATCAACCAGAAGCCGTGAAGCTGCCATGATGAGAGATGTGCTTGAACAGTGCAAGGATACCCAAGAAAGAGCCAATGCAACTCAGCTAATGGAGGAAGAACGTAAGGCTCTGGAAAGCGCTGCTTTGAATGCGATGGCAACTCTTTGTGTAAGTATTATGCATGCATGCATGATGATGTTATTTAAAACCCGACGCGGCTGCTGACAATAATGGAATAGCGTGGACCCCTTTATGCATTCCTTGGCCAAAAGAAGGCGAGACAAGCTGTCATTCAATTTGACATGCTCAATGTGCTCAAATGGATCGATGCAGTCTTTGAGAGTTCGGATTCTCGATATCATGCTGTGGCAAGGTATGTTTAGTATTCTCTATGGCTATGTTATGCGTACTCAATTTGCTTTTTAGGCGTGCGTTGGAATCCATATTGATATACAACCAGGACCAGCCGCTTCTCTTGGATGATGTGATCGAGCAATGCTATGCAGGAAATCCAAAGCTGGAGTTTACTCAAGGCTACTTTCTTGCGCTGGCGGACATTGTTACTCGAGTCGATGATTATCCTTGTCACATTCATCAAATCATGAGCTTGGCGCTATTCAAAACGGGTGATGCCAAAAAGTCCATTAGGAAGGCAGCAATCAACCTATTGCGGGTGATCGAAGAACGAGTATTCGCTGATTCTTGTGCCAAAGAGTATGAGATTGGTATCACCAGCAGTCTACCAGCCATTTACAAACACACGCAAACACTATTGTCAGCACGTCTTGCGGTGGATCATCCCGAGCAAACTTACTCGATGATATCTGAAATTGCACAACGATTTGAACACATCAGCCCCAACAGCCAGCGAGAAGTGTTGATTTATTTATTGCCTTGGTTACGAAAGATTGACTTGTCAATGGGTCCTCAAGACGTGGAGCTTAGTGCGTCAGCGTATATGGTGCTATCCAACATTTTCTACATCACGATCAAATTTGGCGATATGTATGTCAAGGAGATTGCTGCACTATGGAGTCAACTCGTGGATCACGGTCGTAATGTGCGTGCGATTATCATGTATCTTCTTGATATGGGGCAAGTGATGCGTAACCCTTGGTTCTTGATCCATGCAAAGCGAGTCTTTGTATGCCTTGGACGTACGCCAGCATTCGGTCGAGTTGTAGAGGAGGTTATTACTGAAATCACACCACGATCAATGGTACCCACCGTCAAGGAAGCCAACAACTCCCATACCCATGCCTTCCCTCTTCTTTTCGTTGCCGACATTGAAAAGGCCTTACCAACTTATTCCAAAAAGCCGGCATTTTCACGTGGTCAGCTGGCGATGGTATTCTTGGTGGATCTTGCTATTGAAGCAGGTGCAGACTTGGCTCCTCATCTCCCGTTACTTTTACACAGCATCTTTGTACAACTTGATCATTTGACCAGCATTGTGTGTGATCAATCTCGATGTTTCCTTATCAACCTTATTCATTCCATTGTGATACGGCAGTCTTTGGATTCTGAAGCGTCTCAAAAGGCAACCGATTTGATTCAATGGCTCGCATCCAAAGAGGGTAAACGGCTTTGGGCCTATGAGAACATTACACCAAAGAATCGAAGATTGCAGAGTGCAAGTGAATTATCGGATTTGTTGCGCAAGGTGGTTGATGTCTTTTCACACGAGGATCCAAGTTTGCGACAAAAATGGGGCGAGACGGCACTCAAATGGGCGACATGTTGTTCGGTGCGACACATCGCGTGTCGATCATTTCAATGTTTCCGTACACTGATGCCAGCCTTCAATCAGCACATGCTTGCAGACATGTTGGCTCGATTATCAAACACCATTGCCGACAAGTCTGATGAGATACGAGGATTCGCATTGGAGATCATTTTGACATTGACAGATGTTGTCAAATTCATGGATCACACTCAGCTGGAGCAATTCCCTCAAATGTTTTGGGCAGCAGTGGCATGCTTATACAGTCCTTACGAAGCTGAACACGCTGAGGCATTGGTGCTCTTGGAGATTGTCTTGGAAAAGTATGGATTTTCGAATGCACTCGCATCCAGCTTCCCTAAGAATTGGGCAAGCGAATTCGAGGGGTTACAGCCTTTATTGCTTAAGGGGTTACAATTTGAATCGGCGGAGGAAAAGACGTTTACGATATTGTCATCCATTATGCTTGTCGACAATCCGCCATTGATAGATCCATCGGAGACACGTCTTTTATACCTATTGCTTGGCTCACTCTGTCGCTTATTACATGGCCTTGATGTGGGTAGTGGAACCGAAGAACACGGCTCTGCGGTGCAGCTATCGACTGAATTGACTCAGCTATTCGAATGGTATGCCTTACCCAATGTGCAACGTATATTGGCCACCTATCCAAAGCAAAAGAGCAAGTTTCAAGAAGATTATCTCAAGCAGCTTCTCGGCTCTATACGTGATGTGTTCTTTCCCAAATACGCCAACCAAGCCCTTATGTTCGCACTCTTGCTGGTCAAGAACAAGATACCATATTACCGTGAAAAGGGATTGATTTTGATTGAGAACCTAGTGCCATATGTAAAAAAGACACAGCCATCATTGTCGAATACCACCACTGCTGGTACGAGTGCAGCAGCAGCAGCCCTCGGTGAGATACCAATCGACATTGCTTCCTTGAGCCCACTATTGCACCTAGTCCAGACCGATTTTGCTGACAAGGCTTTAAGCATTTTGAATGCGGGGATACCAGCAGCACCAGCACCCATTCCAGCAGCCCCAACGATCAAAGACAATGATGGAGCTAGTGATCCTAATATCACCACCACCACTGCAACTACAGCTACAGCTACAGCAGCCAATGTTATTTGGGGATTTGGACCAGCTTCCATGAACATCGCCTCTCAAATAGCCCGCCACAATGTTCATGCAGTTGTCTTTGAATGTTCATCACTCACGAACCAGGCACCCATCGAACACAATATCCAATTTTCCATTGAGGACTTTTCTTTACTCACTGGCGAGAATGATGGCAATGCAACGACTCGCATGTTTGGTGAAGAGGGAGAAGTTCCAGGAACAGAAAGCATCATGAGCACCACAAGCAGCAATGATAGTGCCAATGCAGCCATACCTGGAGAACATGGTGCTGTGCCTGCGCCATCTACCACCACTACTACTGTACCATCTGATACCAAGCGCCCCATGGATGGCTCTTATGGAGAAGATTTGATGAATGCCCTTAAAGATCTCGATGACTTTTTCAATGAAGACGTTGATACACCACTCAGCCCATCATCCACCTCTTCCTATAATCGGGATCGACATGGGTATAGCTCATCCAACGGGCCTGCTGATTTCACTAGTTCAGGGATAGGATTTGATTCTGATGGAGAGATCTAAGCATTTCTCGTGTAATAAATTTATTATTGCTATGCAAATTTGCGTCTACAGATTTCACTCCCATATTCAAAGTATTCTTTACGACTAACAAACGTCCTTTGTAAATCGGATCGACTACTCAATGCCACAAAGTTTTGTCCACCGTGCCACGCGTATTCGACAGGACTACAAACATTGAATGATTAGATTAGCGTTGATTGAATAAAGAACAAACTCACTTTTCGGGTTGTGCTATTCGAAGCTCGTATGTGCTTGGTGCCATTGTTCGGAGATCTTGCATGCTAATGGACGACCGTCTTTGTGTGAAAAAAGTGCTCCACATTGCATTTGACCTTTAAACTTACATTCGCTCACGATATCCTGGTATATTGGTATTTCCGCCTACGAGGATGATGTTGGCGTACAGCAATCCATGAAGTTCGGCATCACAAGCATTGATGCTTTGTGTTATTGCTTCGGGTATACCAGCTTGCTGAATTCCAATATCGGATGGATGCATGAGAAGCTCGGGAATCATGAATCGCTCGTTGTTCATTGTGAGGATTTGCTCAGAAGATGGATCGCTTTTCAAAGTCGATGATTGCCGAGCTTGCTTTGGCCGCACGTGACCACGCATGGTATGGATGTAATCGGGGAGTACATATTCTTGGACGACATTGTTGGCATGATAGGGTTGACGGCATGTATCCAAATCCTTGTAAACATCCAGAGACATGTAGCAGCATTCTTCTTTGACCTGGTTGATAATGTGGGTTTCTTCCATCATATCATAGTATCTACAAACAACTGGATAAGAACATTGCGGAATGATAAGACAAAGAAAAAGGATTACCTGAAAGACACTGTTTCCTTCAATTGGTTGGTCAAAAGCTTCCCACCCACATTGATCCTCCTGATAGCACGACGTACTGGTTTTCCCTTCCAGAATGGTACAATGTGTGTAAATGAAAATCCCGAGTCCACGACCAGCGCACAATCAGGAATAGATCCAGGGCGATCACCAAAAATAGACGAGATGTCATTGTATATACAAAGTTGTGGTGCTAAAGAAGAACAATGAATCCCTATTACTCTCTTTCCTTGTTCAACTTTTGATCCTTTCCTTACCAGTAGTACGATAACATGATGCGAATTCATAATCCTCAAAGATCACCTGATCATAAGCCTCTTGGATGTTTGACAGGTTGAAGCAAGGTTCTGTGATCAAGATGCCACTGTCTTTTGGATCAATCTAATATGGATCAATGAATGAGGTTTCCATACATACAATCCATTTGTGCCGTTGATCACTTACGTTTAACACGCTTCCAAATAAACGGTTCCAAATAGGTCGTTCTACGCCCCAATTGGTAAGATAACCCTATTTCATTTTGAGAGAGCTTCAGTGTTCCCCTTCTCGCTTTGTGGCATTCAACATGGCGTGTCTACTTACCCGCTCAAATGGTAGTCGATAGTATAGCGAGGAAAAGTCGGTACACTGCTCAATCTGATCGCCTATGAAATTGCGTCGATCGCTTCGGCCGCGTATAATGGCGTTGGGTACGAGTCTATAGAGCGATCTTGAGTCCTCACGCGTGAACCAGCATATGGAGTAGTTGCAATGCATACCTTGGTTGGGTGTCATGAGCTGTATTTACCTTGATCGTCGAACCACCGTTGTCAAGAACGACTACAGGCGGCATATTGGGCTTTTGATTGAAACAGGAAGTCGATAAAGCGCGCAATGTGGCACAACACGTTAAATCCCTCAGAGGAGCTAAATACAAAAGTGCTCTGAATGGTAGCGTAGTCATGCAAATAGACCTAGATATCGTGTATAAATATATAAAACTTGTACATGTTCACACACATTGATGAGAAGGTTATCGATTAAGCGACGTCCATCTCTTTTGTTATGGAGAAGAACACAATGAGCGATCTTGAGGAAGCCGTTATAGTATCACTCCCCAACTACATACATCATCGAGCTGAGCATTGAGACAACAAAGAAGCCTGGTATTTGCTATCTTTCTTCCGCTGAGGATGCATAAACGTTGTTTGTTCAACCATTGCATTACAAGTCAACCATTGCATTACAAGTGGTCCTTTGGTTTATTGATCCATACATTCATTGTCAATGCTTACAGCTATACAGCTCTCTTTTTTATGTATATCCCTAGTCATAGTAGGCCGAGCAGAATGGCTACCATCATCTTGTTATCCATCTTGCAAAATGAATGAAAATGAAGGCTGATATGAGATCCATTTCATCACGTTCCTCTATTTGTTTCCCAACCCCATCCGTCCATGCCGACGAATCTACAACACGTGAAGATGTATTGTTCTCTCTTCCTCACGGCCCTTCCTGATGACCAATCCCATTGCAGTTGCAGAACAAGAGTTGAAGGATCGTGGCATTGGCAGCGTCCATCTTGATGCCAACTATGCACCTGGTGTAGCCCTCGTGGTGATCGACAATCCTCAACGACACAATGCGTTTTCAGGCAAAATGATGGTCGAGTTTCGACAAGTTGTCCTTTGGCTGGAGTCCAAGGCACCTGAAGACTTGGTAGCTGTTATCGTTACTGGATCCCGTGGCAAGGCTTTCTGTGCTGGTCTTGGTAATTATATGGATGGATGGCTCTTGCATGACAAGGGGTTGATTAAAGCGATGATTAGACCTTGAATTTGCTCGTGAGCACATGCATACTACACCAACATTGGCTCTTCAAGTGAATCAAGTGATGCATGATGCCTTATCACGATTTGCAAGGCTGCCTCTTATCACCGTAGCATCCATGGCGGGTCATGCATTGGGCGGTGGAACGGAGTTGTTGACAGCATTCGATTATGTGTGCATGGCATCCACAGCTATCATTCGCTTTGTCCAAACAAGGATGGGTGTCAGTTCACCTTGGGGTAAGTGGATCATAGGGTTATACAATTGAAATGGGTGATGTTGACATGACGTCTTTAAAAGGTGGTGCTCGTCGATTGGTGAACAGCGTTGGACGTAAAGCAGCTCTACGTATACTTGCAAGTGCACCAAAGGTAACAGCTGAGCAAGGCAAGGCTCTCGGCCTGGTGGATGTCGTGGTTGACAACAACAAGGAAGATATCTATGAGGCGTGTTTGAAGGCATCATTATCATTTCTACGACCCTTTGTGTTTGACGATCGTGCCGGACAAGAGGACAGAGTATCAGCTGGAGCTGTCCGCGGCATGAAGCAGCTTGTGGTGCGTGCTGACTTGGATCGGGATTATGAGTTTGAAGCAGCCATCTTAGCTAAGCTTGCAGGATCTTCCAAAATATGAGTAGTCAGCCAATGAAATACACCAATTCAATTTATCCCCACGGTCATTATGTTTGGAATCCATCGGTTGGCAAAATAAATAGTACCTGTATATGTGTGGGCTCATGAACTACGTAATGCTTCTAGACGCATTGTGCTTCCATTGAGTGAAACTAAGCTTTTATAGAATTCATGGTCGGACAAGACACTTTCTTACTCATCGCCTGTACATCAACAACACCCTATGTATTACGCGCAATACCTAGCTATCAATCTTTAAAGCATTGCTAATGTACAACCAATAAAGACGCATGCGATTTTGACGTTGTAAAAGTTGATGGTGTTGATCCGTTATGGATGATGTTGCAGGCCATTTCTTTTTTTGGTTTGTGGTTTGACAAGCTAAAGCCATTTCTTGTGTGCCTCGATAAGGACGAGTATGGGAAACAGATTCTGCTCGATATATCGTGACAAGAGAAAAAGTGATTATCGGTATCATATCTAAAAACCTTATTTTCTAGCAAGGGCCACCATGTTGGGTGCGTATGTAAGCTCGTGAGGGAAATATAAGATGGCCTGGGCTCCACCACCATTTCACATCATTATGCAAGCTCTACTCTAGCTAGCAAACTAAAACATCCAAAACGCCAAGTATATGGACTGGCCAATGAAATGGGATCATCGAACACGATAAGATCTTGGCCCCTAGCAATATTCAATACGCGATCCTTTCGTCTCTCTTTTTGTGACCTGTTTGGAAATATGATGCTGCAAGTTGACGTTGAGAGCATGATAATCATACGATGATGATGCAACAACCTGACGACGAGATTTATCACCTGCAGGTTCCCATCCCAATCGTCATCATCAAAACCAACCGGGTACTTCTCTAACGGACTCGTCAGATGTACACACACACACACACACCTCCTGCATGAATCATTGCTCTTTATTTTACCTGGTGCAAAGAGCATGGGTACATTGAGAACAAGGCGCTGATCCATTTATGGTGTACAAGCGCACTAAATCATTTATGGTATGCGTTATCTACAGCCAAACAAAAACCGCTATCTCATCATTCAACCATCATCATTTGCTGTTGCAGGATCGAGGTTCGCATTAAAACCCGCTACGTATGGTGTGCTCCAAACTCTATAGGAAAATAAGGAGTAATGAAATACATGCTATCAGCTTGATAAAGAAAAGATAAGCAGATCAACATTGATCGAAAACTAAAGCGGCTACGTTTGTCGTTGTCATGGGATCACCTGCACTACAAATTTCAATTACCTTTTTCATTTTGCTGGTTGTAAACAGGCACATGCTATGTCGAATGACTTTGAAATGGGATAATGGAATACCATCATCATCATCATAAGGGAACGAGGACAATGAACGTAAAGAGATTGAATCATTGTTGATCATTTGGTTGTCAATAATGATGATGGGAACAATCAGCCATCAAAGTATTATGCTTGTTGTTGGGGGAGAGAGGAAAGACGACGAGACCAATTGGGGGAGCAAGACCCTGTAAAGAGAGCATTACGTATACCTTATGCACACACGCTCACACACGTTACCACACTCATCGATTGGCGATAAGGCAAGGATGACAAGGAAAACGAGAGTGGGGTACCCGACTCTAGTACTCCGATCATCTGTGCATCACTTGCAGAATCAAGGAGTGAGGGGAATACGATTGCCGTTGACGCTCGCTCGCAAAAATCTCTCGGTTGTGCACGCACTGACCAAATGGACCATGTCTCTTGGACATGCTGCATATCTTTGGTAAAGCGGTTCCTTTTCATTGTTGCCCTTATTAAAAGGAAATTCAGGTCCAAAAAATATCATTTGCAACCATGTCGTCATTGTCATAAAATGTCCATATGCTGTACCCAGTATGTGTGTGCACCATATCGATGTAATGGTATACCTATATGCGTCGTGTGTGAGTGGGAGGGAAAATTCGTGTGTTACAGGGCAAAAGAGAGGGTAATGGGGGGTACTAGCCCAATATAGAAACACAAGCCCGGGCAAAAAGAAGTCCCCCATAGTGCTTAAATATGACAACTATAAAAACACAAGGCTCTTCCCGACTCTTTTTGAAAATGATCAATTCACAAAACCCTGCTGTTCAACGCCTTGAATCTGTTACAAATCATATCAACATGGTATCCGCATCAAATCAACGTCCTGTGATCTCATTTATTGGTGGTGGTAATATGGCTGAAGCCATTCTTGGAGGTCTTCATTCAAGTGGCCACCCTGGTTCCCGTTTGCGTTATTCAGAGCCTTTGGATACAAGAAGACAATACATGCAATCCAAGTATCCCGAACTTGTTAGCTCAGAGACCAATGAGGCGGCTGTAGATGGTGCTGATGTGGTGGTTCTCGCTGTAAAACCTCAAGTACTGCGATCCGTAGTAACAAGCTTGGCACCTTCTTTGCTTCGTAATCCATCCGTGCTCATCATTTCTGTGGCTGCTGGTATCAACACCGATGACATTGCCACTTGGCTTAACGCTAGCTCAGATACTGTATCTATCGTCCGCTGTATGCCAAATACCCCAGCTCTCATTGGCGAAGGTGCCATGGGCTTATTTGCTAATGCATCCGTCACTCAAGAACAACGAAGCATTACCGAATCCATTATGCAATCCATTGCCAAACAAGTATCATGGGTACAAAAGGAGGCTCTTATTGAAAGTGTTACTGGTATCAGTGGTAGTGGACCAGCCTACTTTTTCCTTATCATGGAAGCAATGCGTAAGTAAAAAAAGGGGGATGGGATGAATCTTGGTACAAAGGTGATGATGAAAACGAGGCACTTTTACTCATACTATGTTTCATTCTATCAATAGAAAATGCTGGCGTTGCAGCGGGACTGACGCTAGAAGATGCCAAGGCACTCACTCTCCAAACATGTGTTGGTGCTGCACGCATGGCCCAAGAATCCGAAGATGATTTGGCAACGTTACGTCGAAAGGTCACCTCCCCACGCGGTACCACTGAAGCTGCAATCAAGTCTTTAGAAGGCAACAACATCCGAGAAATCATGAAGGAAGCAGTTTTTGCTGCTGAACGTCGTGGCCATCAATTGGCTGAAGAGATGCGTCAATAAGCATAACCACCTTTCCATCATTCTCATCCCAAAAACCTTTTGCATGGCTATATCCCCCTTCTTTGTATTCCTTCTTCTCGCCCAACAAAAATGATGCATCCCTCACACCACCTCTCTCCTCTCTCTCTCTCTCCATTACTTTCTCATCAACTCGTATAACTATACCATGTTTTTCTTTGTCGATCCATTTATGACTTTACTTGGATAAGGTTGCTACATAAGTGCCTGTTGGGAAGATGAGAAAGAGAATGCAGCATGCAATATGGGTGAGCAAGGTACCAGCGGATCCATTTGGTAAACGCACAAACCTCATCCATCATCATTCATATGACCAATTTGGAATATACCACTGCTGGTGATGGTATTACTGCCATGGTCATCACATTTGAAGTAAGATGTCACGGGAAGCAATCCTTTTTGGTAGTAGTAGTGATCGAATAATCTGATGAGAGATAAGAATTGGTACGATAAAGGCTCATCGGAGTTGACAAAGATGGGTGGTGTGGGGATCCCGACAATGTCGTCATGGATGAGGGGGTGGGATCTGGTCTAGAAAGCAGCGACCCTCTCACTCTATAAAGTATCATCATGTGATCGATCTTCTCTAACCTGAGGAACGTTGTCGTGCTTACCACGTGTCAATACATGTCATGTCATTCTCCGACCCGATGCAAAAAAGCAAGTCAGCCTCAGTTTTTTTTTTATTCTAGTCAACTATCATCTCATTTTCTAAACTAAAAGGTTGATTGATTTGTATATGTTTACAAAAGAATGCAAATAAATAACACAAAGGGGGCGATGAGGAAGAAGAAGAAAGAAGGAGGACAACGTCGTCATGAATGTGGAGGTGTGGGTAACCAAAAAGCAAAAGAAAAATGGCTATTGTTGAGAAGGTTGAGGAGAATGATTTTGCTGAGATGAATCGCTATGTAATGCCGCCGAGCACAATTGGCTGAGTCGTTCATACTTGGATTCATCCTCTCCACCTCCTGGTGCAGTAGTAGGAGCAACACCACCTGCAGCAGTGGAATCAGCATGTGGTGGAGGAGTCGATGTGATGGATGAATTGGATGCACTTGGTACAGGTGTCATTGGTTGTGGTTTCATGTATTGATGACTCGAATCATGCTGTTGTTGTTGATGAGGATCATGCTTGATTTCAGGCAACTGTGGACTCAATCGAGATTGCTGGTGTTGTTGTTGTTGTTGATGAGGTGGTTGTTGTTGTTGGTAATACATGTGAGCAGCCGTTGGGCTTTGGCTTTGTGGAGAATGAAGTACATGTTCACCATATCTAGAAGCTTGTGGATGCATCATTGTGTACTGGGTAGGCACAGGCGATTGCTGTTGCTGTTGTTGCTGTTGTTGCCCAGCCGACGGATGTTGTTGTTGTTGACCTTGATGATGTTGTTGATTGGCATCACTGCTACTACCAGACATCATCACCGGATAGCCCATTGAAGAGTACATTGGATTGACAACATATGGCATGTCCTTGTGATACGCAGTAGCGGCGTATGAACCGTATGGATCATAAGTGGGTTGGCCATATTGATTCAAGGTGCCAGGATATCCAAATGGCATTGTGCCAGGTCGCATAGCAGCATAGGGATTGGCAGCTGCTTGTTGATTCACCAATTGCTCATCACCCTTGCGAGAAGTGCTGCTGCTACCATCTAATGATTGATGCACGTATTAATAAATTGGAACACAAAACAGTGACATTGCACAACGTTACCTTTTTGTCTTCTTTTGTATGGACCACGTTTGATACCCTTCTTGCGTTCCTTTCTCACCGAGTTGACACATGTATCAGCAATTCCATACTTGATGCAGCGAGGACATGGTCGAGCATCATCACATTTCTTGCAGGCTTTTTGACAATTGGCTATAAACGAATGAATGATTAATGATGATACGCTCATCAAAACGAAAACCATGACAACACTCACTGCACGCGTTCTTCACTTGTTTTCTTTTGGGTGGTTGTTGTGGAGGAGGTGCTGCATTGGCTGCTTCTGGAATGGGAGGATGAGACATTGTGGGTGGCATCATGGGTGGTGGAGCTCCGGTATTCATCACTGAAGCTGGCACGGGTGATCCGTTGTTAGAGTAGGAAGTGGGCGCTTGATAGCCCGATTGATAGTATGGCATAGACTGCATTGAACGAGATCTGTCAAGCACGTTGTTCGTGTCAAGGGAGGCTTGCTTGTTTGTGGTTTGAAGCGGAGAGGCAAACGAATATCTGCAGGAGAAAGTAGAAAAAAGAAAAATATGATGCTGTCAGCGTGGGTTTCATATAGCCTTAGTGATCTTTAGTGATGGGACCCCCATCATCCACCATATCCCAAACCCTCCCATCCCTCGTCATTGAAGCCACTTTCACCCACCGGGTAAAATAAAACGAGTGCAAGGGAAAGAGAAACAGGTTGAGAGAGAAAAAAACAGATAGTAGCGGCGTCACAAGCTGACTTTTGGGAATGAAGAGGTGTGCGAAGGGTGAATAGACGCAAAGGGTGAAAACAACACTTCTCTACCGGGTAAAATTGCTTATAGAAGAATGATACTTACATTTATCCTCGACAAGAGAATGAGAATGAAAAAGAAAAAGAAAGCCCGAGAAGTGCGCGCCAAAAAAAAAGTAAAGGATATAATCGACGTCGTCATAGGCGGAGTTGCAGTAAACCCTGTCGTTGCCTTGCACCAATAGCAGTTGCTATGGCAGCGCAACAAGACCTGTCAATGATGAACGGAGAGAGAAAATGTGTTGCTTTCCTTGGTTTTTATACATTGGTGGGTGTGTGGCATTAGTTAATTGACAAGTGGGTGAACAAAGGACGCCACCAAAAGATGTCCAGCACGATCGTGTGACATGTTTGTCTATGGCAGGTGAACACAAAAACGACCAACTTGTGAAGCAAAAAAAAAATGACATCCCCGATTCAGGGTTGCACAAAGACAAGCAATGGGATTCTTTCACGCTGCTGCTGCTGTTGCCATGGGGACAAAAGGATATGAGCGCACGTACTAGCGTACAATGCATAGCTTTTTAAAAGCGTTGAATGTCGTGACAGCCTGTCATAACAAAGGTGCCGACATCCGCATGTGTACAACGTCACGAGGCAACCCATGTCAACAACCACAAGTTTTTTTTGTTCGCTTGCCTTTTTATTGTGAAGAGTGCAGGTGTGCTAGACAACGAGTGCCAAAAGGACAACACGGACCTGATAAAACGACACCACCGTGTTTATGTTTGTGGGTACACGCCAACAGAGCGGAACATACAGCGGGCGCAAAAAAATGGCTTTCTGCATTGCCAACCATCACAAGTACCCATGATGCGTATGCTGCTTGGTTGCGTGACGCAAAGCGATACATAGAGCAGGTCCCTGATGATGCTCTTAGTCGAGGCACTTGTTCTTTCACTTGCTTTTCTTCCCTCCTCTTTTCTCTTTCTTTCCCAGCAGCGTGTCTTTGTTTGCTATTTTATCCCCTTTATCGTTGTTATCATTTTTTTTGCTGTTGTCGAACCGATCACAGCTTGACATTCTCATCCACAAAGCTGCTTTCATATACCCTACGCTATATATACCTGGTCACTATTTCCACTTTTTAAAGGTATGAATATGGGTGGAGAATTATTACACATCACCTAGCCATCGTGGTCATCACACCATACAGTGGCACCTTCGGGGCTCGGTTCGCCTCGGCTTTCAAAAAAGGGAGAGTGCAGGATTTTGACATTGAATGACACGCTTGCAGGCACAACCCGATGACGGAATTGATAAGTAAACCTGTTGTAAAATTGCCCAGGAAACGGCAAACACTGCTATTTGCAGATCACGAAGCCTTTGCTGCCAACACAGATTTCTTGGTATCTGATAAGCTCTATGTGGATCCCCTTCCACCTACTGTGACGGCAGCGGATGTCATTGACCTTCTCAGAAGCTGTGACCCTATTGAGTAAGCCATTTGGTTATGTTATCACCCACAATGCTCGCCATCTTACAATCATTATTATATCATCATTACAGCGCTGATTTATCCACAGGCGTGATTCAATTTTCAAGCGTGGAAAAAGCTGACCGAGCATATACCTTATTCAATGGCGCAACAATCAAAGATAGCAACTGCCACCTGCAGCTGAGAGCCCATTCATCTGGCACCTATGGTGAACCAGAAGTAACTTCTGGTATCTTATCCATCTACAACTTGCCTTTAAACACCAACAATCACCTGCTATACGATATGTTTCGCCCATTTGGACCTATGGCACTATGCAAGATCATTATGGATCAAGGGCAATTCAAGGGTACAGCGTTGGTGCAGTACTTTCGATCCGCTGACGCCGATGCAGCTGGTGCGGAAATGGCAAGTATAAGCTGATCTCATACATATTGCTGCAAAATGGACCCATTAACGTTGCCCTTTCTTTTTCACTCCCATCTTTTCGCCGATGCAGAATAACAAGAGCGTACAAGGCAGCATCATGTACGTGCATTGTGACACATTTTGCAACCCAACAACCACTGCTTACTCATGCCTTGCTTTTCACACATATCCAACAGCACCGTCAGCCCATTTGTGCCCAAGAAAATGCGTCACAATTCTAGTGAACTAGGATCTGTGAGAGAAAGCATTGATATGCTACCAGTCGTATGTACATTTTATGTTACTGCATCATACCAAGATTGGATACTCACCCAAACTCTCAATATGCATTATAAACGAATCAGCAGCAGCAGCAGCATCGACCCGTCAGCATGTACTACAACAGCAATACAACACCTGCACCTCCTCAGCAGCATGAAAAAACGAGCCCCAACATTGATTACACCAATCTCTATATCAAAAACCTCGACTTGACAGTCGACAGCCCCGATTTGTTTAGGCATTTTTATGATTGTGGACGTATCATCTCGGCACGTGTTATGAAAAACTCACAAACTAAGCAATCCAAAGGTTTTGGATTTGTTAGTTTCAGCAAAGTCGAAGAAGCATCACGCGCATTAAAAGAGAAAAACAACACGTACATCAAGACGAAGCAAATCATTGTGGCATTTCATGAACCAAAAAAGCCGAGAAACAAGAACACCACCATCAACGGCAATACCAATAATGGCAGCAGCAATCTTGAAAAGAGCAACAGCAACATGAATGGGCATTCTTTGTCATCACCATCAACACTTCAAACAACCTATCCACCGCAATACCGATCGCATGATTTGTTGCGTCGGTATTCACAACCAGGCATACCATCGCATCCACCACCACCGTACATGCCTGTAGCCCCAGCTGTTACCGAGTATGTACCGTATTCTTCAGCACAACAACCACTTTCACAACCTGAATATCATCATCAACGATTAAGTAGCAATAATGATAGTACACGCAAACTCAACACAAATACCAATGTCAACAAGCCTTATCGGCCACCCATGGTTTTGCAATCACAGCAGCAGCAACAACAACACCAACAGCAAGCACCTCCACCACCCTCACTTACCACACTTGCATCTGGTGCATACATCAATATCCCACCACCTGCAGCTGCAACAACACCTGTACCACAACAGCAACCTTTGCCACCCACAGCCATTGCCACAACAACAACAACCACTACTACGACCACGAGCAATAACGCCATCACCACAAGCGGCATCAAACGAATAGGTCCAATAGTAACACAAGCAACGGCAGCAACGCCACGACCCACATTAAGACGACGTGGGTCAACTGAATCTGTTTCAAGCGTTATGACGGAAACAAGCACCAATGTTCAAAAACAGCGATTAGCAAAGGCGGTGGTCAAGTGCGGTGAAAAAGAACATGTCGATGACATCGTTGATATGTTGTTGACGCTTAAACGCAAAGAGCGATCTATATGTTTGTTCAATTCTGATTATCTTAAAGAAAAGATCGCCTTGGCCAAAACAGCGCTTGAGACGTTTCAGGAGGAAGAAGAAGAGGAAGAAGAAAAGAACAATGACGATAAAGCAATGGTACCAAGAAATCCTCCTATTGCCACCACACCATCACCACCATTAGCAACAATGAACAACACCAACAATAACGCAACAACACGAACGCCAACTACAGACACGAGACCCAAGTCGCGTGCCATACCTATCGTTGCTCCAGCATCATCATCCACAACTACCAAACCAACAACAACAACAGCTTCACCTTCACCTGGTCCCACGCGTGCTGAAATTGACCAATTCCTTGCATCGATCGAAAATCTAACATCGCATGAGAAGAAACAAAAACTTGGTGATCGACTCTTCCCATGCGTTAAGGTATGTACATATGTAATGCATCATTCATATCGGAGTCACCGTCAGCTGATAACGACACACGCGTATGTGTTTGTTTACATTTAGGCTACTGGCGTCAAACACGCCCCTCGGATCACTATTCGCTTGTTGGATACGGTGCCATTGAATGAACTTGCTCACTCCATGAATGATAAGGTGGCTCTTAAAGCCAAGGTAGATGCTGCTGTCGCGTCCATGTCTTAATGATATCCCATTCCTTTGTACAAATCTCTTTGCATACCATCTTTTTTCATACGTTTCACCCAACCATCAACAACACACACAATAGTCGCCTTTGGCTTGATTTACAAAATACAATGCATCTTTTGATTTGGATACCTGCGATCTCTGCATTACACATACACACGATTGTATATTGAACAAATGGATTTATTTTGAAAGAAAAGAAAACTTTTTAACTAATGCATCCTCAGACAGTGTGAATACAAAATGGTTTGCTCACATGATGATTCGAGCCCATGATAAAGTGTCATCACCGGATGCTGTATAATGGATGTACCAAAATGAAAAAAACCCCTCCTCCTATCTTCTACAATAAAAACCCACACATTCCAAAATACTCACTGCAACCCTTCCAAATCACTCTTCCTTCGTGTTGTTGTATGTCATGAAACCGTTTATTCGATCCCACGCAATCAATGACTTGTAAATTGGAAAAAGATACAAAACACCATTGGCCGGAATCAAGTTTCTTGAAGATCGCTAGGCAACGCACCAGTTTAAGCAACGAGAGCAGAGGCAGTAGCAGACTCACTATGAAAATGCAAAAAGAGCATGGTTAAGGAGGACACTTGCCGAGCAACATGATCATGTAACTCTGAACAATGTCCTGATATAGACGATGATGATATGAAAACCCATCCCATCCACACACACAACACCCCACGATGATTAAAAAGGATACAATTTCCAGTTGGGAGGAAGGTAGCCAGCGGTCTTGTAGTAACGAGCAAGACGATGGATACGGGACTCAACAAGAATGAGGCGGTACTTGGTGTCCTTGTCCTTGCGGTTACGTTCCAAGTGCTTGCGCATGGAGACGGCCTTCTTGATCAAGTGGTAAAGATCTTCAGGGATCTCGGGGGCCATACCGTTAGCCTTGAGGATACGGACAATCTTGTTGCCAGTAACAGCCTTGACTTGGGGAATGCCATGGGAGTCACGGAGGATGACACCAATTTGAGCAGGAGAAAGACCCTTCTTGGCATTCTTGCAGATCAAGTCAACGATTTCCTCAGAGCTGGTCTTCAACCAGGAGGGAGCAGAGCGACGATAGGGGAGGGCACTGCTGGCGATACCCTTACCACGAGAATACTATTTTATACACGCGTATATATAAGTTTACAATGTCGTGGTGGTAGTGGAAGGAGTCTAATGGACAATTGACAACTTACCATGCGACCCATTTTGACTAATAGTGTTTGGAGAAAGAGAGAGAACCTAAAGCTGCCGCGAAAAAATTTCAATTTCAAACCATGTCCACCACCAAGCCACCTTCTTCTTCATCGTCAGCTTCTTCCGACATTTTTTGACAAGCCTTCATATTCCGCACCACGGAGTTCGTTGCCTAGCAACAATGGATCGTAGCTACATTGCACCCGTTAATGGGTTTCCATTTTTCATAAAATAAAAGGTGATCATAAGGTAACAGCGACAAGCATTGGACATGCCATGAAGCCATTGTTGACAACTTGAATGTGCAAGGGTTGACCGTTGAGGATGATAATGCGGATGGATCAAGTTGATGGGCTTCACTTGTTTTGATATTGGGATCAACAATAAATCGTTTCCTTATTCGGCATAAAGCTGAACCTCTATCACACTGGAAGTGCTTGATGCTTTATTCTCGATCCATAGGTAACCACATGCGTGGGATCAAATGTAGTTCATTTGGTACTACATGCATCTCAATAATGGATGAAGGATGTTTTCCAAGACAATGATGCACGAGCGCATACATTGGAGGTTTAGATCGGTGTTGTCAACTCGCTTGATTTAACGTTTGCGATGATACAGTGGGATCATGGATCTCATAAGTCTGCTAAGAAAGACATGCTCAACCCCCCTCTTACATCAATGCTCGAAAATTTCGATTGACAATGACAACTTCCTTGATGCAACCATACGTCATGTTGATTTTTATGTCTGTGCACTCAATCATCAAAAGGAATATCCGTTGGCAGCTGCATTTCACATGTGTCTCTCGTTATGTATGTTGGTTGTTGGTCATGTTTCTTGTGTAATGTGTCGGTCTTGTGTGTGCACACATGTGGCATATCGTTTAGCAAACCTCATCCATTATTCTATAAGCTTCGGTCAAATGGATGATCCTTAACATTGTCCTGCAGGATCCTTATTGGCTTGCTTTGTCGGCTTGGAAAATTGTTATGGTGTTTCTCTTAGGAACATGGTCCAATGATACAAGGCAACAGCAAGAATAGAAAATTCCGCCCACCATGACCCCATTTTGATTGTGCTACACGGGAAGATGATTCAGGAACGGAATAAAACGTGGTCAGTCACCCCGGCAAATGCCGATAACAAAGCAACAATTCAAAAACGACAGAAATCCTATTTCAGCTTCCTCTTTATCTCTTTCTCTTTTTCATAACACAACCCCCCACTCGTAAAAAATGGCTGTCCCCGAAGGTAACGCTACTGCTGGTGCCAAGCTCTTCAAGACCCGCTGCGCTCAATGCCACACCGTTGAAGCTGTATGTGATTGATAGTCTTTGTTGTTCAACAATGTAAACTTACTCTTTTATTTGTATTCTATATAGGGTGGTCCTCACAAGGTTGGTCCTAACCTTCACGGTGTCTTTGGTCGCAAGTCTGGTCAAGCTGCTGGCTACTCTTACACTGATGCCAACAAGAACAAGGGTGTCGAGTGGAATGATCAAACCATGTTTGACGTGAGTACTAGTAGAGTCTTTGTTTTTGCTAATAAGACTATGTTTATTGATCGTTACATCTATTCTAGTACTTGGAGAACCCTAAGAAGTACATCCCTGGCACCAAGATGGCATTCGCTGGTTTCAAGAAGCCCAAGGATCGTGCTGATGTTGTTGCCTACTTGAAGGTAAAGTGTTGTGGTTTCTCGGATCGTAATGTGGAAGGGGGGCGGAGGAGGAAAAAAACACTTTTTGGCGGATGATCCGATTGAGTCATATGCTAAAAGAGGTATTCTTTCTTTTCTTTGTAGGAGGCCACCGCCTAAAAAACCCCCCATCATATCTTGTTCTTGCATGTCACATAGATCATTCCAAAGGCACCAATGTTGCTGATACAAAATAAAAAAACCATTGTGTAAAACAAATTTTCATTTCAAAGGCCAAGCACAGCACAAGTAAGAAGAAAGGTGGGGGTGATACACACACACATACAAATAAGTTGGGTGTCGAGATAATCAAGGGAAGGGGGTATGTTTAACCTCGGATGCTTTGTCGCTCAGGTCGCAAGGGCGATTTCATCCCATAACCGCCATTGTAACTTGCACGCTTCAAATCCATAGACGCAGGACGACGCTGGTTCATGTTGGGAGCTGAGAATCAATTTGACACGTGATATTAGCCGCCTTGTTATCCCATCACGAAACCCCCTTTCAATGCTTACACTTTAAAAAGTCGGTTGGTCCATTGTAAGGTCGAATCTTGGCAAGTGGGTTAGACACATTATCGATATAGGCCTTTTTGGCTACAATGATAAAGATGATTATTAGCATGACGTTATCCTTCATGATGATACCCAACCAAAATCTTACCTGTAGTGGGATGTTCAAAGATGATGAGAGCACGCGTATCATCCTTCCATTTGATGCGATAACCGCCACGCATGTTTTCATATTCACGGAAAATATCATGCAAGTGATGAGTCTTGAAAGCTGAAGGGAAATCGTAGCAGTCAAGGACAACCGTAGGCTCATCCACAACAGGAATCTCAGCTAAAAAGGAGACAACATACAAAGGAAAGGGGTTAATTGGTGGATAGAGGCGTATACAATAGATGTATAGACTTACGAGCAGGTTCATTGAATGGATCCATGATGCGGCTTTGACGTTTGCTGGATCGACGGCTATCAACACCACCCATGGGACCATCATCATATCGATCGTATTGACGTAGCAATTCTTCCCAATCTGGTTCATCATGTACTGAAAGGCCTTCAAGGGCCATATGCAACTTATCCGCGGTGCTGTTACGTCGACTATCAGGTCGTGAGAATCGTTGATGTGGGGTCAAAGGATCGTTATCCGAATCTTCAGTATCATCGCCATAGCGAGCTGCAGCTGCTGCAAGGCTAAAACGTTGTTGTTGACGAGACCATGCAAATTGACGAGAGGAGCGGCGGGAGTCAATATCACTGCTGCTAGCCCGGCTATACATGGATTGACGCTTGGGTGCTTGCTCATCCTCCTCGATCCACTTGTCATCCTGAACACGGTTATCCGAGATGCTGTTTCCACGGCGACGATGAACTGGAATGTAAGCACTGTTGCACTTGCCCCTTGTCTCGTCTACAGTGGTAGTGGTAGTAGTGGTGGTGGTAGTTGGGTCCATGGCAAAGAGAATGTATGGCTGATTGTGTGTGTATATGGAAAAGTGAGTGCCGTTGGCTTTAAAGTAAGGACAGTGTATAAAGCGTTATTCAGAAAGGCGCCCTTGATGAGGCTATTTAAGAACGAGAGAACAAAGGAATGAACAAGTAGAGAAAAGAGAAAAAGAGAGAGAGAGAAACAGGGAAAAGAATGTCATCCACCCAAAGCCGTAATCAAAACCTATGCGGACTTTTTTTGCCATCCATCCATGTGGGAAAGATATCGTCTACATACATACACACCCCCGTTTTAAAATGCATGTCAATAAAGAAACGACCATTTATTGTCTGTAGTTGTTGTCGTTGTTACTTTAATAGGGCGAATAGTAGAAACCTCGGCCACGTCCTCTGCAATTAATATTAGTTTAGTATCTTACATATGTACTATGCCTTTTTCCTTACCTTCCACGGCCACGATAGCCATACATGGGTGAATGCCCATAGTAAGGCATCATACCGCCTCGGAATCCACCACGGAATCCACCACGTCCACGTCCACGTTGAGTAAATCCTGGGACATTAGTACGCTTGGGAGACACCTAACAACATAATCATTGGGTTAAGTGATTGTCCCTATGTTATAGCTGTATCATCATATATACCTTGAGTAAACGGTTACGGAAAAGGCTCTCATTCAATGCAACGGCAGCATTCACAAAATCAGGCTCGGCAAATTCAATGTAGGCAAAGCTATCCATGCTGTTGTCAATACCTGGTATCGATCGACATACAATCATAGGCACTCTTACCCTTTAGGATGACCAGTGAACTTATCGCATAAGATAGTGACACGATTGATGGTACCGCATGATTGGAAATGAGCTTGTAATTCTTCGGGTGATGCCCCATAATCCACCTAAGCATAGTATGCATTAGTATGATCTGATAGAATCATCTTGCGCCTATCATTATCCCCTCTTTCTTTTTTTTACATTGCCAACATAGACAGACCGTGCGTCAACGGCTTCTTTATCTGTTTTTTTGTGTTCCCCATCTTTTTGTCAGAACCCTTGCTTCTTTGACCTCTTTTTTAAAATCCTTGAGTTCGAGCATGTAAACTCACCTTCCTCAGGGTTCATGGATTTTTCCACCTCTGCCTGCATTTCACGTAGTTTGGCAGCTTCGTCTTCCATCTCCTTGACACGCTGCTTCATGGCCTCCAATTCCTGTAATCAACAAACACTTGTTATATAGACCGTTCAAGCGTGTTACGTAGCCATTTCGTGTCAAACCTTGTCAACTTCAGCATTGGCATCGCCCTCTTCGACAACAGGTTTATCTTCTTTGTCTTGAACAACATCATCGGTTGCTGTGGCATTGTTGGTTTCGTTCTTGGGATCAAGTTCACTCATAGTTGCGGGTTAAAAAGAGAATAGTTGCATGTGTCTCTCTTTCCAAAGGCGATTTTTGATACCAGTCGTTGACATGGTGACTGTCCAATGTCCGATCCCACTGGTACTCCTCGACATGCCCGCTTTCCTTTGCTCACCACTAGCGACAACATTACCCACTACATGAGTTCCTCCTCCAAAACGTAGCATCAAAGAAAATAGTTTTACCATCATTCTCCTATTATGAGACCATTGATTTCTTCTTAGTCTTTTAATTTTATGTACTTTTCGAATGCGTGTTGATAAAGCGAAGCCTATAATACAATCCTAAAACTGCTTTTTGAAACAATGGCTATATTGCATGAGTGTTTAAATATCATGGATTGTAAAGACAAAGGGACCGGGTATGCTTAACGAGGGATTTTATCCTTGAAAGGAATAAAAAGAAGCTTGTATAGGATACCTAGTTATACCCACACATAAAGATCACGCTTACATTAATTGGAATCGATTAGCATGGTATGTAGTATAGCATCACGAGCTGACATTGTATTAAGTAGTAGTAGGTAATAAGCTAGCAAGTTCTAAAGAAAAGGGAAGATACGATCTAAAATCACTGCTGAAGGGAAAGCTCTAGCGTTTTCATCAACGTCGCTCCAAACTTATCCATTTTGCTTTCATCAAGGCTATCTCTCTGATAAGCGATTGTTGCATGCATGGCATCCAAGGTACTGATAGCGTTGACATTGATAGCCGTAGTGAAGGTATTGGCCGTCTGGCAAAAGTAAAGCTCCTTTGCATTGGCTGAGCATCGACCGAGATCTGAAAGTTCAATACCGCCTTCACGACCCATGGGCAAAAACTTTTTCCACTTCTCGAACCAAAGGATTTCGCAATAGTCTTCAGGGAAACGAGACAAGAACTCCAATTGGAATACTTCTTTGGCAGCCTCTTTTTTGTTGGCTTGTAATCCTTGATGATATGCCTTCGCAGCTTTCCAGAATGATGTAATATCCTTGAAATCAGAAGATGTCCAAATGCGAGAGTAGGAGCCGACAAAGTTGCCAATCTCATCTTCAGGGATACGTGGATTCACCATACCACGACAATTGACGGGAGTGCTAGACTTGACGGCTGATTCCTTGGGATACAATTGTGAAAACGTCAACATGATGGCGGTCATGATGGCAGCATGCGGGGTAATGCCGTGCTGTTGTTTGGCTGTTGCACAAATCTTCTTCCAAATGGCCGGGTCGACTCGTATCACTTGAACAATCGAATCATGGCATACCTTGGAACGATCCATCACCGAAGGACGATCACCACGCCACACGCTCTTTTTCTCACCAAACAATGATGGCATCACATGTCCTGCCAATAAACGCACTTTTTCCATTATGGTGTATCGTGGTGCTCCTCGATGCTCATAAGCAGGTGCGATCGCTTTCTCCTTGTTGCCTCGCAACACAAATGGTGGTGAAGCAGCTTCATTGTTGCCATCCTTGAGATACTCGAGTAGGTCCTGCCAAAAGATAGCCAAGCTCCTGCCATCGGCAATCACGTGCTGCACAGCAAAAGTAATACTGCATTCCTTGGGTCGATCAGGGTGGGTGTCAATGTGAAGTCGCCACAGTGGAATGCTGTGATCGTCATAGTCGAATTCCTTGTCGCATTGCTCGGCCAATCGTTTTGCTTGCTCATTCGGTTCCCAATACTGCAGCTCGTCAAACGTGACGATGGACTCAAGGTTGAAATCAGAGACAATGGTAAAATGGGCTGTTTCCTTGTCGGCGTCTTGCACAACGGCAGTGAGCAGAGGGTGCTTGGCAACGAGTCGTACTATGGCTGGATACAACCAGGCGAGGTAAAACTGTCGGATATCGCCAACAGGGGCATCATGTTCCAGAATCGCCGTAAGCGTTACAGACCCATAGCAGTGAGTGAGTAGCTTAGAAACTTGATACTTTTCCAATAAACCAAGGGCACGCATTTGAGTACAATGAACAAAGAGAATAAAGAACAATGGCCATTCAAATTATGAGATCGAATTATATAAAGACAATTCTTGTCCGCAGCACGGAGGTCGTAACAGCATTACACACGGTCCAAATATGTATATTATTCCCCGTTTATCGCTCTTCTAGTCCCGTCAAACCTATCATCTCGCATAAGCGATCGAGATCGATGCATTCAAACTTCGATCTCTAATAAGGAAATTCAGCCATTGCTAATGATGCAATTGATGTGTAAACAACAAGTGGCCTTTGACAAACAAGATGCTCTATTGGCGACAATTCATACGCATGACCATTGCATCTCGGCATGTTTTTACCAAAATAATCAATCCTGCATATACACGCTCGAATGTCAAAACGCGATAAGATGAACTTGAAGATGCAGTCTCAGCCACGTTTCATGGCTGGTGTGGATTGCTCAGCGACAAAATCCAACCTTTGGGTGCCAGGAACAATCAAATTCCATTCAATTGACTAAACGTGACCGGGTATATGGTCGTCTTTGTTCTAACAAAGACGCTATGATTGCCTTATGCAGTCAATGTTGATGTAGAGGAACTGCTATCTGTGGTCGAAATTCTCGGTCATGCTGTGATAAAAAAAGATGCACAGGGCTTGATTTGCGTAACAAAAGCCAGAGCTTGGCATAGGGGAAACATTACAGCGATAGGCAACAATGAACATAATAGTACCTTCTGCTATGATAGGATGCTATACGGTGGTGTTTACAGTAATTTGTTAGCTCAAGATGACGATAATAGCCCTTCATGTGCTCTCTTCCAGGGATCAATTGCAACATTTTACTGCTGGGAACGGCTTTACTGCCACAAGCAACAATAGGTATGTATCATTTTGACAATGTTGTACGCCAATCATGTATGCAAAATCCCTTACGGTTATGTATTTCTCCTTGCTTTACTACTACAAGTTACGCTGGGGTTGCGTTATTTGATCCCCTCACACTTGATCGTATGGCATCCCGACAATGTTATTTGTAATAGCCATATCAACACCATTTCGTTGACTTGCCATTACTAACTGATTCTTATTTGATGATGGGTGATAATGATGCGTTTTATTGACGACTTGTTGCAGATACATAATATAGACAAGAGAGTCCCTAGAATAACCCCCCATGATACCTGCATCAACCTTATGTGGATTTTGTCAATTTGAAAAGGAGAATCGTTGTCATGGGATTTTTCTTATATCTCCTTAGTGCAATACGCTTGGTTGCCATGGTGTAAAGTACATGCTGTTGAGTAGGTAGGTTGGTGGGTGGCCCGACAACGACGACTCACATTCAATGGCCGACTCGGCGAGCGGGTGGGATACATTGGCCAGGGCTTGCCAATCATGGCACGCCCTCTTTTACCGCGTGTAAGTAATCAGGCTAATAGGTTGCAACACAAGAGATGGACAAAGAAGAGGATGAATGGCGATGGATGGATGAAAAGATCAAAGGATGGATGGATTGGATACGTGGATGATACCATGGCAACATGTGGGGGCGATATGGATACTCTTTACTCATCGATCGACATGGTGTATAGATTTGCTCAACATGCTTGTTCAGAAGCAGAACCGCAAGCTCATCTACGAGACTCTTTTCAAGGGTACGACATGACAACGACAGCGTGTGAATTCGACGTTCAAAACGAGATATTGACAGCATGCACTTCATGTAGACGGTGCTCTTGTTGCTCCCAAGGACTTCAACTTGGCCAAGCACCCCGAAATTGACGTTCCCAACCTTGAAGTCATCAAGATTATGCAATCCTTGACCTCCAAGGGCCTTGTCAAGACCCAGTTCTCGTGGCAGTGGTACTACTATACTCTCACCAACGAGGGTATTGATTATCTTCGTGAATGTATGTTGTCTATATGGGATGTCATGGATGATCTATAGACGCACATGGCTTATGATGTTATGCTACTATTAGACCTTCACTTGCCCCAAGAGATTGTTCCCGCTACTTTGAAGAAGACTGCTCGTCCTGCTGCTCCCCGTCGTGCTTGTAAGTCTTGTCTTTTGATATCATTCATTCATCATGCTCATCCACATTGCTTTTGATCTAGTCGGTGGTGAAGGTCGTGAAGGTGGTCGTCGTGATCGTGATGACTACCGCCGCAAGGAAGGTGCCTCTGGTGACTTCAAGCCTGAATTCCGTGGTGGTTTCGGTAAGTTGGTTGTGGATCATTGGGTTATGATTATCATAACGAGTTTGCTTATCATCAATTGCTACATGTAGGCCGTGGCCGTCGCGAGTAAATCTGCTGTCTGTAGTATGTTGCTCCCCATAAAAAGCAGTATCAACGCTGTAGATAAATGTCAACTAAATCACAGCATGCCTTTTTGAATTTTCATCTGATCATACAATGTTGTGGGATAATTGATTATCTGCCAAGAAAGGCCAAATTATGATGCGAACACCAAAATGAGTGATGAACGAGCACCAGATGTATGGTTATGCAGTAATATCATCATCACCTATAGTGTGGAGAGGAAACTAGTATTGCCGAAAATGGTTGAGCAGCATGATGCCCCTGATTTGAGCTTACGCACAGGCCTGTGTCTGCACATAGGAGTCAGCAATCATATACTTGGTTTACGCCTATAGATGAAGACTTGCTATTTTTATAACTGGCTAGTGCACTATACATGCATCAAACACGAATTTAGGCATGTGCATTTGCATACACGTTATTGGTATTATGCATTGGCAAGGTAGGTAGAAATGTCAGCTGCTGCTTTCACGCACCCATTTCAAAGAAAATGCAAAGGCTGTGTTTGACACAAAAGGGGTTGTCGCTTTTCTTTTCTTTCCAGGCAATGGGGTTTATGAGTAAGAGTCGGATAACGACAAGGAAGGAGGCGAGGAGAGTTGTGAATGTGGTTGTGAGGGGGGTTGTGTACTAGAGAAACTAGTGTCCACGTAGGTTTTCAATGAAGGAGATATGTAACTAATTGTGTGTGTGTATATGCAAGAACACTCAACGCATACTTAGATCTGCAAGGCACAATGGAGTTGTCGGCGTGGGGATATGCTTGATTTGAAAGGTGGGTCTTCTCCCTCTTTTTGTCTTTCTTAATATCAAAACACATCCCTCCCTTTCCCCTTGGATTCTTGTTGCTTTGTTCTTATTTTACCCAGCGACCCTCTCTTTCTTCACGTCTTCATTCGAATAACCTATATACCATATGAGTGTGCAAGCAACCGTAGCATTGTTGAACAAGAATGCTGCTGTCAATACAAACAACAGCACCACCATTGCCACCAGTGCAAAACCCCCCATCAACAAAATTGGTGGCTCAACATGGAAAGATGGCAAAGATAATCGTACATCCATCATCACCAACAAATCCGCAAGAGCGGCTGAATTAGAACGTATCCGCTCAACTGGTGGTGGTGTAGCATCCATGTTGAGCAAGTTTGATCGATCTGAATTCAACGACACGACGCCTACTACTATGAAAAGAAACACCACAAGTGGTATTCTTAGCCATCGATCCAGCAGCCTATCTAGATCATCAAGTGTCAAACAACGATCACCAAAAAATTATCATGGCATTGTCAGCAGCCACAATACAAGTCGAATTGATGCGATCATGCATGATTTAGTTGATATGTATCAACAAGCTGTGGAACACTGCAATGGGCAGCATACAACAACAAGATGTGGGACTACTACGACTACTAGGAATGTGGATAATCAGCAGCCATTGTGCAAGCGTTCTGCCAACAAAGCCGAGAAAGGGGATAGTAGCTGCATTGCTTCTTTGGATGATGATGACGACGACAACAACAAGGGCGCACCCAATAGTAGGGACGATAAGGAGGAGAATGATACCAGGACAAGTACCGATGATGACCTCCTTATTGTCAAGAAACAATTGCTGGCGATGGAAAAGGGAGCTCAGTCAGTCTTTGAGCGACAAGCTCGCGACCTTGAGAATGAGAGGAAACAAACACGAACGCTTACGGAGGTTGTGCATAAGCAAGAAGAATTGATTGCAGCTCTAGAAGGCAAGGTCTCCTCAGCACAATGTGAGCGTGATGAATTGCTCTTGCTGCAGGAACAAGTGGAGTTACAGCAACTCGAAATCAAGGACAAACGCAACCTGCTTTCAAGATTACTAGAAGAACGAGAGGAGATGTTCAAGCTGCTACGTAGCCAACAAAGCAATTACAATAATAATGGATCAATGCGTTCCACATCAGCTGACTTGCCATCTTCAGAGAGACCTCATCCTCAACAATACCATCGTCATCTACTTTCGCGTGCTTCATCCCCAGCTTTACGACAAACAGCATTGGTAAGATCATCATCCGGCTTATCGTCTCGTCCAACATCTCCACCACCTTTGACAGCACCTCCTCGAGATCCTCTTCCTCCTTTGCCAAAGTCATCTTTTCGTGGGTCATCCGCATCTTCAGCATCCACATCCTCGGGAAGTTTCTTATCACCCACCACATCTTGGTCTTCAGCTGATTATGCAGCAGCATTAGCCCCTGTAAAATTACCAGATGGTATTGCTGCTTCTGGTTATTGTGGAGCACCCTCTGATAGTCAACAACAACAACAACCTGTATGGCTTGATTATAACTCTACGCATGTGGATGTCTTACCACCCACACCACCAGGTACCATTGGTCGTCAACCAAGCTTCAAATTTTCTAGGAAACGTAGCAGCAGCAACAATTCATCCTTTTGGAAAGGCTGGAAGCAAAAATTGGGATCTCGTTCGTAGATGATACGCCTCTTATTCCCCCTTTACACTCTTATCTTTTTTTATTAATCTGTACGATACAACAACATCATATCACTTTGCTATCTTAGCTCGTAGTAGCCTTTCCCTCACCCACGCTTTCCTCTGTTGTACTTGCTTTGTAGCTGCTGTATTTCCAAATGCAATATCAACCATTGTTGGTATGACATCGGCGTTTCCTTGTTGAGAAGAGTTGCTATGGATACCGCCAATCAATATCATTCATACTTTGAAAGCAACATGTACGTGGAGTAAATTTATGTATTATGGATTAGGCAATCATAGCAATGGGAATATGAAGGAGTAAGCTATACTATTGGAGAGCTACGTTTCAAGTTACGTAAATGCATGCATGTCGCAGCAGTGGTGATGAATAATGGGGCCGCAACAGAGAGAGAGTGGAAATCGGAGGCATCATTCGGACATCAAATCAGAGCGATGTGCCGCGTAACGCGTGCTTGCTTTTCCTCTGCAACTTTACCCAACTCACAATGGCCAACCAAGAAAAAGAAGACAAGACGACAAAGATGGACGTCGATCCAAAGAATGAAAAGAGTGTCGATGACAAGAAAAAGGACAAGAAGGAGGAAGAAGAGGAATTGGTAACTAGCCCTGACCTGCCCTGCTCTATAGATGGCTTTTATTTTCAATACTAACATGCATCTACTAGTCTGAAGAAGATCAACAATTAAAGAACGAGCTCGACATGCTTGTAGAGAGACTTCAGGTGCGTGGGATCAGTGTTCAGTTATGCGTTGGGAAAGAGACAACTTATTGAGAGAGCAACAACGTATTTCAGGAAAGCAATCGCGACTTGCATCGACCCGCTTTGGAGCAATTACGTACCCTTATTCGCACGTCGACCAGTTCCATGACCTCAGTACCAAAGCCTCTCAAGTTCTTGAGTCCTCACTATACCACGCTCAAAGACTTGCATGCATCTTGGCCAGAGTCAGCCGACAAAGTAAGCTGATGATTACTATCGACGCAACGCCCCTATTGACGATGTAATGATGGATATAGAAATTGTTTGCCGATATTCTTTCCGTGCTATCCATGACATACGCCGAGGAAGGTCAACGTGAAAGCTTAAGATATCGTTTCATTGGATCAACTGAGGAAGATATTGGATCGTGGGGTCATGAATACGTTCGACATTTGTCAGCCGAGATCATGCAAGAATATGAAGCAAGAACCGAAAAGGAGGAATCCACCGATGACTTGGTCAAACTTGCTCTCTACATTGTACCTTTCTTCTTGAAGCACAATGCCGAAGCTGACGCTGTGGATCTCTTGTTGGAACTCGAATCAATTGAAGAACTCCCTCAATTCGTTGACAAGAACACCTATGAACGTGTGTGTCTATATATGGTTGGGTAGGTGTCGTTTTATACATACATTGGGTGATGAACAAGACAACTTATGTACATGTGATCTAGATGCATCACTTTGCTTGTCCCACCAGATGATTTGCGCTTCATGAAGACCGTGCGTAAGATTTACCAACAACAAGAGAAATACGCACAGGCATTGAACATGTCAATTCGCATGCGTGATATGGATCTTATTCGAGAAGACTTTGAATCCGCACCTGATCGGTGAGTGCTTTCCTTCATTAGAATGCAGAATGGTGAAGCTGATGGATGATTGTAGATCAATTAAGAAGCAAATGGCATTCCAGCTCGCCCGACAACAAATCAACCTTGAAGTGGAAGATAGCGAACTCAGCGATTGTATCAACAACACCCATCTTTCCAAGCACTTTATCGCCCTTGCTCGTGAATTGGATGTGCTTGAACCCAAGGTCCCCGAGGATATTTACAAGTCTCACTTGGAAACTCACAGTATGTGGTTCAAGACAACACATGTCATATCTCAACATTCGGATTAACACGGCTTTCTTTTATCAGGAATGACCTTCAGCGCCAATGTTGATTCTGCACGCAATAATCTTGCATCAAGCTTTGTCAATGGCTTTGTCAATGCTGGTTTTGGAAGAGATAAGATGGTGGTCCCTGATGCTGAATCCACTAACAACTGGATCTACAAGACCAAGGATCATGGTACGTATAAGGATCATGTTGTGCATTCGATTTTAGCTGACATGGATTTCCCTTCAAGGTATGATCAGTGCTACAGCATCCATTGGTATGATTCTCTTATGGGATGTGGAAGCCGGCTTGTCTATCATTGACAAGTACATGTACTCGACCGATGACAACATCAAGGTAACAATGAGGAGATGATACAATGGAAAAGAGAGAGTGTTTTATTCATATGAGATTGTTAGGCTGGTGCTTTGTTGGCTATTGGCATTTTGAATTCGGGTGTGCGTGAAGAAGCCGATCCTGCTTTGGCATTGCTCACCGAACACATTGAAGGCGATAGTCTTACCAGCAAGCAGGCCGCCATTTTCGGGTAAGCATCTTGAATGTGGGGATAGGAATGTCTTTGTAAAGTGGCTCACACCTTGTGCTTCTTTAGTCTTGCTTTGGCATATGCTGGTTCAGCACGACAAGAGATTTCAGAGCTCCTCTTGCCCATTGTAAGCGACACATCTCTCTCTATGGAATTGTCAGGTCTTGCAGCCCTTGCTTTGGGTATGATCTTTGTCGGCACATGTGATGGTGACATTTCCAGCACAATTCTTCAAACCATGATCGAGCGTGAAGAAAACCATCTCAAGGATACCTGGGGCAGATTCATGGCTTTGGGTTTGGCACTTTTGTTCCTTGGTAAGTTTTCCACAATTATACCATGGCTGTTCTTGTTTTTTAATCATGGCCAATTCCCTCCATAGGACGACAAGATGCTACTGATGCTATCATTGAGACCCTCAAGGTGATCGAACATCCTTTGGGCAAGCAAGCCGAGGTGTTGGTGGAAGCTCTTGCATATGCTGGTACCGGCAACGTCCTCAAGATTCAAAACATGCTCCATCTTTGCAATGATCATTTGGACAAGTCGAAAGAAGATGATACCTTCCAAGCATTTGCTGTACTTGGTATTGCATTGATCGCTATGGGTGAAGATATTGGATCAGAAATGTCTCTCCGTTCCTTTAACCATTTGGTAAGCTAAACAACTTTTTCCATTTTCGGCTATCATCTCCTCTAACATTTCATCGTTTAGATGCATTATGGAGAGCCAGTGATTCGACGAACAGTGCCACTCGCTTTGGGCTTGCTTTGTGCATCCAATCCTTTGGTGAATGTCCTTGATACTCTTAGCAAATACTCTCACGACAACGATAATGATGTTGCTATCAGCGCCATCTTTGCTATGGGTGTCGTCGGTGCCGGCACGAACAATGCTCGTCTCGCTCAAATGTTGCGTCAACTTGCCAGCTTTTATCACAAGGATGCATCGAGTCTTTTCATGGTGCGCATTGCTCAGGGTCTATTGCATATGGCCAAGGGTACAATGACAATCAATCCTTTCCACACCGATCGGCAGATCATGTCACCTGTTGCAGTTGCAGGTCTCATGTGCAGTCTTATCACAATGACCGACTACAAATCATGTAAGTGCTATCATTACATACCCCCAACTCATGCATTTCATTAACGATATGTGTATAGTTATTTTTGGCAAGTTCCATTATCTTCTGTATTCCCTTGTCACCGCCATGTACCCCCGATTCTTGATCACATTCGACGAAGACCTCAACAGCTTACCGGTCACTGTTCGTGTGGGTCAAGCCGTCGACGTTGTTGGCCAAGCGGGTCGACCAAAGACCATCACAGGTTTCCAAACACACTCAACCCCTGTTCTACTTGCTCATTCGGAACGTGCAGAATTGGCAACCGAAGATTGTAAGTGTCCTCTTTATCACTATTTTATGTTGATTTACTAACATGTATATATACATCTAGACAAATCACTGGCTCCTGTATTGGAAGGCATTGCACTATTGAGACGTGTACAGGAAGAAGAAACCGAGTAGATACATTCAAACATGGTTGGGAAAATAATGAAAAAAAAGAGCTGCCAATAAATTTGTTATATTTGCAAAGGGAAAAAGAAGTAGAAAGCTATACTAATGGAAGGGGAATGGTCGCTGTTGTGTGTGTTTGTATACTATGATAAGCGTATTTACGAGCGTTCGCCACGAAGACGACGAGCAAGCTGAATATCCTTGGGCTGGATAGTAACACGCTTGGCGTGGATGGCTGCAAGGTTGGTGTCTATATATCATCACATTTCCCACTCCTTATTAGCGCATTGTCCCCCTAATGTACCATCCAGTGCAAAACACAATACCTTCAAAGAGAGAGACGAGATAGGCTTCGGCAGCTTCTTGCAAAGCACCAATAGCAGATGATTGGAAACGCAAATCGGTCTTGAAATCTTGGGCAATCTCACGAACAAGACGCTAAGGAATGATCAAAATCAATATCGGTCATCCCGCAGCAAAGGAAAATACACTCATTAACCTACCTGGAAGGGCAACTTGCGAATCAACAATTCAGTGGATTTCTATAATAACATGCATGTATCAGCTTCCAATCCCTTATAAACAACATTTCGTATTAGCAGCAATAACGAACCTGATAACGACGGATTTCACGGAGAGCAACGGTACCGGGCTTATAACGATGGGGCTTCTTCACACCACCTATACAAGAATGAATGGGCTTTGTTATGCTCCAATGTCGACACTTTGATTGACCCATCTCTTTGATCTTACCAGTAGTGGGGGCAGACTTGCGGGCAGCCTTAGTAGCGAGTTGCTTTCGGGGTGCTTTACCACCAGTGGACTTGCGAGCTGTTTGCTTGGTACGAGCCATTGCAGAAGAGTAACAGAAAAAAAGACGAAAGAGAAATGTATTGTACACCACCGACCCACCTCCCCCATTTTAGGCTTTAATTCCGCAGTATTTGATGCCGCCGCTCGTGTCACATGCCCCCATTTCCCTGACCCGCACGCATTATCCATGCTAGACACCTATTTCAATTACATTCATTGTCCTCTTACAACATCTCTTTCCACAATAAGCAATCACAATAAAGTATGCTATTCGTTGTTCAAGAGAATACACATTCATAGCTTTGCTTGCGTAAGTCTGATGACATTTCACACACAACATACTGGTGCATATCAATCGCCATGTTTCATAGATGGTGTGGATCCTACGGTTTCAGCTGCGGTAGAGTTTGGTTATTAATGCAAAATTGTATTGCTTGCCATGTAAGATTTGTAATGTAGATGATCCTTTGTAGGCAACAATGATGCTCCACTGCCACAGAAAGTAGTCAATTGCTACTACTATATTTGTTGGCTTTCACAAGCTTCTTACTAAATCTGGATCTTCTTATCGAACAGGCTTTCGTCACTTACATACAGCAAAATCACCTTTCAAGTGGCATCAATTCGACTCGTCACTCCAAGATGGTTGACCACTTTATCAGGTTGATCAATCATGACAACATTTCTCACGCCAACTCTCTATAAACAACGCTGTTGTCACCAACACTATCATACGTCTTTTCTTTCTACTTGTATTCACATAATCATCAATGGCCTTTGGTAAGTCTCAAGGAGAGTCTTTATTATGTGATCCCCAAAATAAGGGTACCATGCATTCATCTTGTAGCTCACATCATTGCTTTACCACTTCAAGTGCTCATTGGTGTCTAATGGCATTTGGCTGTGTTCCTTGATGGAGCTTTGTGGTAGGTATAACCATCATTAAAGATGCCTAGTCTAATAGGAATTTAGGGCTCCTTTGTAGGTGACATAAGTGCATACGTTAAAAAGCAGCAGCTTCAGCGCAATGTCAAGAGTTGTGTTGGGAGGCTTTGAACGATATCAATGACAAAGACCAGGTAGCGTCATGTATCATTTTCTATCATTTTTATGCTAATGTTCCTGTGCGGCAGGAGGATGCAGCTTTGGAGAAGAGTGATTGTGATACGCTGGTCCTGATTGGTCCCAATCATGGTGTTATTCCCTAGATCAGCTGACAGCAGAACATCGTGATCATAAAACGAGGTTGGCAATCATGCTTCAAACTTTGATTGTCAACGGATCCAATTCTCTTGTACGCTGATATAGATGACAATGCTAATGCTGTATCCAGTGATACTGCTCCCATGTCAACAACAAAGGTTTGTCGTATTATGAATGTATGCATAGTTGCTTGGATTATTGAACGTGTCATTTTATACTATTTGTAGAGGGATAACGATGACAATCCGCATGATGATGTTCTCCTCGACGATGATTACGAGTACCTTGCCGATGTTAATGGGCACTGATATCCTTCAGAGCATTGGATATCGCAATCGCTCAGTGGACCTTGCCAAGATGGAAGTGAATCTTAGTGATGATGGCGTACTCTCTCTCAGCAATGTTTTCGTCATCACAGCAGAGCAACATCATTCGTGTTTATACCGTTTCTTACCGAGCTATCATGCTATGGTTATCAAGATGTACACATCCAAGGAAGATTGCATCTCTTTACCTCGTCTATTATCTCGAGACTGGTGTTCATCTCTTGATGAATTGATATGTGCTAACAGTGACATCCCCAAACGCCAACTCAGACAGCTTGTTCGCGAATTTGCAGCATGTGCTGATACTGATGCTGATGACAAGGATGAAGATGGCGGCACATACTTACAATCGATGGCAGCGCTACTGAGTCAACTTCTGCAAACATTCCTTCTGCCGCCATCGGAAACAGAAAAAAAATTAAAACGGATTTCATTGCTTGTGTCATGCAGAGGGGATCGATGGCGCGGTGGGGCTCCTGCCAACTTGTAAAGCCTGCATTTTTTTTGGGACTTTGCTATAAGCTGCTTCCAATTCAAGTATTCAGAGGATCGAGCGTCGTAAAATGAGACATCGTTTACTTTTGTGTATTGCTACAACCCATCATTACCTTCCACATTATATGTATAAAGATGAAATCAGATAGCTCTATTACGAGGGCATCCAATTGCGCGTTTTTCGAACATACGTATTATAGACGTCGTGACATACGTAATCATAATAAGCAATGACAAAGAATTGGACGGTATCGATGTGATGTGTTTAATGAACAAGTGGTGATGAAAAACGATGGATAGTTCTATGGCGATTAGTTGTCCAAGGCTGAAAATGCGTGAGGAGGGGGAGAAAGAGGATTAATGGTTTCTACTTGGGACATACAAGAGTCTACTTTTTATGCCAAACCAGCAGCGGTCATAGCCTATAAAACATTGTGGATCAGCCAAAAGTTTGACTACTCAAGCTCCATCCAATTTCTTACCTCCTTCAACTTGTTACCGAGTTGGGCAGGGGAGGGGGTGACAATGACACCAGCGCTTTCAAGAGCAGCGATCTTATCTTGAGCACCACCCTTACCACCAGAGATGATGGCACCAGCGTGACCCATACGACGACCAGGAGGAGCAGTCAAACCAGCAATGAAAGACACAACAGGCTTGGGAGCTTCACGAGTCAAGTTGTATTGACGAAGGAAATCGGCAGCTTCTTCCTCAGCAGTACCACCAATTTCACCAATCATGACGATACCTATCAAGTAAAACGGCATGAATACCCTTCCCATTTGCATACCAATTCCATTTTTCCTTTACCTTCAGTGTTGTCATCCTCCAAGAAGATCTTCAAGCAATCGATAAAGTTGGTACCGTTGAGAGGATCACCACCAATACCCACGCAAAGGGTTTGGCCAAGGCCAACTTGAGTAGTTTGGTTGACGGCTTCATAAGTCAAAGTACCAGAACGAGAAACAATGCCGACCTTGCCGCGCTTGTGAATGTGACCAGGCATGATACCGATCTTGCATTGTTCAGGGGCAATGATACCAGGGCAGTTGGGGCCAACGAGACGGGTCTTGTTTTGAGTCATCAAAGCTTGCTTGACACGGACCATGTCATGTTGAGGAATACCCTCAGTGATGGCAACAACAAGAGGAATTTCATTTTCGATGGCTTCCAAAACGGCGGCAGCAGCACCGGGAGGGGGAACGTAAATGACACTGGCATCAGGCTTAGCTTCTTGAACAGCCTAATTCATGTATGTCATGTTAATAAAAACGCGTAACAATACATCCTATCCACCTTTATTCAACCTACCTCACGAACAGAGCCGAACACAGGAAGACCCAAGTGAGTTTGACCAGCCTTCTTGGGAGAAACACCACCGACCATGTTGGTACCATAAGCAATAGCTTGCTCAGAGTGGAAGGTACCCTACATACAACCCATATTAGCATCCTTCCTTGATCCCATATCAACAACGCTATTCCTACCTGCTTGCCAGTGAAGCCTTGGCAGATAACCTTGGTGTCCTTGTTAATCATGAGGTTCTTGGCTGTGGATTCGTAACCAGCTTGGCTTGCAAAGGTACGACGAGCAGCAATAGCTATAGTTGGCCGATGCCCAGCATGTTAATGTGCTGTTGGCTTTGTTGAAATGAGTTGAATAAAGATATCGAACCTGCATTACGGGCAACGGAGGTGGCTGATTTGAACATTGTGTATGAAGTGAGAAGAAAAAAACTGTTAAAGGAGGTTGGGAAAAGTGAGACACCGCTAAGGGAGACCGCGGTAAACACTTGTAAAGCTCGGGAGTTCCCGCGCACTTTTCACATGTTGCGGGAAACCACGGAAGCAAATGTGTCTCGGGCAAGCTGTTTTGCACTATGTAGTCAAGTAGGTCATAAATCAAGGGTCATCCAAGCATAAAGCCCTTCATAAATCTTGTTTTTCTATCACTTTAACCTATTGCCATGGCAACATGCACCTCCAAAAAGATAATGTAACAAATAGAAATGCTCACATGACTGTCGGATGGATAGCATTGCGGATGACAAATGGAGCTTACGGAGGTGAAAGCCCCGAAGGCTGCACTATGGCATTCTTCTCACGATATGATTGTGTTGCCCCTGGATCATCCACATGTCAAAAATGATGACAATTTTACTGCTAAAAACATATACAAACAATCAATCTCATGCAATAAAAACATCCTTGATGTAGTAGGCGATAGAATTTAGGCGACTTTCATTGTGCTTGTATTCATCAATATCTACGACAATGGATCGACAAGTTATGGGGACTACAGGAGCGGGGCATTCAATGTGTCCCCGATTCCCGAGAATGCAGGATGAATTTCATGTGTGTTTACAATGTCCATCTGTCATCCTTTGTTGTACCTAGATGACGCTGTTTGATGTTCCTTTTTCCGAGACCATCGTTTTAGGGTATACGATAATGGCATTAAAGCATGATTGCATACCAACATTGATGCTTTACGCGATCCATGCATGAGCAGAACCTGTAATGGTGATCATGAGCAATTTGAAACGTGGTTGAAATTTTGAAAGATATGGCTAGCTCCTTTTTTTACATTATGGATAGCGGCATGTTGAGCCATGACCACAACCAATCCAACGTGGCTTTTGATAGCTCGTTTATAGATCCACCTGTCATTTTTACAAGCTCATGGTCATCTATGATATCAAATGAATCACAGGACAAGAGTAGCGCATTGCGAAAAAGTAACGATGTGGTGGCACAGATTCGTTCATGCGTGCACCTTTGTGTTGGGGTTGTACCAAAATTGAGAACATGATGATGGTGGCCCAAGCATAAAACAATGCTCCATTCGCCACATGGTCATTCCTGCTGATTTTGCTAGTGATTCATATAAAAGTCGATCATCAAGAGCAGGTTAGCAAAGACGAACAAGATTGCGTTTAAAGAAAAACTCAAACAATGGTTGATACAAGAATACCATCAACTACAAATACTAGCAGCGGCAGCAACAGCAGCAGCAGCAGCAACATGGCTGTGTTGCATGAAGGCTGTAAGCAACCTAAAATGCCACGGCGTCGCATCATTGCGTGCCTCGATGGAACATGGAACACGCCGTCAGGTAGATGCATGCAAGCTTGTTCTCTTTCTACTACACTAACGAACATCCACTTGACCAGCTCATACCAATGTATTTCGATTTTACAACAACATTGAGGAATCACGCCCTGTGAAAGCCAATGACGATCCAAATCATTACATCCAGGTGGCCGAGTATTTTCTAGGAGTGGGTGGTGCTGAGGATGGTATCAAACGTTACTTGGGCGGTGCTTTTGGATTTGGTATCAGCGATCAAATCTTGTCAGCTTATGCATTCCTCAGCGAGAACTATCAATGTGAGGAAGACGAGATTTGGCTTTTGGGTGTCTCTCGTGGAGGTATGCAAGGTTTCTGTAATTGCATATGACAACTCCTTATTTAATACCATTACCCATAGCCTATGCGGCGAGAAGTCTTGCAGGCATGATCTACAATGTAGGCTTGTTGCCATGCAAACACATCACTACCGCATTGGACGAAGCATACAGCTTGTATCGTCGAAAAGATAGAGCCAGCCACCCACACGATCCAGAGAGCTTGGCGTTTCGTGCCAAATACGAATGTTGGCATCCAGACATTCGATTCCTTGGTTGCTTTGATACCGTTGGTAGGTACATGATTCTCCTTTGTGTGGGCTTCAACAAGGCGTAGTTGACATTCTTTATCCATTTTACAGGTAGCCTTGGCGTGCCTCGTCTTCCATGGTACCTTGGTGGATCATTGTGTAAGGAATAAACGAAAAGAACAGCAACGAAGCTATCCCACGTTGACATCTAATATTGAATAGTATGGAGCTTGTTCCATGGATTGCATTATTTTCACGATACAAAGCTCTCTCCCAAGGTCATCTCAGCCTTTCATGCCATTTCTATCCATGAACAGAGAGCTTGGTTTAGGCCCACATTGATGCAATACGCTACCCACAAGCGAGAGCACCAACAGCTTGAGCAACTATGGTTTCCTGGTACACACTCTGATTTATCCGGTGTGCCCAAGTCATCGCACGTCCTTGCCAATCACGCACTACGATGGATGATGACCAAAGCACAAGACTGTGGCATGGTATTTAGGTACAACATTATACATCAATGGCAACACAAAGAAAGATCATGAGGAGATGTGCTGACAAGCTGCTATTGTTCCCGAAACAGACAACCGATCAATGACGTTTGTGGTGCACAAGCGTTTACCTTTTATGACAGCTACAATGCCGAGTCAGTGTATCGGCTTGTGCCGCGTAAAGATCGATTCATTGATCCAGCCATATTCCCAGGCATGCAATATTTGTACCAACATGGCCAATTCACAAAGTGCCTTATGACCAGAGATCAGCTTTCCCTTTATCCATCAAAGACGCTGAGTCGATTCAAAAAAGATCTCGCCGAGTTTCACAAAAAGAAACAACGAGAGCAACAACAACAGCAGCAGCATGATGATAACCCATCAGCTGAACAAGATCGGCCATCATCAAGTCGTGCAAATTAACGCCAACCATGACCACCATCCCTTCGTTTCCCAGCCAAAGTGAATAAGAATACGCACACAAGACATCATGATTATATAGACTTTACCGCTCACATGGGTATATAGAAATCAATCGCATACATAGATGTACCCTCACCATCATTGTTGGAATGTTATGAATATACACCTATGAAGATCATTAATGATGCAATGTGATCAACATGATGCACACGTGATTAAGATTTCTTCTCCCTAAGAAGTCGTGAACACAGTAAAGGGTCACGGCATGGGCACCATAAGCGGAATGGAAGCAACGATGCTGATGGAAACCATTATCGATCATAGATAGGCTTATACATACAACCCTCTATAATGCATAGCACATGGGGTCAGTACACGCACAAGGTAACAAGGCTCAAATCACGTTAACTTCAAAATAGACCTTAAAATGGATGGGGTGATAACTTTTGGGTACAGCCCAGCTAACGAAATTTCATTTCTATGTATGTACAATGCTACATTTGTAGGGCTATGGGAATGGGGGAAAGCCGTATCCTCGTTTCTAGTAGCTAGTCTTGAGAGAAAATCCCTTAAAGTAACTGTACATCTTTTTCTTTGGTGCCCATTCTTTGCCGTTGCCACCAAAAAAGGTATCAAAGACTATCCAGGACAATCATATATGAGTTTGAAAGTATGGTATAATAACAAGCAATATGTCTTACCAATGCCAATGACTTGACCGGTGTCTTTGGAAAGGAAGGCCAGCTCCTTTTCGGTCAAGACCTTTTTCCCGTTGACATGGACAGTGACTGAGCCATCGGTTTTGCCAGGAGAATTGAGCTTCAAGGTCTGCTTAATAGTTGTCCACTCGCCAGTAGGGAACGACCATGAACCACGACCCAAGCTATAACCGTAGTCAGAGTTGCAAATGTTGTTTTTTTCATCACAAAGGCTCTTGCGTTGTTTGCTTTCCGGCATATAAGCATATACCTCGCCATCGCCTTTACGACGCCACATGAATCTAATGATACACACCATGATGTCAATTACTACATGCACTATACACAAAGCAGCAACCACCATGTACAACACTATACCTCGTGGAAAAACAGCTATCAGCATCAGCACCACCAGAGCATCCTTCATGTCCACCATACAATCCAGGTAATTTTCCACCTTGGACAAATGTAAATCGCTTAGGGAAATACACCTGGTATTCAAGGACGACTTGCTTGGCTTCTTTTTTCAAATGAAAAGGCTCTGCATAGAATCCGATGCCACCTTGAGGATCGCTTTGTGGGTTGCTGCTTCCTTTGGGATACTCGACACGAAGCACGGATGTCTTTTTGCTACTTGGATCGGCCACAATCTTATGGTTGCCGTCATTGTCGTGGGGCCAGGCCCAGCCACTTGATTCGTCAATACCCCATTTCTTACGCCAGGCCATTTCATTGCTCCTGTACTTGTTCCAATTCTTGAATGACCATGTGTCGGACTTTTTGTCAGCCCATACAACGGGTGTGATGATGATGGCCTGCACCAGAAACAGCATTGCAAAAAGGAGTGTGATGGGTTGCATGATGATGATAATGATAATGAAAAGGTTGTAATGGGAGTGCACAGCACAAAGGAAAATGAGACTTCTGAACCTGTCAGATGGGAATGGATTTGATGTGGAAATGAAAACCAAGAAAAATGACCTTGATTTTATATATTGACAGCCGAACACAGGGAACCATCATGTTCCCAGGTCTCAATCATTGCAAGTGGCAAAAAAGCAGGGTTCGTGTAACGTGTTGTTGTATCACCTCCCACGTTAATTGGCTCGATCGCACCTATCATTCGCATGCAGCATTGTCAATTTGCATGTTTGCATTTGAACATGCCTGATTATGTACATTTCATAAGAGAGAAAGATCGCCTTCGATACATACATGCTGCGTGAATGAGTGAAGTTTTGATTCCTCCTCCCACTAGAGTCATACGTGAACCATGAAATGGCCATAATGAGATGATCCCTTTTTTGGTCATGAATGAATGATGATACAAAGGACAATGGAGCGGTGTACGTAAACAATCAATCAATCACCTCTCGGAGTAAGATGCTTATTGACAAGCGCGGAACGTGAAGGTAGCATCATTGAAAGATGCACCAACTACCCTTTCGGGTTACGTCCGGGTCCCATGAGCAAGGAGCCAAATTTACGTGCGAGAAGCATATGTCGGTCGTACTTTAGGGAGTTGGATGGCAACATTTAATTACTGTAATGACTTTGATTTACCGCGTGGTGGTGGTGGTGTCATTGTGTGATAGACCAACGGATCATCCACGTTGTGAATTCTGCAAAGATCAAGGGTCGATGCAAGGTAAAAAGATCATTGAACCACCCTCCTTATCACACTTCCCCTCCTCAATATTGTAACATGATGGAACTAGTATATCATTAATAGGTTGTGAATATATGTACATTGGAGGAATAAAGAGAGGACAAAAATTGGGCTGGGGGGGGTGTAAAAAGAAGGGTATATGGAATAAAGATTAAGTATATCATGATGAGCACACCTTGTTGTATTCATCCATCAAGGCACGATCTTCCTCCAACATTTGTTGCTGTTGTTGCATGATGTTTTCGGGTTGGATAATCATCGCATCCATCTTGTGCATCAACTCTTCCATATCACGTTCATACGAATTGCCTGCCAATGCCATTTCGGTTTTCTGCAACTTGGCTTCGAGCTTGCTGATAGTAGCATTGAAAGATTCCAAGTCGTGCTCGGCTTTACCCAATACAGCTGCCACCATGTCGGAATTCTTTTGTTGAAAGTGTGTATCAAAATCAACCTCAAACTTGATCATCTCATCTTCCACGCGTTGCTTTTGCTTCGCCAATTGACGATCCAAATCAGAAACACGACGCATCAATACAGCATGCTTTCGAGAAACAACCGAATTGGATGCTTGTAACGCACCAATCTTTTCAATGGCCACATCCAATCGCTCCGATTGTGCCGAGTATTGATCGTGTAACATGATGTATTTGCCTGTCATATCCATATTGCTGGTTGTGGAGGATGTTGTATTGGTGGTATGCGTGGGTGAGGATGGAGCTGGAGGATGATCATGGCTATTGGAAATAGCAAGACGCTCCACAGCTTCTTCATATTGACCTTGCTTTGCCATTTGTTGACGAAATTGACTCAATTCTTGCATAGCCATATCTTTATCAGTGAGTGCTTCATCCAATTCCTCTTGCAATCGTTGTATCCGTGCGTTTGCATTCGCTTCACGTTCCTCAGATTGAGTTTGTAAAGCAAACACGTTTTGCTGCAATCGTGAAATTTGTTGAATCAATGCTTTGCGATCTTCGGGAGATAAGCTCTTTGATCCCCCAACAGCTGTATCATCTGAAATGGATGAGCCTGCAAGGGTTGTGGTCGTTGATTGATCATCACCGCTATTGCTGGATCGTGAAGAACCACCCGATTTGGTCTTATCCACATCTTCCATCATAGCTGACAACTTGTGTTCGAGAGCATCGTATCGCTTGTTGAGATCATCCAATTCTAATTCTACTTGCTGCTTTTGAGCCTTGACTTGGCGCAACTCTTTACGCATGTCCATGCGTGCCTCATTGGCTTCAGCAAGCTGTCGTTCCAATTCTTGAATATGTCGCTCCGTAGTCTCATCCATCTCTTGGAATCGCATCACCTTGGTACGCAAGTCGCTCAACACGTCTTCATCATTGGCACGTTCGGCATCGGATTGTGCCATGCGTTGTTCAAGTTCACGAATATGAGCTTCATTGGCCTCTTCACGCTTCTTGAGTCGTTGAATAGTGAGCTGCTGTTCATTGATAAGGTGTTCCTGATCCTCCATAACAATTTCACATTGCTCAATCTTGCGTTGTTGCTCTTCAATTTGCACATCCGCATGAGTGATAGCTGCACGATCCATTGCATGTCGTGACTCCAAGCTTGATAGTGTTTTCTCATATTCTTCAATCACTGGTTCCACAATTTGCTGAAATTTGGCATCATCCACTTCTTGTGATCCTCGTTGTCGTAATCGTTTAAGTTCCTCTTCGACCATGCGATTGCGTTCTCGAGTAACAGATGCCTCGCCATCCAATTCCTCCACTTGTCGCTGCAAGTCAGCAATAACCATCCTCTGCTCCTGGTATACTTGATCAAAATCATCCGTTGCCAATAATTCAGGAACACCATTGCCACCAGGCACAGGTGATGCCGCTGCTGGTGATGATAACTTGGATGTAGCACCGCTACCACCTCCCGCTTTGAGCTCGTTTTTGAGATTGCTGACCATGGTACGCAAAAGTTCGATATTGTCGGTTGTCATCCACTCCTCAACTTCATTCTTTTCAACCTTGTTCTTGATATTTCGAGCACGACTTGCATATTGTAAGGTGTTGAGCGTCTCGGGTAAATTGTATTCGGCTGGACTGACACAAGCAATCATCAATGTTGTTGCGTTACCACCTAGCGAATCTTGTAATAGACGTGTCAACTTTGAGTCACGATAAGGAACATGCTGATTTCGTTTTCCAGGATCACCAAGAACTGAAATGACGTTGCCGAGTGCTAATAGACCACCATTGATATTGATGCCTTCTTTACGTCGATCACCTTCAGCAGCTGTACGTTTGAGCTATCAATGACAATGAGTATACAATGTTATCTAATATCTTGACAACTTCAACTTACACGTTCGCTGCCAGCCAAATCGACAAAATGGAACTTGGAGGTAGTAATAATCCATTCACCATCACCATCACCACTCGCTTTGCTGTTGCTGGTACCACCTCGTTTCCCTCGTAGACTAGGCGACGGACTTACAGGACGACTGTTGCCACCGCCATTTTTATCTGCCCAACGTTCTTGTCGCAAGGTGACTGATAGGATAGCGTGCGAACGAGATGACTTTTCATTCATATCCGTTGAACCCGTAGCTCTATTCTGGGTGCCTTGTTCGAGGTAGGATAAGACATCATCTGCACTGTGTACGGTCATTTCTCTCAATCCAGCCCAATAAATATGTCCCTTGGTATCTTCGCGAATCGTGATGGGAGGTCGTTCATTGGGAGGTGCCGGGTTGAGTAAATCCACGAGCTCTTCATTGTAAATCTCAATAAAGGAGACTTTGACTGTATAGCGAAATTTGCTTTGTTGACGCTGTTGAATGGATGAAGGGGCCATCATTAATCTTGAGCCACCTGGTGGACGCATACGACTTTGGGGTCTTGAAGCTGAAGAGCATGATGAAGTGGGTGATGGTGAACGAGTATCATTTTGTTGAAGGATATCAAATAAGAGTGATACGGCTCGTGGCACAATGCCCTCGTGTTCCATGTCGTACGATCCATGATGTTGTGCTGTTCCCATTGTATATGTCTTGCCAGATGACGTTTGACCCTATATGAATGATATTAGATCAATGCGTCTATTGATCCACTTTGTCCAAATAACACATACATAAGCGAGAATAGTGACATTGTATCCTAAAAGTGATATCGATTAGTACGCTACCTTTGTTTTTTTATCCTTGCTCCTTACTTACCATCGACAAATTTGCGTACAAGCTTCTCGCCCACCGTAGCAAAGATCTCACTTTGGGTGCAGGATGGCTTGAAGACTTGATCAAAGTGGAACATCTTGTTCTGCGACACAATATGGACTGATCCATCCTGTGCACGGAGCACATCATTCTCTGATAGACTTGCAAACCGAGGCTGGGCACGATCTCGTTCCGTCAACGGGCGTATACGAAGGGCTAATGGAGAGAGATAAGAATGACAACACCATCATCCAAGAGAGAATGGGTTTATACTTGCCAACTTGCACAGCTGCTGTTTGTGCTCGACCATCTTTTCTCATTGTGGCGTAGGATTAACGAGTAAACATGAAAAGGAAGAGAGAGCGAGAGAGATAGAAAGAAGAAGCTGTGTATGTGTGTGTGTACCACAGTCCAAAAGTGTTGCTCCGCCCCTGAGACGCTTGGTTGTACACAGCGAGAATAGATGTAGCTGTGAGTTGTGTGTATGTGTGTACGTACATAAAGTATCCCTTTCAATAAAACGGTCAGCGGGGACTCTGTATTCGATCTCCTCTTGATGCTAATGCCGCCGATACATGTACACGAAACACGTATATGCAATACATGAATAAACCCATTGTTTCGATAATGCATCCAGGGGTTAAACCATGCATCATTATAATAGATTCATACTCTCCCTTATAATAATACAACTACTACCACTCTTGTGCAACCTATTCATCCCCTTCTTTATATATACGAATGACAATATCGATGAACCCGTGGATAAAAAGATGATAACAAATATGCATGTGATGATGATGGTGGTGGGTCCGTGTCTCATTTCACATGAGGGAAGGGAAAGGGAATCCAATCCTTTTGTTTCGTGTAATTGTATCCATTTACATTTTGCATTAAACTACAAGATTCCATCCCGACCCGTATAGTATATTTTGTCCTTTTCTTCCTCTTCATTTCCATGGCATCCACCTCAACTACAGCTCCTTTACGGATACGCCTCCTCACTTTTGACGCCTACAACACCCTCTTCAAACCAAAGGGTAGCTTATCTGCTCAATACGCAAGTAATCGTCACTCTCTCTTTGACTGCCATCGACCACTCAGTTGCTAATGGGGTCCCCATGCGTTGTTCATTAGGCACAAGAAGCTGCTCGTTTCGGTATCCATGTGACTAAAAGTGCTGTCAGCCAAAACTTTGGTCATGCCTACAAGAAGCAACTTGATCGTGCACCCTTTTATGGCCTTCAACTCGGTATGACGCCGCGTGAATGGTGGGAAGAGGTAAATATGGGACAAGACTGGAATATCCGGGATGCGATGAACCTTATCAATTCCATCATTAGTTGGTCTATACGACGTTCCTGGGAGCAGGTGCAAACAAGCAAGGTATATAAATGTTGTCTATGTAGCAGGATTTTGAATACTCACACACGCCTACACGCATATACCATTTAGATCTTGATCCGATCTTTGGTCGACTTTTTGACTCATTGTATACGCGGTTCATGACTGCGGAAGGTTACGCCACTTTTCCGGATGTTGACAAGACTTTGGCTGAGCTGAAACGTCGAGGATTCCAAATGGGTGTCATAAGCAACTCGGACGAGCGAGTGTGTAAGTCAACGATCCAAGAGGACAAAAAGTCAAGGGAGGTTGCTTATATACATATCTCGAATGTAGTATCGGTTATCAAGAGCTTAAACCTTGATCAACATTTCGACTTTGTATTGCCAAGTTGCCTTGCTGGATATGAAAAACCTGCTCTCGAGATCTTTGACAAGGCACTACAAATTGCCAATGTGTCTCCTCAGAATGCATTACATGTGGGTGATGATGCCGAAAAGTAAGCATTGATCGTGGGTGGGTGCGTGGGATCATTGTGATTATTTTATTCATGCATGAAATCGGACCGTCGCCGCTTCATTGTTGTTATTGTGGATAGGGATTTCCAAGGTCAGTGATAAATTCATCGTGTGGTATACATATGAAAGGCTCATTGTGTCTATAGGAGCTCGTGATGCTGGATGGCATTCCGTTTTACTTGAAAGAAGTATGTAACGTGTGTGCTCAGCATATAAATCACCCTACTGATGATCATGCCACATGTTGCTTCCGATAGGTAAACTCTCTTATCAAGATTCTGCACCCGCCTTGGTTCAAGATGCCCCATCCCCTGTTCAACTTCCAAACACCATCATGTCATTGCAAGAGTTGTGTACTATCTTGGGCTCTCCATCTTCATTGTCTTCATCACAACAACAACCCAAAGCTGTATCATCCAACCAGTAGTAGTATAATGGCCGACGTGAATCAACGCATGATATTAAACTATATATAGTAACTCGGATTTTACTTTTTCCCACCAAATGAACAAAGAGAACACCACATTCATCATTTTCACACACTCACGCATGTTTTGTTTGATTTGCAATTGGGATCTTTGTTTACATGAAAGCAACGGTTAAAGAAGAGAATGAATGATACGCGAAGTAAAAGTTGCTATCTTAAAGGGGGGAATGAGAGGACGCAATGATAAAGGGGGGTGATCGTGTGAATGTGTTTAGAAACCGCCACGGAGACGCAACACGAGGTGAAGAGTGGACTCCTTTTGGATGTTGTAATCGGAAAGAGTACGACCATCTTCAAGTTGCTTGCCGGCAAAGATAAGACGTTGCTGGTCTGGGGGAATACCTTCCTTGTCTTGGATCTTGTTCTTGACGTTCTCGATAGAATCCGAAGACTCCACTTCCAAAGTGATGGTCTTACCAGTCAAAGTCTTGACAAAGATTTGCATACCACCACGAAGACGCAACACCAAGTGCAAAGTGGATTCCTTTTGAATGTTGTAATCAGAGAGAGTGCGACCATCCTCAAGTTGCTTGCCGGCAAAGATCAAACGTTGCTGGTCTGGGGGAATTCCTTCCTTATCTTGAATCTTGTTCTTGACGTTTTCAATGGAATCGGATGACTCAACTTCCAAAGTAATGGTCTTGCCAGTGAGGGTCTTGACAAAGATTTGCATACCACCACGAAGACGCAACACCAAGTGAAGAGTGGATTCCTTTTGAATGTTGTAATCAGAGAGAGTGCGACCATCCTCAAGTTGCTTGCCGGCGAAAATGAGACGTTGCTGGTCTGGGGGAATACCTTCCTTGTCTTGGATCTTGTTCTTTACGTTTTCAATAGAATCAGAGGACTCAACCTCCAAAGTGATGGTCTTGCCAGTGAGGGTCTTGACGAAGATTTGCATACCACCACGAAGACGCAAGACAAGATGGAGAGTGGACTCCTTTTGGATGTTGTAATCGGACAAGGTGCGGCCGTCTTCAAGCTGCTTGCCTGCAAAGATAAGACGTTGCTGGTCTGGAGGAATGCCCTCCTTGTCTTGGATCTTGTTCTTGACGTTTTCGATGGAATCAGAGGACTCGACTTCCAAAGTGATAGTCTTGCCGGTGAGTGTCTTGACGAAGATTTGCATGTTGTTTGAATAAAAGGGAGAAGAAGAAAGAAAAGGTAGCTGCGGTTTCTGGATGCTGGAAATTTCCGGCTTTATATAGCTGAACGCCTTGGCGTGGTATGAACATCAACGATTGGTCCATTCTTACGGAGCCAAGTGTACGACCCTGCTTTTTCTCTCGTGAGTCAAATCATCCCATATACGGTGGATCCGGCGATGATGAAAGAAACAAGAGCGATCTGGACACTTCTATCAGATTCCATCCTTCTTCTTTGTTGTCAATCACACACCCCATAACACTCTCACAAGCTTATTTTTATAGCATAGCAGATGACACTGTCGTCATCCTTGTCATTGATAATATAAAGAAATGATACATGCAACGCACTCAGTAGCATCATTATGCTGCGGTGGTATCCGTGATTGATGGTTGGCTGTGTGAAACTTGAAATTTTTTGGGGGGTGCTGCGTAACTTATCAGCGTACATCATCATTGCTCAGGACGATGATGCAAACCAACCCCTGTTGCTGCTTGTAATAATTTCAATGCAGCCGTGCGTGCTTGAATGATGGACCATATTACAAGAGTTGCCATGATCATTACTAATGTTGTAGTAGTAAAAGTCATTAACATCACTCATAACACGTTAAACAACAAAGTCAATATTTATATCATCTCCTTCATCATCATCATCATCCCACTTTGCCACTCCTTCTTGTTGAAGGAAGGAAGGGGTTGTCAATAGATTTGGGGGGAGGGGGGTTTGTGCAAAAGGAAGAGCTCTGCTCATCACTTGAACCGGGTGCTTGGGAACGTGCTGCATGGATAAATAACGTCATGCTAGCTGGGCTGAGCTGAGCTTGTGATTCCACTTCCGAGAGAGAGAGAGAGAAGGAACGATCATGCATGGATGAATGCATCACCGCTCACTCACGCACCTCTTCTTTTATCACACACACACACACACACACACATCCTCCTATTACATTGACTCACTCACATCACACACCCACTCATTGAGACCATGTCAAACAGTATGTATTCTCTTTATTCACGCTAGCTGCTAATCAGGGATCCTCATTGCTTTCAAGAAGGAGTGATACTGGTGGAATGACCTCCTATTCTTCCTTGTTGCAATGGTCAACGTTGGATCGAACTCATCTTCTTCTCAATGTACACATTGCGACTCAGTCCTTTCTTTGGATACTTTCTAGACTCGGTGGACAATATCACTGTAAAGCTTGGAGACCTCACAACCACAAAGCGTGAGTATACAAGCATGTGTAAACAGCTGTCTTCTTTACTCATATATGGATCATCTATAGCGATGGCACCACCAGCTTCTAGTGGGACAACGAATCAGCCATCTCAAGGTAAATACAATTGAGGATGATGGGTAACCATTGGAGGTATTCACATGTTATATGATAGAGGCGCAAATCAAGAGCAACGACGATGGTTTGTATCTACTATTTCGAGCGATCATCGTGGAATCTCCAATGCTTATATACATGTTGAATTAGACACTCCATCCAGTAATCTTATCAAGAGCAATCATGATGTCCAAGTGAAGCTAGCTGATCAACAAGCGGATCCAAATTCACCCTTGTATTCTGTCAAATCATTCGAAGAATTGGGATTGTAAGTGTGTTGTTGCAAAGGATGGATGGGATAACGCGTATCTAAAGGGTGTTATTGTGTATAGGAATCCTGATCTGCTCAAAGGCTTATATGCTATGGGCTTTTCCAAACCATCAAAGATTCAGGAGCGTGCATTGCCATTATTACTTTCCAATCCGTAAGTGTTCAAGGAGATACATGGGATGTGCCTGTACAAGGGGACGCTATCAACAACCAGGAAGCTTATTTCTACTATTATAGACCACGTAATATGATCGGCCAGTCGCAAAGTGGTACCGGCAAGACTGCAGCTTTTGTTTTGACCATGTTGTCTCGGGTGGATACAGCAGTGAAACAGCCACAAGCACTATGTCTCGCGCCATCGCGTGAATTAGCACGACAAATCATGGATGTGGTACAAGAGATGTCACAATTCACGCAAATCACAACGGCATTGGCAGTTAAGGATTCGTTGACGCGTGGGCATACGATACAAGCACAAGTGGTAGTGGGCACACCTGGTACAGTGCAAGAAGCCATTCGACGACGACAACTTGCAGTGCAGCATATGAAGCTCTTTGTATTGGATGAGGCGGATAATATGTTGGATCAAGCTGGATTGGGTGATCAAAGTATTCGCATCAAGGCGATGATTCGAGTGCCACATCCATTACAAGTCATTCTATTTTCAGCCACGTTTCCTGACAATGTACGGCGATTTGCCAACAAGTTTGCGCCTGAAGCGAACGAGATTTCACTCAAGCGTGAAGAGCTCAGTGTGGAAGGAATCAAGCAATTTTACATGGATTGTGATAGCCAAGATCACAAATATGAGGTGCTATGCAACCTATACGACTTGTTGACTGTCAGCCAAAGTATCATTTTTTGCCACACACGTGAGACGGCGGACGAGATTGCACGAAGAATGACTTCCATGGGCCACGCGGTGGTTTCACTCCATGGCAAAATGACAGCAGAGGAACGTGACAAGGTCATGGATGATTTTCGACGTGGCGAATTCAAGGTGTTGATCACTACAAACGTCCTTGCCCGTGGCATTGATATCTCACAAATCACATTGGTGGTGAACTATGACTTGCCCATTGACTACAATACAAGGCAACCGGATTATGAGGCGTATTTACATCGTATTGGTCGTACCGGTCGATTTGGGCGTACAGGCGTCAGCATCAATTTTGTCCACAACAAACAAACATGGGAACAAATGCACATGATTGAAAACCATTTCCAACGGCCCATTGTCAAGATAGAAACGGATGATTGGGAACAAGTGGAAAGGAAACTCAAGAGCGTGCTGTAATCCAATCACCATGTCACATGCATCAACATCCAATTTTTATCGCATCATCATCATCACCATTGCCATTATCTATTCTTCTTCTTTGTCAAACATCAGCAGTATCCATCATTGATAAAAAGTCAATTTGTTCTTCATCACCGATTCTTCATATTGTTGCTGCATGGAGGTCTACATGAATGTAAAGTGGGTTGCAGGAATCATCCTTTGCCGTTGCCATGACAATAACACCCCAAGACACAGTATCCAAGCAACTACTCAACAAGCGTTCTTTGATTGATCATCCCGAGTTTGATAGTAATGTATTTACAATGGTTGGGATTAAAGAAAAGTTGTTGGAAGCAAAAAGAAGAAAGCAAAAAAGGGCATAGTGCAATGACATAAGAGGAGAGAATATAGTATGGACAATAGATAAGGTGACTATGTATAGAAAAAGGGTTGTTGGGTGGGATATCGGCATAAGTGTAATTCATTTTCCAAGCCAGCATACAGTAGATGTGGAGGAGGAATGTAATAGATACTTGGTGGCTGCAACTTCTTCACCATACAGCTGAATGCTTTTGAATCCGCTGATGATGGTGATGATGATGAGGTGTGGTGGATGATAAATGCACCATAGAATGTTGTGGAGAGGCAAGTTGCATCATGGCTACAGCTGCATCCACCTCGATAATATCACCGGCACCATTTGCCGAGGGTGTTCCATTCGCCACAGCTGTTGGATGCATAGGTTGTGGCGGTTGTTGTTGTTGTATAGGAGGAGGAGGCGGTTGTGTTGGTGTTGCTATGGATGGCTGTGGGGTTGTAGTTGATGGTGGAGGTGGTGACATGATGTTCCGAATAGGTGGTAAACGTACAGGTTCATCACGTTGTACTGAAAATGACCATGAACGTCGAGCTGGTTGTGATGATGCTGGCCACGGCAAATCCATGCTAAGCCGACGACTAGCCTTATTGGCATGTGGATATGCATGTTGTTGTTTTAGCTGCTGTTGCTGCTGTTGCTGTTGTTGTTGTTGCTGTGCTGTTGGCCAATACCAGCTTGCTGTGGAGGACATTGATGATGACGATGTTAATTCTGTAGGTGAATCATCATCATGTGCTATGGATGCCTTGCGTTTACGAGAACCGTTCCTATGTCTACTAGTGTGAACATGGGATAAAGCATAAAAGAAGAATGGTATATAGCGTACATTTGCACACGATGTTCTTTTCGAATCCGTAGTCGTACCCCTTGGTCTGAAAACGAGCGAGACAAGAACGTGGATTCCAACATTCCCGGAAAGGTCTTTGAAGAGTATACCGAGAACACATCAGAGTAGATTGATTTAAGGCTTACTGCGCCTTGTCTATCATAACAAAAGGAACATTAGCATTAGCAGAGCTATAATGAGAGAAAGGAAATGAGCCATACAAGGTGATCTCAAATAAAGTGAATTTGATGCGATATTGTCCTTCCATGCGAATGGACAAGTCGCCAAAAACAAAGAATCCACCATCTACAATTTTCGGCAAACAATGTCAGTGATTGCATTATGGATCGGGAATCATGCATGAAAATGTACCGTGATTGTCATAATCTTTTAGCTTATACATGGATGAAACAGCTTGCCCAGAAACACCATTCACTTCATGCACCGGCTCATCTCGTACCGGATGTGCCAAGCTGGCACACATGAAAAAGTAAGGATTCTGCAGGAAATCTCTTTTGGTACATAAATGTTTCCTTGTTATTATATATGCAGCCGCAAACTAAGACTCCCAGCACATGGTGGGTGATATCGTTATACTCACTGTATTTCTTGAGGAATGGCATCCTCCAGCTTGATTTGTACAATGGGTGGTGGATCTACCGGTCGACGATCTATTATACAAACATCAGCGTATGGGATACAAGATGATGACTTTCTATAATAACGAACCTCGTTCGTTGGTAGTGCTTTGACGAGTTTGAACAGGTTGCTGTCGTACTGTTAATGAAAACCGACTAGGCATGCATGTGTATGTATTAATCGTTATTGTTGCTGATTGCATGCTTCAAAGGTCACTATGTACCTTGGCAAAGTGGGTATTTGAGAACATGCTGCAATGTATTCGTAGCTGTGTGATATCGATCCTCTTGACATGATGAAGAGAAAAAGGGGAGAGAATAGTAAAATAAATCCGGGTCCAAGGATGGGGAAGACAATAAACCTTTATTTATAGCTTAACCATGTAAACTTTTTTTTTCTGCGGCCACGCATTCGGTATCTTTTCAAAACAGACTGATCACCCGGCTTCCCTAGACCGAACTTGATTGCCACCATGAACAAAAAAAAGGGACAAGGGATGAAGATGATCAGCATCAACTCAACAAATAAACCCGTGTTTTCCATCATTACATGCTTAAACAACATGCACCATTACCCAGGGATACCTTGTTACTCCACCGGTGAGCATCCTCATCATTAACAAGTACCCCCCTTTTTTCATCTTGTTCACCACCAGAGGGATGACTCTGCATTTGGACCATACAATTATACAGCATGATTCCCCAGGTTAATTGGATCCCAACCCCTTCATATGTTCACATGGTTGCTGAGAGTATAGAAAGAAGAGTGATGATGATATGGTGGGGTGGTGACGACAATGACACATTGTACTTGCTCGGTAATAAACATGGCATGCCCATAAAGTAAATTGCATAAACATGTTCTTTACCGAGATCTCTGCCGTTTGTTCACGAGATGTCAATGCCTGGGCTTTCATTCCATCATCATCCATGGCGGCTTTTCCTGCAAGCTTGCATGTCATGTCAACTTGATTTCTGAGTTTGTGTTGCCATCGTCGCCCTTTTGGGGGGAGGAGGAGGCCAATTGGGGGTGTCACAACAAAACTTTTCTTCTTCCACTTTTTACCTTTCCTGCATCTCGACCATGCCACCGCCACCCAACAAAAAGAGAAAAAGAGCAAGCAATCCTGTAAGAAAACAAACAATCGCACCATGTTAGCAGACAACTAATATAAAAGGGATCTGCAATAGGCGCATTTCAAGGAGACGAGACAAAAGATCAGGACGCTTGAAGCTAGCTTGTCAGACAAAGCCAATCTCAACAACATTGTTCAGTTGATCGATCTCACCAAAAAGCACCTTGACGAGGATCCACAAGTTGTCCATGCTGCTATCCATGCTTTACATCGTGTATTCACTCGGTGGCAAATGAATGGCGACCTTGATACCACTCGACATCAACAATCCAATGCGGCAGCTGCCAAGGTGACCAGTTGGTTGAATACTCAGTTGGATGCATACTTGAATATGCTACGTCAACTCCTTGTACATGATGAGCCTGGTCTACAGCTTCCAGCACTTCAAATTCAAATGACGTTTATCAAATCGCATTCCGAATATCGCAAGGCCCAAGGCAAAGACTATGAATTCGCCAATTACATTTTCAACCCACTCGTCAAAGCCGTCATCACCAACGACAATCTCAGCGAGCAGTTGCAGAAGGAATTTGTCCAAAAATACGTCAATGCCTATGATGATGTTCGATATTACTTTTATCAAGATGCTGCGTAAGTGCAATGTATTTATGGGAAAATGCAACATGCTGAATGCTAACGAATGCATTTAGCGGCATCATGAAGGATATCACTGAAAAGAAAAAGAAGGCATTGGGTGCCATTGTGGCCAAGAACACATTTGGTATCCTGGAGGGAATTCGATCCATGCCCACTGAGCCTGAGGAGATCAACGAATTTTGGACAGCACATCCCAATCCACATGCACAAGGAAACAAGAAGGATGAGGATGATATGATGGATCAGGATGATGAGGATGCTCTCTTATTGGGTGATACGGGCTTAGTCTCAGACAATGAAGAGGATGATACCAAGAAATCACAAAGCAAGTTGAGCAAGAAAGAAAGAAACAGCAAACCTTTCCTTTTGCATCTCAACGCACACAAACGAGCATTCCAAAACGGTTGGCTTGCCTTCCTTGGTCTTCCACTCACTGAAGAGCTCTACAAGAAGACATTGTTGATGTTGCATAAGCGGATTCTCTTGCATCTATTCGAACCCAAGCTTCTCATGGACTTTTTGACCGATTCCTACAATGTTGGTAAGTGTAACCTTTTTTTGTGGATGGATCGCTTTTTCGGTACTAAGACGAGTATCACAATGCTAGGTGGAGCTGTCAGCTTATTAGCACTCAATGGTTTGTTCATTCTCATCACCGAACACAACTTGTAAGTATACAATGGATAAGGAAGGGATGGACAAAGGCTGACACATCTTTAATAGGGATTATCCCGATTTCTATCATAAACTCTACACCTTATTGGATCGCAATATTATGCATGTCAAATACCGATCTCGATTCTTCCGTTTGCTCGACATCTTTTTATCATCCTCGTAAGTTGATCATCATCGTCATCATCCTCAATATAAATAACGCTGATGTTCCTTTCTTTATAGATTGCTGCCAGCTGCATTGATTGCTGCCTTCATTAAGCGATTAGCACGACTCTCTTTGACAGCACCACCAGCTGCCAGTGTTACCATTGTTCCCTTCATCTACAACTTGCTCCGACGCCATCCTACCTGCATGAAATTGATCCACAGCAACGACGCTGTCGGCAAAGCTGACGATCCTTTTGATTTCGATGAAAAGAATCCTTATGAATGCCATGCGCTTGAGTCATCACTCTGGGAAGTACAGACGCTTGCACAACACTATTACGCCAACGTATCCACGCTTGCAAAGATCTTTTCCGAAAAGTTCCTCAAACCCAAATACAACCTGGAGGATTTCATGGACCATACCTATGCTACAGTAAGTCAACTACCATCATCATCCTTGTATACTATGGTCATCTAACATTGCTGTTATCATAGTTCTTCAAGAATGAGATTGGACGTAAACGGAAACGAGAGCCTGCCATGGCTTTTGAGAAGCCTAGTGAGAATGAATGGGAAATTTAGTTATACATATACAGCATCATCTTTTGCATTATTAAACAAGAAAAAATTGGCATAGTCATATTAGCTTTTCTGAAATGAGATTTCTCTTGTGTAAACGACCTATGCTTTATGTATTGGCACTCGAGGGTTGAAAAGGTGTTGTTATCTGGGTCTTGATGAGTTGCAGATTTATGCATGATCCTGGTGAAACAGATCGCGAACATGATAATAACCCCACCAAGGGTTCATAACACGGATTCATTCATGACCACCAAGAAGTTTGCATCACGTTATTCTCTCGCTTTGCCCTCTCTCTAATTCCTCTTTCCCACCGTCGTTCGTCTTGTTCGATGGCATGAGACCCAACAGCTGTAAAAACTCCTCATGTCAACCCCAAAGTAACAAGTAGCACTATTGCACTGCCTAGCACAACACCACCGCCTGCTCTTATGCCCCTATCGAGGGTGGGGTTAATGCTTGTAAGCAGCACTTGGTGCGTCGATGATGAAGGATTGAATGTATTATGGATACTAATATCACGTGACTTTTACCAATCCAACCCTTTAGCTGTTGCTGGACCCTTTATTTTCTAGTCTTCGTTACTTACTGCTCCCATGATCGTTATGCTTCCCATTTCTTTGTAAACCACCCCTGTGCTTGGTTGAAATACCCATCATCCTAATGCGGCTCGCGTATGGTTATAGTTCTATTCAGTACCCTTTATTGAACAACGTTGTATATAATAGCCAAAATGAAGCAAATAGAAGTCCTCACTTTATTTTATTGTTGCTGTTCATATACAAAGAGGAAAACACACAGAGATTTACACAAGCTAATGATGATCCCTTTACTCATTATCCTCGGTGGTATCGAAAACACCCTTGGATCGCTTGCCCTTGCGATCGCGTTGGTAATACTCGGCAAGCACCTTTTGTGGGATACGGTTGAGCAATTCCTTAGGGAAGATACGCAACAACGACCAAGCCAAGTCCAAGGAATCGTAAATGGTTCTTGATTCATAGGGACCTAGAGAAAACAAGCACGTAAGCATATATCGAAAAGTAAAGTAGCAGCATCAACCTACCTTGAGCAATGAAAGATCTCTCAAACTTGTCCAAGAATTCGAGCGACAATTTGTCTTCTTGGTTCAAAGCTTCCTCACCAACGACAGCCTTCATGGCAGCTGCGTCACGACCGATAGCGTACTTGGCGTACTATTGTATACAAAAGATAGGTGAGCCAATATTGCCATATGCATGTATCCTCAGTCATTTTCTTACCAATTGGTTGGAAACATCACCGTGATCCTTGCGAGTCATACCTTCACCAATGGCAGACTTCATCAAACGGGACAAAGAAGGAAGGACGTTGATGGGTGGATAAATTTGACGGTTGTGCAATTGACGATCGACAAAGATTTGGCCCTCGGTAATGTAACCAGTCAAATCGGGAATAGGATGGGTGATATCTAGAGAATGACATGAGCATACAACACTCTTGGCTCTCTCTCACACACACACAATCAAACTTACCATCGTTAGGCATGGTCAAAATAGGGATCTGGGTAATAGAACCATTACGGCCTTCAACACGACCAGCACGTTCGTAAATAGTCGACAAATCGGTATACATGTAACCGGGATAACCACGACGACCAGGGACTTCTTCACGAGCAGCTGAGACTTCACGCAAAGCATCAGCGTAAGAACTCATATCAGTCAAAATGACCAAGACGTGCTTCTCAAGTTGGTAAGCGTAGTATTCGGCAGTAGTCAATGCAAGACGAGGAGTAATGATACGTTCAATCCTATAGACATGTATGTCAATTATCTAAACTTGATCATCCATCACCCATATATACTCACGTAGGGTCATTAGCCAAGTTCAAGAAAAGAGTGACACGTTCCATGGAGCCATTTTCTTCGAAATCTTGCTTAAAGAAGCGAGCAGTTTCCATGTTGACACCCATGGCACCGAAGACAATGGAAAAGTTATCCTCGTGACCATCATGCACATCCTTGGTGGGAGCCAACTTTTGCACGAGACCAGCTTGTCGACAAATCTGGGCAGCAATCTATACGCAACATACATTCAGTGTTTGATGCGGCTTTGGGATAGAACATTCGATGCATTACCTCGTTGTGTGGAAGACCAGCAGAAGAAAAGATGGGAATCTTTTGACCACGAGCAATGGAGTTCATGGTATCAATGGCAGAGATACCGGTCTGGATCATTTCTTCGGGATAGACACGAGAGAAAGGATTGATGGGAGAACCTAAATAATAAAAGGGATTAGCATCATGGGCAAGATTTGGGATGCTTGAAAACACACTTACCGTTGACATCCAAGTAGTCATCAGCAAAGACCTTGGGACCCTTATCGATAGGCTTGCCGGAACCGTTGAAAACACGACCCAACATGTCTTCAGAGACGGGGATTTGGAGAGTGTTGCCGGTGAAGGAAATGTGGGTAGCCTTGGCATCGACACCAGAAGTACCTTCAAAGACCTATATGTATGCATGTATGTATTGCTTAGTATATTTGATGACGATGATGATGATACAAGGCGGGTGTGATGATCGTACCTGAACAACAGCCTTATTGCCTTGAACTTCCAAAACTTGACCAGCACGAACGCTGCCATCAGGCAAAGTCAAATCGACGATTTCTGAGAATTGGGGATACTAAAAAGAGAGGAAGCAGGAATGTGTTAGAGATCAATATCTGAAACGACAAGCGTGTGTGTCTCCCGAAGCGTGTCAAAACGCCGCCGCCGCCGACTTGCATCATCCCCCCTCGCTCCCAATGACGCCAGTGAATAGAATAACCCCATTCTCCCTCCCTCGATACCAGAGATAGTAGCAATACACATATACAAATGATACATACCTTGACATTATCGAGAATAACAAGAGGACCGTTGACACCAGTTACTGTACGATAATCTAAATGACGGCCATGGTTAGACTTTGTTCAATGGGTCCACTCCATCTGCAGCACGCGGGCATCTCACATACCGAGTCTCGGCTTTGCAACAAAGTCGCGCATCACTGCAGCCTTGTGCAGTTCGAATGCTTCATTCTCATTGAACACCTTGGCCATGTCGAGTAGAGTTGTATATGAAACTGAAAAGGGGGGAAAGAGAAATATACAAAGAGAAGAAAGAAGCGCTTGTGGGCGTTTTGGACGCCGTCAATCAGCCATTTGGCTCTCTCTCTCTTGTTGCTGCTGCTGCTGCTGCTGCTGTGTGTGCGTGTGTGTGATACCTATGTTGCCTGATTGGGTGTACTTTATCTTCCCACTTGACTCGGTTGCCTTTTAGTCATTCCTTTTCCTTGCTCTCCATCGAATGCTCTCAAGTGCAAAGAGTGTGTCAGCTGCCATTGGTGTTCCTGCCTTGGTTATCGTCTTATCCCATGTCAAGTCTTGGCCATTAAGCTATACTTTACGCTCTTGGTGGTTACTACGCTCGCTCGTCAAAGAGGCTAATGAACGAGGTCTTGAGCCTGAAGGTAAAATGATTATAGAGTACGGGGAAGGTCTATATGTACGTGTCAGCTGATCATGGGTGTATATCTCTAGTACTATTCACAGTCGTCTCGCAGAAGCATCGATGTTTGTATGATGATATCGATTACAATCAACACATGGTAAGCAACATCCAATACTCTAATGTCATGGTTACCTAACCATACCTCTATTTGTATAGAACAATAGGTATTTGACAATGGATTCAATGAGGGGACAACAAAGGGCTAACGACGGTTGATATGAGATAGCACGTTCAACAAGATCCTTGACTTTGGCCGGATACAGCTATTGTACAGCATTATGCCGCGTATCATGATGGAGCCTCATCACCATATCTTTTGCCACAATGCTGGTGTGATGACCTTGTTCAAGAATGAGATAAGACCATGGACGCAATACACCATGCAAACACGTAAGTTTAATGGTTGCCAGGCAACAGGAAAGTACCCCTAATATAGGTCTTGTTGCTATGTAGGTGTGTGGACTTGGAATGAAAAATGGCTATGGATACAGCATCGTTTTCTTTTGCCTGATGGTGAAGTAGCATGCTTGGCTGTCAGCAAATTGGTCTTCAAACTTATCACTGGCAAAACGGTGCCCCCTGTGCAAGTATTCGAATTATGCGGACACGATGTGACCGATCCAATTGCTGAAGAACGACGACATCGAAATTGGCAAGCCGCAGCCGGATTGCTTGAAGCAGACAAAGCGTTACGAGAAGATCCTTTCAGCTGGGATGATTATGGTCCTTTTGTAACCAAGGATGGTCCTTTCGTCACCAGGGCTTCCAAACTCTGAAACCTATATACGTATACTTGTACACCTCTATTAAGTAGAAGTCTTCTAATTGCAATGTAGTATTATTAAAAGAAGTTTTCAATGTTCCACAAATTGACAACCATCCCCTTTAAACGAAAGCCTAATTCTGGAATCAGTAATGCATCCCACTCTCCCATCCAACCGGTAAAAGGGGCATGTGGGTCAGGTGGTGACACTGCAGCTCGATGGCTAGGCTAGAAGGTCGTTCATCGTGAACTCGTTGAGCCTCTTTTTCTTTATGCACATCGATGTTGCTTCATCATGTCATCCAACAAAGTCGAACGTCAATAGTTTCATTGTACCCTTGTCTTGTAATCCTAATGGTATATCTACAATGACATTATAAGGGGGCCACCATTGGCATGCATAGCGTAGCGATTTACATTTTCTTCTAGAAGGGAGTAAACGATCCATTGTACAAGCCCACAACACGTTGGGTGATCCGTTTGACAAAAAGGGTGGATGCACAAGCAATCGGGATCTCTTTCTTTTTCCACATACAGCTGCATGTCACTGTCAACAATGAATCCTTACTTTCTCTCCTTACAGCATGTCATAATTTCTTTCAAAATTGTTCACCACTGAGTTCACGCTATAGCATGTTACAATGAAATGCTTCCTGCAGCTCATATGATAATGAGTGGTTTTGGCGACAAGGCGTCTTCTTTGTACCCATCCCCTACCCTATCTCGTGTTTGTACGATCCACTGAACATTGCTTGACAACAGCTCTTACGTTCCTATGTCGCACACCTTATCATGATTGGAAAGCTGCTGTCACCCCAAACCCAACATGGTGAAGACGATATGATGTAACGGCGTGAGAGAATCGTCTCGCTCTTTCTTCACTATTACCTTCTTGATAGCAGCATAAATAGGAATTTACTCCTTGACTCTGATTTCTCTTTGCTTTAAAAAGGTTCGTGTGCTACAGATGATGGCTTTTTTGTATTCATTTCTTCTTCTTCTTTCTCGTTCCCTGCCACTTTAGAGCGACTGACACTCGTTTTGTTTCTTACAAGATTTTCCAATCATAAGCACACCTAGTACCATGAGCAATATCAAGAAGATTTATACATGCAGTTATTGTTCGAAGACGTTTTCCAAACCAAGTGCTCTCAGACCACATGTATATACCCATACTGGAGAAAAGCCATATACCTGTCATGTGTAAGAATAATGGGCGTGCAGTGTTGTGTTGGATGAAAGGATTGTGCCAAGAACAAAATGATTGACCAAAGCCCCTAGAGATGGATGTGGGCGACAGTTCTCAGTGGTGAGCAATCTACGTCTGCATTTCAAGCTACATACAACAGCAGCAGCCAACAAGTCGGCATTATCTATAAGGCAACAACAGCAGCAGCGTAAAACTCAACATCCTGCTATTCGTGTACCCCAACATCAAAGGACAAGGACATCTCCACCACCAATGCCACGACGGCTTTTACCTGCAATCCCATCATCGTCAATGATACCAACGCCACCAATGATCAACGTCATAAAGCCTTCCACTGACGACATTGTTGTTACTACTACTACTACTATGGCACCGCCGCCACCACCATCCGCTCTTTCATTTAATTACAACGAGAATGGTCATATGTCAATGTGGATGAATCCATATATGACCAATGATTCATTCACTTGCCATCCATTTAGTGAACATTGTCATGATCTCAACGGTGGAGGATCAACCTCGGATACCACAGCCAGCGTACCACCACCTTCATGTTCCACCAACTTTTTTTTTTCAATACCACATGGATACCACTGAGTTGCCCATGGCAACGTTTTATGTAGCCGACGACAGCAGCAACAGCAGAATCATGATGAGCAGCCATATATGCCCTTCTTTTCTTTCACATCATGAACACACCTAAGCTATACTTCACGTAGCGATTACCATAATATTGTTTTAGTTGACAAGAGTGATAATACTATTGTACATGGTCTTTATTTTTCGAGTGCTTGTATATTTATGATTTGGATGGCTTGTTTGGGTTGGGAACAAATATCCATCCCACCATGATGGTGCATGCCATGGCCATGGTAAAAGGTGGTATTGCTGTAACACCGGCATTGGCGATAAGCACACCCGTGAGGAATGGGAAAAAAGCTGATCCAGCACTGCCAAACTAAAGCAAATGGTATCAGAGCAACGCCTCAACAATAACCATTACTATCGCTTACCGCACTAAGGAAGCCAACAGTGGCTGCATACAACCTACACGGCACGCATTGGCGAGCAATGGATAACAAGGTTGGAAAAAGTGGCCCAAGAGCAATACCCGAAATGACGAGTGCCGTTGCATTGATAGGAACATTGGGTACCAGCCAAAACACCACAAGCATGGAAATAAGGACGCTGATATAGATATAAACCATCCGCTTCTCACCAAATCGAAGAGTGATGTATCCAAGAGCAATGCGTCCCATACACAAGCCAGCCCAATAGCCTGACATGATATGTGACATGGCATCATTGTCTGAGCTACGCTCATTGATCAAGAACGTGTACGCCCAATTACCCAAGGTCACCTCAATGCCGACGTAAAATAATAGGTACACCGCACCCACATGGGCTACACGTTGACGAATGCTTGACCATAAGATGTTCTTGTCTTCAACAAACGTATGCGATGATGCCGTTGATGCACTATCGCTATCATGCATGTCCACTGCTGTACGTTCCAAATCTGGATGATGCAAATCCAAATGATGTCGTTCATCAGCAATCCTCACGTGTCGAAAAGTGATCAGTGTCGTAAGTGCATTGATGGCAGCCAACCCACACAAGATCATGTAAGTGGTATTCCAAGCCCATCGTGATAATACAGCTGAAGCCACAAAGGGTCCAACCAAAGCACCAAGACCAAAAGATGCTGAAAAAAAGATACGTAGTAAGCACACAAATTCGTTCTAGTATCATCATTTCTCCTTTTGCATGCATACCATGTAAGAAATTCAGCATCATTGTCGAATCAGGCAACTCGCCCACGTAAACATTTGCCCCGGATTGTACAAGAGCAACACCGAAACCGATAAACACATATGACGCGCACAGTGCTGGAAATGGCAATGCTGGAAGCACCAAACCATACCCAAGCGTCAATGCTATACCACCAATGACGATGGCTCTCGATTGTCGATAGCGTTTAACGATAAAGCCATTCAATAAAGCAGCTACATACCAAATGAAAATGAGAAGGGGTGCCCATTTACATATTTCAACATCGGCTACAATCAACACGCTAACCTACCAATAGCAAATCCAGAGGCGTAGCATAGAAATACAATGGATACAATTGATTGTGTCACCTGGTAATGTGCCTGAATGCTTGGTAAAATGATACCCTGTGGTATGTAGGACATTGTGTTAGGCTCGATAGTGATGGTGATGGTGACGCATTGTGTCGCTCATTTTCTGTGTCGATCCTTTTGTTTGTATTACCAAGTTGCCGTCATTCATGCCTGTCAAGAACTGGATGTAGTAGGATTGTATGAGGGGTGCAAGGCGTGGTTTCCACCGTTGCCATAGTGAAGGTCCTTGCTCTTTTGTGAAGTCCTTGTCATCGTTGTTGTGCATTTTTCTTCCAAAAAAAAAGTGGATCAATCAGTGATGAAGAAAAGAGAAAAAAAGGCTGCAGCTGCTGTAGAACTTTTATCTAAGATGATGATGCGTATTCCAAAACCGTTTTTAGCTGTTTAGTGTGTTTATAGGGAGAATGCAGAAATCTGACATGTAGAAATGTGATAAGGAGTTAGTGATAAACTAAAATGTGTGTGATGAGGATCGACAGTGCATTGGTGGGTGAGCCAGGATCTGCAACAGGGTCTCTCTTTGTCGTTTGAATCGCAACACAACTGAGCATTAAAATCTACCTCTACTGCTGCCCTTTATCAACATTTACGCTTTATTACCACCTTTCTCCTGTTCTACCCATTCCCCTTTCAAAAGGAGACGTGACCTTAGATTGGCCTTTCTACTATCATTTAGCTCCTTTAACTCGCGTAGCCGTGCTAGTACATCGAAAGGATTTCCACATTGGGTGGCAATATGCAATGCTGGTTCATGCACACGCATGAATGGGTTGTATTGTTTTTCTTGGCCAAGCGTTGATGGTATCGTCATTGCCCGCCCTTGACACCAACGATATTTAGCTTGCACATGTTCGTTCTCTGGCTCGATCGTCAATGCAAACTATGATCCAAATAGAAAGCAAAAACAAAAACATGCAACAACAAAATTAGAAACAATGCCATCATCATCTGCACCTCCGACAATGATGCATACGTTTAAATTTGATTCAGTATTTTCGTGCCCACAATAGATCTTTGTCGAGTCGTCAAGGTTGGCTATCACTTTATAAAGGACGTGGTACAGGTCCATGACGTGCGACTCATTGAATTTCCCTACGCCGCCAACCAGCAGGACGCTTTACAATACATGATGGTTGTTGATATCAGTCATTTAGCGTGTAATTTCCCCTTCTTCATCCACCCTATGTTGTTGTTTTCTTCATGCACGTAAAATTGATTAAGCACTTACTCTCCAGTAAACATTACACGTTCGTTTGTGGATGGATCGAAAACGTAAAAGCATGCATCACCTTTTGTATGGCATGCTGTGCATAAAGCCGTCACGTATAGGCTGCCTAGTAGAAACGCTTCACCGTTTTTGCAAACATGGTTGATTTCGGGTATCCTCATATCTGCACCATACACAACAAGATGCGGCATGTGTGCTAGCTGTTAGAAGTGGGCTTAGTTGCATAGGGGGATGCATGCTTAAGCGGTTACTACTTACAAGCTCGACATTGCCTCCGCTGTGGTCGCAGTGGTAATGTGTTACGAAGATGCTGCGTTGCTATTGTTGATGAGTGAAAAGATCACGGGGATGCCATTAGATGCCATTGTTCCACCTTTTCAGTTTTGCTTTTGTTTGCACAGCAAGACGTAAAACTTGTAATGCATCCACGCAATCGATCACAGCAGCTTCACGGGTCTTTTCATCCATCGAAAGATAGGAATAGCTGTCTCCATCGACAGGGATTGGTATTACTTTCATATCTGGGATCGTGATTTGTGCAGCCGATAGTATGTCAATTTCGGGGGATATGAATGCATACATATAAAAGAATGAAAGAGAAATTACCCGATGACCTTTTTATAACTGTTATTTCGAAACAACCATAGGCATTTCAGTAGCCAATCATCATTTTATGCTTTTTGAAGATGTGTATGTATTGTATAATCATAAACAGCAACGATTTAAGGGGCAAGCTATGCTACGTACATGTCTTCTTGAAATAGGTATGCGCTTGCTCGCTTGAAAACATACGGATTTGCTCTACGTTAAAAGTCCAGGATACTTGTGGCCATACGAGTGGTTTGCAGGATCTTATGTGTTGATGCCAAATACATTCAGCGCTTTCAAATCCCTAATGAATCTACTGTTAAAGATGTTTTCCTTTGATAACGATTATCATGAATTGACCTACTCTGCCAGAATCAATAGCCTGTCATTTTCGGAATCCTAGCATGTTCGAAGAACGATAGCTCAAATGGCGGCCACATGGTGATAGGTAAGGTAACGTCGTTTTCATGAGAAAACCTTAGCATCTGCATCTTTGATGAAAATGGGAGCCCGTTCTTAACTCGTAGATTGAGCACTTGCAAGAAAAATCTCGACCCATGTTGTTGTCGTTTGTAGCTGCTGCGGCTATGGTATTTGTAATGCTCGAGGGGTTCTTTGATGAATTCAAGGATCCCAGAGATTCCACGTGGGATGTCGCCGGCTGTACACGGCTTTTCGAGCCACGGATCCATCGGCGTCCGTGAACTCCAAGAGATACACCACGAATCTGATCCTTGTTTGATCTCCAGATACATCAAAAAAGCATTGTATCTTGTCGATGTTGGTCTTGTGCTTCTTGACGATGGCATGCCGAGATCGACACTTGCATTCGCGATATACCAATGAAAGTTCAGAAACACCACGCCAAAGTAGCATGCGCTTGTCTTTGTCGAATATCGAATCCTGCCCATTGACCTTGAATCTGATGACAGCGCAAGCAATTAGAATTGATACCTTTTGTATGTATGCAGGGCTACACTTACCCAATAGTGTCAGCTTTCATGCCAAACGTTTTCGCCACATGATAGAGCCATACAAAGTCGGTTGACTTTACGTTCAAATAGGCCAAGTAGTTATGTCACCTACAAAGGAATCGCAAATTCCTATCAGACCAGGCATCCTTATAATATATAAATGATAGTGATACCTACCACAAAGGTTCCATCAAGGAACGCCTACCAAATGTCTTTATGCACCAACGAGCACACCAAGTGGTAAAGCAAAGAAGTGAGCTACATAAAGGATGAATGCATCATGAGTACCATCATTTTGGGAACCACACAAAGACCATCCTTGAGACTTACCAAAGGCCATACAAGTAGAAAGATTGGTGACAACAGCCTTGTTTATATATAAATGGGCGTGGGAATTGTTGTCATGATTGATCGATCTGATAAAGTGGTAAGCATCTTGGAGTACTGAGCCGAAGTGATGGAGAATCAACAGCTGGCGAATCCACCCACGGCTTTAAAGCTGATTTTCTTGTAGGTGGCATAAGCATGTGCGTTCAAATAGCCTTGCCATGATCGAGGGCATCCATCTCCCGTGTAGAATCCCAAGAAGGCTTCTCGCAAGAGGTTGTCTTCTTCATTCAACATCTGAAAGAACCGTTGGTATGGCTCCGTCCACATTGTCTCTGGTGGTAGTGGTAGCATGGCATGCTGTTCTTCATAGTTGTGATCGTCATCGGTCATGTCAGAGTCGTCAGATTGGAACGAGCTGTCGTCGTCGTCATCGTGCTCGATCTGCAACATGGTGTTGTGTAAGGAGAAGAGAAAGGAAATTCGCCAATGCCGGCATAAGTTGTTCCGCAACGACTTCTTTTTATTGACCACCTGGCAAAAAAGTTAATATGAGGGGCAATCCAAAAGACAATAAAAGATACACACACCTTAAATCTTAGGTGGTTTTGGATTGCGAGAATGAAAAAGAGATATAATGTGCCAAACAAAGACACGAAAGAGATGAAAACAGCTGAGAGAAACAATGTCATTCAGCTAATCTGTCATAAATGGTCAGGGAACCAAGCTTACAAGGAAGCAAGAAAGTGGGGAGTAACACCCAAGCAATGATAAAGTGAATAAAGAATGAGAAAAAGCAATGTCTAATAAAGTGAATAAAGAATGAGGAAAAGCAATGTATGAAGAAGATGGTTTAAATAGGAAGAGGGATAAGAGATTATGCATAAAACGCAAGATCGATCATCAATCATATCATGTGATTTGCTCCCCGAGCCCAAGCCATACTTGCATACGCTTTAGGACGCGTGTATTGATAAATGACACTTGCCAGTATAAGGACGTAGTGAACGTAGATAAAAGACCAACTTCAGATTAGTGATTCCTTCATGTCCACAGGCACAAATACACCTTTTTGCAGTTTCACATCCTTGTTTCACCTTAGCTAAACACCTTTATAAGTATGATTACGTTTGCGAACTAAGATAAATCGTTCTTGATAATGTCAAGTTGCAATGCACGTTTTTTTTTTATTTCATATCTATAGCTTGGTGTACATCTAGTTGGCCTTCTCGAAGTATTCCTTGGATTGCTTGACATCGGGCTTGATGGTAGCGCTACCCTTTTGCCAGCCAGCAGGGCAAACTTCACCGTGCTCATCAGTGAATTGGAAAGCCTCAACCAAACGCAAGACCTCATCAACGTTACGGCCAACGGGGAGATCGTTGATGGTGATTTGTCTAACCACACCCTCTGGAGAGATCACAAACAAACCTGGAGTAAAAGTGACCAAAGTTGATTAGCACGTGATCGCAAAAGACCTGTTCCTTTCCTTTTTCCCAATACATACCACGAAGGGTGACACCAGCATCCTCAAGCAAGACACCGTAGTCACGAGCAACCTTCTTGGTCTTATCAGCAAGGATGGGGATGTTCATTTCACCAAGACCACCTTGCTTGCGGGGAGTGTTGATCCAGGCCAAGTGAGAGAATTCTGAAAACATGGGGTATGAGTACAACGCGTGTTTATCATAGGGAGCTTATCAGGCCAACATACCAGAGTCGCAAGAAGCGGCAAGGACAGCAGTGTTCAAAGCCTCGAACTCCTTGACGCGATCAGAGAAAGCAAGGATTTCGGTGGGGCAGACGAAGGTGAAGTCCATGGGGTACCAGAAGAGGACAACGTACTTGCCCTTGTAGTCAGAGAGGGAGATGTCCTTGAACTCGCCATCAACAACGGCGGGGAGGGTGAATTCGGGAGCAGGCTTTTGGACTTGGGCAACTAGTAGTAGTGATAGTAATAGTAGATGTCAATGACATGTCAAAAGAAAGCCATGGGAAAACAAGACGGCGTGGAAAAACTTACCCATTTTTGAAAGTAGAATAAAGAAAGATACTACTTGAGTCGGGGCTCCATCTCCGTCCCTTTATATATTCTTGCTGAATACTCGTGACGCGTGGGGGCTGTTTTTGAGGATGCGCCCTTTCAAGTGATTAGTAACAGCCAATCACGAAAAGAAATTTGAGACAGCGGAAGCTGTGATGTATACCTACTTTTGGTGGCGGCGATCCATACAATCCACATTCACAGCCTATTTGTCAGTGATGGAAGCCGTAAGAAAGGAAAAGAAATAGATTGGATAGACCGGAAATCCGCATCGGATCCTACCCGATGTTCTCATGTCATGCTTTTCTCTTCAATAGTAACACCAACATCATCATCACATCTTACCTTTTTCTTTTCTTTCCTTCATCATCATCCCTTGATCCTTTGACAGGTGTGCTATGCTGTATGTGTGTGTTGTCGTCTGCATTGCATACCTATGCTGCATACAATTGCATGTACCAATCAGCGTACGTATAGCTTCATTTGTAATGATCGATAGCAACCAAGAAACATCCTTTGTGCCACAAATCTTGATATCGGCAGAATGATCATGGATGTGTTATTCTTTTTGTTTCACCTTGGATAAGCCAAGTACCACGTTGTGCCAGCTGTCGTGCTCCATATGCCTCTAAAATCGAACACGCCATATGACAGAAACATGAGACATCCATGACACTGACGACAACCAAAACACTGCCCCACCTTATCGTATGCTTCTTTCGTATGGCGATGTAGCAGCAAATGGGCATCTTGTAAGAGAATCGATGGGCGCCATTCAGCCAATGGGGGCCGATGAGAGAGAGTGTGTCGTTGAAAAGATAGCGTTGCTATGGTGTATCCAAGTGAGTGTGTTGTGGTTGACATCCATTTTTCGATATGGCGAACGATAATGGTGCATGGCTCATTGTACGGGTAGTCTTAAAAGATGCAACCCTTTTTTCGTTGGGGATCATTGTTATGCAGCAGCGTCAAAAGTAGCATGTAGTCTGTTATCACTTTTGAGTCACTCGTCGAATAAAAGATTGGTTCTTGATCCTAAATGCAATGCCTCATATAGTCGACATGATAGGTGCCGGTAACCAGGTACCATCTTGTATGCCACCTTCATATCTAAAGCATTGACGCATGAGAGGGACTTCAAATCTCCATGCTTGCAAGCTACCTCCCAATTAATACCACATAAACTTGGTTGCATAGCTCGATGTTGAGTGATAGAGAATGTCATTGCAGCCCTAAATTGTTGCTACTGTACTGTAGCTTTCCTCCATCCAGTATACAATCTACCAGCATTTTGGGGTTGCCGAGATACAGCAAAGGGATGACACAAACTTCCTTAAACGGGCCATCAGCCATTGTCTTCTGCTAAGAACCGATCCTTTTTATTGAGCTATGTATCAAAAAATCATCGACTGCATACAATGGGTAAGGTTCATATAGCTACATCTATCATCTTGGTGTAAATGCCGCTGTTTCTCAAAATGGCAGTGGTCTGATGATTTAGCATGATCTGATATCGAGATGATGACACTGATAACAATATTCACATATCCACAAATGATTTGATCTATAATGGTGGCAATCGTATTTACTCGAGGTTTGTATTGAGGTATTCTACAAAGATATCGGCTAATCGTTCTGTGTCTAAGGTTGTCCGCATCTTGTTGATGGATACAAACTGCTTCCGTAGTCGTCGTAATTCTGAAAGGGTCACTGTCCGAGATGGGTTGATGACCTTTTGTGATGCTCGAGGAACCACCATAGGCATTCCACCTGCTCCAAATTCCTTTTGTCCTTCCACAACAGCATTGATAATCTCCAGTGTCACTTTATCGAGCTCGTACACATAGTTGGTGGTCGAAACGGGTTTCTAGAATCCATCATAAGCAACCATGGAATGATCCTCCTTTTGTTATCCATCACACTTACCGAGATGGTCGATTGATTTGGTGGTGGTGGCTTTCTAAGGATAACAGCATCCCACATCTTGTCTCCAGGTACATCAGCATCATCGTAAATCACGGTGAATAGCGGTGAATCCCATCTGTTGCGGGCGTCGGGTTCTTCATATCTCGTCACCAATTCATCAAAGCTATCATCATGTTGTCAGCGAATAAATCCACCCATATTCCATTGATGTATGTATACATACACTTGCTCGTCATAGCCAGCTTCTCCTCGAGCCGTGTTCCATTCTTTGGCCATTGCCACAGGTGTTCCACAATGAACCTATCCCTTTGTATCAATACAATGACTCTTTTTCATCCCTCTTATCCAATCCACTTACAACACAATGAGGCGTACCAATAGCACGTGCAACACAATAAAGCTGATACCGAAAACCTTTGATGTAGTTCATGCCATCAGCGATCACAATATCATCCTTGGAGAGTAGTCGTTCCACTGCTGATAATAAAGCACCACGTGCCTTTTTCTCTTCACGTGCCTCTACATGTCTACCTGTAAGCATACAAGGCTTAGATGGTGCTGGTTTCTATATACCTCGATAAGCTTCTTTGGATACGTTGAGGGAATCGTCGTTGATAATGTGAATGCGCATGGATCGGCCATCAGCCGAGAGACGTTGGAGCATGTACTGCTTGATTTGGTGTGCTCTTTGTGATTTGCCGCTGCATGGGTGGCCTGTGAGTACGATCAGTGGCATAGTGGTGCTTGAAAGTAGTGAAGAAAGAAGAGAGCAATGGACCCCGTGACTGTGGAGCCGCAGTACATCTTGAATGATTTAGCATAGATGTGATGTGTGGGTGGAGCATGAAAAGATGACATGAAGAGCAAACACGTGGATGAGTGCTTGTAGAATAGAGAACCCACCATGAATGAATTGGTTGTCAATAGGTTCACATGACCCTTTTTCTCTTTTTCTTTGATGATGGGCCTGCTGGATGTTTTACTCCGGTCAATGCAAAACGAATATGATGATGATGATGGCATCTTAATCCCAGTAAACGGCTCGGGTCCCACATCGTTATTGGGTTTTTCCCACACAAGCACAACATTGCATTGAGCCACATAAAAGGTAAAGCGTACATCATCGCGTTCTCCTTTCTAACCACCATCACCTCCTCCTCCCTCCCCCCAAATTTGACCACACACCACACACACACACAAACAACATCCCTTCTGGTTTAGAATGGGCGCAGAAATAACACGAAACTTGGGGGGACTATGACATCGCATCACTACTACTCATCGCGTATATAAAAGCTTCACTGCATTGCTAACAAATCGGATACTCATTATCTCTTCTTTCTCTAAAAAATGTCTCATCCTAAGGTAATGATACGTCCTCAAGTTTTATGCTTGGCCTGTTATTCATCATGTATATATTTACTCTAGGTCTTTTTCGATGTCGCCGTTGAGGGCAAACCACTTGGTGTAAGTATCCATCTACACAAGCCAGCTCCTTCTACTAGTTGTTGCTGTTACTGATGAGCAACGTTGATAGCGTATCACTATGGAGCTCTTCAATGATGTTGTTCCCAACACTGCTGAGAACTTCCGTGCCCTTTGCACTGGCGAGAAAGGCTTTGGCTACAAGGGCAGCATCTTCCACCGTGTCATTCCTCAATTTATGCTTCAAGGTGGTGACTTTACCAACTTTAACGGTACCGGTGGACAGTCCATCTATGGTAGGTTGTCATCTTTTTTGCGCTGTTGTTGTTGTAGTCAAAGGTTAATCCCACCATCCTAGGTCAAAAGTTCCCTGATGAGAACTTCCAGCTCAAGCACACCAAGCCTGGTCAGCTATCCATGGCTAACGCTGGTCCCAACACCAATGGTTCCCAATTCTTCATCACCACTGTCCCTTGCCCATGGTTGGATGGAAAGCATGTTGTTTTCGGTGAGGTTGTCGATGGGTAAGTAGTAGTAGTAGTAGTATATGTCATTGAGGAAAAGTTGTCTTTTATTGACATGACGCGTATATCTTTTCTAGCATGAACTATGTCACCGAAATTGAAAGTCTTGGCAGTGCAAGTGGTGCTCCTAAAAAGAAGATCGAGATTATCAACAGCGGTCAACTGTAAAAAAGATCCATCGGGTTGTTGGTCATCTATAATACCATAGTCATAGTGTATTGTTTGAAATGAGTAAAAAAAAGCAAATGAAATCAAATCGCTCAACACCTTATCTCTTTTACTTGACACACACACACTTTATTTATTTATACACACACTATGCCTCCTCCTTCTGTAAAAGGCTTGCTCATCGACCTCAGTGGTACCATTCACATTGACTCCAAGGCCATTCCAGGTGCTGTAGAAGCTGTTAGAAAGCTACGTGCAAGCCGTATCCCTTTCCGGTAAACAAGAGTACACCCACCCACCCACCAAACTATACCACGTTTTATTCATCGCAATGTGACATGAGCAGCTTTGCTACCAACACTACAAAGACATCGTCGCGTAAACTGGTGGACAAGCTCAATGCCATGGGTTTTGGCATTCAAGAACACGAGGCAAGTATTATGATGATATCGTTGCATGGCTATCGTCGTCGCTTATTTGTTACGACCTTCACAGGTGTTTACATCACTCTCAGCATGCCGCGACCGTGTATCTCAGTTAAGGTGAGGATAGTGTTGGGGGGGATGGATCCCTATCATGATGCATGCATATACTTACAAGGGATCTATGTCGAACGCTAGACCATTGCTATTAATGGAAGATGCTGCTATGGAGGAATTTGAAGGCATGGATACAAAGGATCCCAACGCTGTGGTGATCGGTCTGGCCCCATCCAAGTTTCGTTACGATTTGGTAAGAGGTGGCGGCGGCATGAAAAAACAATGAAATAGGGTGGGCTTTGTGTTTATCCATCTAATCGGGTATGGTGCTTAGATGAACGAAGCTTTCCGCTTGCTTATCAATGACCCATCAGTACCATTGATTGCTGTACACAAGGCCAAGTACTTTGCTGACAAGGATGAAAAGCTCTCCATGGGCCCTGGAGGATTTGTACAAGGTAATAGAAGCTGCATATGAGGGATCGGAGCAATCGGTTGCTAACGGTGATTGGTGGTGGGATCCTTCCTCTAGCTCTTGAATATGCCACAGGCCAAACAGCCACTGTAGTTGGGAAACCCACACGTAGCTTTTTTGAGCTCGCACTCAAGCAAATGTAAGTATGCCTAGGATGGTGCTTGTAAAGTGACACTAACACATGATCACTTTTAGTGGGATGGAAAGCAGCCCTCAGGATGTGGCGATGATTGGTGATGATGTGAACAATGACTTGGGCGGAGGTGCAAAGGAGCTTGGTATACAACGATTGCTAGGTATGATGGATTGGATCGATAGCAGTAGTAGTAACCATTTAAGCTGATGTGGCTTCTTTATAGTCCAAACTGGCAAGTATCGTACCGGTGATGAACAAGGTTATGAAGGTGTTCGTGTATTTCCCTCAGTGGTAGAAGCAATTGAAGATGTATTGCAGCAACATGCATAATGTCCAATATAGATTTGCTATTTACATACACCGCCTGCTGCTGTTTCAGGGGACCTAAAGTGATAAATGTTGAGGGTTGATTTTTACCAAGATGGGGGTGTGCACATGATTGCTTCGCACATGAGCAATGTCAAATTCTACTCTTTGATGCTGACATGTTGGGACCTTGTTTCTTTCAACTTGGCTTTTCAGTGATTATATCTTTTAGCCCAACGACGACGATAACTGGTGAAACATGACACTAACAAACAACGTGCCGGTCCAATCCGGGAAGATGTGCAGCTGAGTTGTAACGATGAATCACTTTGTATCAGCATTCCGCAATATAAAAGGAAAGATAGGGGTATTGATTGCGAGGCGCAAATTTTTTTCTTCTCTTCCTTTTTCACTCTTCAAGACCTCTCGGAAAGAGAAACCCCAACTTTTTAAAACTCTAGGCGTTTACGCTATTCATGTATATTCACGCTTTCGAAAAGTGCTCAGCCGACTACATTTGCGATCAAAGTATGTGTCTTGCTTTATTTTCTTATTTATCGCCTACATCATACTGACATGGATCTTGCTTTTATATAGTCTGGAAATCCTCTGGTAGCTTCTAAATCATCTTCTTATTATCATCATGGTCTCTCTTCGTCAACAAAAGAAACTTAACAACAACAACATTGCAACATTGACCTTAAAGTCGGGTCAATCCTTCACTGGTGTATCCTTTGGAGCAGACACCAATGTCTCTGGTGAAGCTGTCTTCACTACTTCCCTCGTTGGTTATCCTGAATCCATGACCGATCCCTCATACACTGGTCAAATCCTTGTCTTTACTCAACCTCTCATTGGCAACTACGGTGTGCCCGGTCCCGTCAAAGATGAATACGGTCTCTTCAAGTACTTTGAATCTGAAAAGATCCAAGTTGCTGGTATCGTTGTGAACGATTATGCCACACGATACAGCCATTGGACTGCTGTCGAATCCCTTGGCGAATGGTGCAAGCGATTCAATATCCCTGCCATCAGCGGCGTTGATACAAGAGCCGTTGTACACATCTTGCGTGAGCAAGGATCCACTCTCGGCCATATTGGTATCAATGGTGCGAAGCCAGTGTTTGCTGATCCCAATGCTGACAATTTGGTCGCCAAGGTATCCACTCCTGTGCCTGTTGAATACAACCGTGGTGGTGATATCAAGATTGCAGTGATTGATTGTGGCGTCAAGCAAAACATCTTGCGATGCCTTGTCAAGCGTGGTGCTCATGTGATGGTGCTTCCTTACAACTATGACTTTTTGAAAGATGCCGATGCCTTTGATGGTCTCTTCATTTCCAACGGTCCTGGTAGCCCAACCACATGCCCCGAAACCATTGCCCATTTGCGCAAGGCCATCGATACATTCAACAAGCCTATTTTTGGTATTTGCATGGGTAACTTGCTCCTCGGCATGGCCGCTGGTTTGGATACCTACAAGCTGCCATTTGGTAACCGTGGTCACAATCAACCTGCTTTGCATGTTCAAACCGGTCAATGCTCCATCACATCTCAAAACCACGGCTATGCTTTGAATGACAAGGCCATACCCAAGGGCTGGAAGAAACTCTTTGTCAACGCCAACGATGGCTCCAATGAAGGCATTTGTCATGAGACTCTCCCTATCTTTTCCGTCCAATTCCATCCTGAAGCTAAGGGTGGCCCACAAGACACCGAATACCTCTTCCAAGAATTTGTTGACCTCGTTCGTGAAGCCAAAGGCAAGCAAACCAAGGCTGCCGTTGCTGAACCCCAAGCTACCAAGATCCCTGTTCCTGTAGTCGCATAAATACGTTTATCATTTTCCTTTTCTTTCACACTTGTAATCATTCTTTCCATTATTCATATCATAAAATACATCTACTTGCAGTTCACTACTAAAGGATGCTTGTGTGTTACATTCATTTCATCTCGGATCTGGGATAGGATCCCAAAAAGGGTTGATAATCGGGTTCATGCAACCGAAATGGGAAAGTGATCAAACAATGTAGGCACATGATGCGTTTATGCCATTGTAGCATGGATACGTTAACCAGCTTTGGTTTATTCCTTCAATATCGCATCTATAATGGCTATGGCTACCTTAAATTCGTATTGAAGACCTCGCTTGGCTGAGGATTAGGTCGTATAAAAAGGCCTTCTTATGAGTGGGCGTGAGAATCGTTGTCATGATTGATCAAACTGATAAAGTGGTCAAGCATCTTGGAGTAACGAATTGAAGTGATGGAAATCGACAGCTGATACGTAAATCCACCGGCGGCTTGAAAGGTGACTCTCTGTAGGTGACATAAGTATGTCCATCACGTAGAACCAGTGGGTGTCGTTGTGTCATTGTATTCTTGGTTGCTGCCATCATAAGTATCCTTCATCCATAGCTGCAAACTAGTTGCTGTGCGTGCCTTGACTTTAACCTTCCAATGTCATCCATAGCGGCAAACCATCTCTCGTCAAAGATAGAAGCCCCTTCGTCAACTCCATCCCATCCACCATCATCCTCAACCGTATCCACGTGATATCCATCCTTCCTGCTAATGACGTGCCAAGTAACCAAAGCAAGTGCTCGATTGCATCCATCCATCCACAACCATTGCAAATCCAATATGTTGGTTGAAAAGCGCTATGTGATCGCTGTCGATATGCCTCCTTTTCCATCCAGCTGCTGGCCGATCCCTTTCTTGGTCATTTCCATTGATGCTCAACCAGGCGATGATTGCTTGTATTGCCGGGTACTTGATAGCTGATATGGGATCATCCATTGGAAGTCGTATGCATCAAAGCGAAGTTGCTACGCGTGAATAAAGCTGCTGCTATACAATGGCTATCTGTTGTTCACGCAAAAGGGCTGAAAGGCAGGATGCTGCAAGTAACGTGAGACAATGGTCACCTTGCAATAGCAACTGCTGTTACGCTTTGACGTGTAGAGGAGAGTACAAGAGCGTGTGTTGTTGTAGTAGAGTGACAAGATTGTGAACACTGTTGGAGACAATGGAGTGAAGATCTTGCTAATGGCAGCTGCTGCAACGAATGCTGTTACGTTTGATTGTGGCAGAGGAGTGTGCAAGAGAGTGCGAGTATCGTCAAAGGCGTGCGTTGTAATGGGTGTACGCGCCATGGACTTGTCATTCAGTCGAAGGCAATCGGATCAAGACAAGTGTAGGATTGACATGATGGGTTGAAGCAGGACAATCGTTCGCAGGTGGTAGTTGTACTTGAATGGGCCAGCAATTGAGAATGAGAGGAAGAGGGAATAAAGTGGGAGTGGAAGAAGTGGAAATTAAATAGGTGGACACCTCTTGTACAAATGCATGAACACTGTACATCAATCCTTGATATTGAGATTACCCCTCTCGAACCTGTAACTTTCACAAAAGGTGCTCTTGGACATGATGATTATGTTGATCTAAAAAAGACCTCATGTTTCATTTGAAAATATTGAATGGGAGGGTGCAATGTGGGATTTACTATGGAGGTCGGAAAGCAGGACAGCGCCGGATTCATGATTTATCGAAATAGTATGTATTACCTTGGGATTCCCCATTTCGAACTTGTAACTTTGTCAGAAGGTTCGCTGGAACATGCTGATCAACTTCATTCAATTCAAATATGCAGACTTCATTATGAAGATTTAAAATGCGGGGGCGGTCCAAATGGTGGATGACACGAACAAAAGAGCGGACGGCCCGCCGCCCCGAAGTTGCCCACCTCCAACTTGAAAATTGGTCAGAAGGGTGCTCTCGAGCATGCTGATCAACTTTCTCTAATAAAAACTTCATGCTTCATTTGAAAATTTGGAATGGGAGCGTCCAAAAGTTTGAAAGACGGAGACATTCGCAGGGTCTGCGATTCATTAACTTTCATGTTTGCTGTTCCAGCGTAGCTCAGCCAAATCGGCTCGGATCAAGAAACTTGAATGATGGAAATGATGGGCTGGAGCAGGAGAATCGTTCTCATGCAGTGGATTTTGCAACAACGCTGGTTGTGAGGAAATGGCTGATAACGCGCAATATATGGACTATTGTGGATAGCCATAAAGTATAATCCATCAATCCTTCCAGCCATGCAAGATAGCTGTGTTACACAAACACGTCCCTCTGCATCTTTTGCTCTGTCAGGGTCTAGCTATTCGACAATGAACAAAGATCACTTTTCATATAGCATCACGCACACAACATAAAGACGCCCATATCTCAAGATTTTACAATCAAACGTGGGGTCTTTAATAGAACAAGCTGCTCGGCGGGGTCAAAGCGATCTTGTGTCAAAGTATGAAGTTCATCGTGGCCATTCCCAGATTTCGCAATGTTGCCACCAGCCAAACTAGATCCAGGGGTCGACCTCTTTCGACGACGACGACCAAAAAATATTTTTTGGGCTGTTTGCGACATTGAACGTGAAACTTTCACACAAGGTGCTGTTGGCCAAGCCGAGCCCATTGCTCTAATAAAAACCCCATGTTTCATTGTAAAGCTTAGAGATACAAGTGCCTTTATGTTTTGCATATGCTGTAAGCGATATGAAGAGTGGTCTTTGTTCATTGTGAAGTAGCTAGACCTTGGCAGAGCAAAGATGCAGAGGGACGTGTTTGTGCAACTGGGTTAAAAAGTTTGGACTTCAGGGACGATGCATGACAGGTACGCAACCCTCATTTTCAGGTCATACATTGGCAGCTAATAGCCACTTTTGTGCATTCCCGACTTTTGTGCATTCCATTGTAGGTGAATGATTCTCCTGCTCCAGACATTCATTTCCATGATTCAAGTAGCTTGATCCGAGCTGATTTGGTTGAGTTACGGTCGAACAAGGATTAATGAGCTGAGACATTCGAATGTATGCTGATGTGTGGATTGATGTAATCTCTCTTTGACCGTAGCTCAGCCAAATCAGCTCGGATCAAGATAATTGAATCATGGAAATGAATGTCTGGAGGAGGAGAATCGCTCACATGTCATAGAGTGGGCAACAGTGCCGATTGTGAGGAAAGTGCTGTTAGCTCGCAATGTATGGGCTATTGTCAATAGTATACAATATCATCCTTCCATCCTTCCAGTCATGCAAAGTAGCTGAGTTACCCAAAGAGCTCCCTCTGCATCTTTTGCTCTGCCAGGGTCCAGCTACTTCACAATGAACAAAGACCACTCTTCATATAGCATCACGCTTACAAACATAAAGGTGCCTGCATCTCCGAACTTTACAATGAAACGTGCGGTTTTGAATAGAGCAATGTGCTCGGCTTGGCCAACTGCACCTTGGGTGCCAGTTTCACGATCAAGCTTGCCAATCCCAGATTTCGCAATGTCGCTACCAGCCAAACTGGATCTGGGGGTCGACCTCTTCGACGACGACGACCAAAAAAATATTTTTTGGGCTAGTTGCGACGTTGAACGCGAAACTTTCACACAAGGTGCTGTTGGCCAAGCCGAGCCCATTGCTCTAATAAAAACCCCACGTTTCATTGTAAAGTTTGGAGATACAGGCACCTTTATGTTTGTAAGCGTGATGCTATATGAGAAGTGGTCTTTGTTCATTGTCAAATAGCTGGCCCCTGGCAGAGCAAAAGATGCAGAGGGTCGTGTTGTGTAACACAGCTACGTTTGCATGAATGAAAGGGTCAATATAGTACTTTATGGATCATCTAGGAACAGGCATGTATTGCTAGCTAACGGCCACTTTATCCAATCATGTTGTTTAACGAGATCCACTGCATGGGAACGATGCCCCTGCTCTAGACATTCATTTCCATGATTAAAGTAGGTTGATCCGAGCTGATTTGACCTGAGCTACGTTCAAAGAGAGATTACATCACTCTGGACATAAAGCACGCTCGATGTAGCTCAACCGATGTAATCTTGTGTGAGCGTAACTCCAACCAAATCAGCTCGGACCAACCTACTTTAATCATGGAAATGAATGTGCGGACAGGAAATCATCACCTACAATGGAATGCACAAAAGTGGCTATTAGCTGCCAATGTATGACCTGAAAATGAGGGTTGCGTACCTGTCATGCATCGTCCCTGAAGTCAAACTTTTTAACCCAATTACACAAACACGTCCCTCTGCATG